TTCCAATCTCTGCATGGCTACAAACAAAGACTCAAATTTGTCTGCTGTCAAATAACAGCAGACAAATTTCTTCTGCTGTTCTTTTTTTATTTATTTATTTATTTTTTGTCACTATAAAACAAGCACAATCGAAATGATTTTAACTATAACCCAACTTATAAAAATACCCTGCTATTTTAAGAACCGCATTGCTACATAGGCACAATTTGGCACAATTTATTAAACATTTTCTGATTGGCTGAAAAGTCAGAATACAGCTTCTGTATAAATATATGGTCCATTGCTTCATATATAAAGATTCTGCAATCTTTAGTTTGCAGAATCTTTAGTTTATTATTCTGTCTAATAATGTTCTGACAATAGGATGCATTTTATATGTTTACTACACACTATTGCAGGTCATGAAAAATTACAATTAAAGTAACTCAGTTTAGATTTTTACTCAAACAGCCTAAATTAATTTTGCTTGTGTTTATATTTATCCAGATGACAAAATATTATAAAGTATTTTGTACCTACGTTTTTTACAGCTGGTAAACGTTCATGCGTCCTACTTCAAATAAAATCTATCCATAAGCATCACACATTCAATGGGGTTGTGAAAATGTATACTGTTTGTACAGTTAAGAGTTCAAAGCAAACTCCTTCAAAATAGCAATTAAAGCAGGGAAGTTATCCATAGTTTTCTATCTGAGTATAATCTTTGTGCAGTTTTTACAGTTTCCCAGATCTTATCAACAGAAAGCAATTTAACTGTAACTGGTGATGACTGATAAATGCAATATCTTTATACTCTTTCACACAAATCTGAATGTTTGACAGTGATTGAGAGCTGATTAGAATAGTTACAGGAAAAGTATATATATATATATATATATATATATATATATATATATATATATATATATATATATATATATATACATAAATTCAAAATTTAAACACAAATGGTCCGTAAGGAGTCAGAGCTTGACTTGTCTATCTGGATGAGTAAGGCAGTAAGGATGACTTGGGTAAGTATCAGTCTTCTAAGTATGAACAGACTTGTTGCCCTTACAATGGTAAGTCATCTGCAAATAATACACTCTTTTAAGCAAAAATGATAGGTCCCCTCATGAGCAGTCTGTGCTTGGAGATGGTTGGCAAAGAAAAAAGAAAATAAACAAATACATTTAGTTTAACTATAAAATTTGAACTCTATATCTGCTGCATGCCACAGCATGGTCCCCATATCGGGGCCTTTGGTTGCTCCTGCATATGCACCTAAAGTGGATGTTAATGAACTGCTGTCACACGTAGGAGGGTGCCTTTGAGGCAGCAGTCAGGATTCTCTCCACGTACTCGTCTGTTTGCAGTGTGGAGGCTGTGATGTGCTGCCTGACTGCAGAGACTTGCTCCCGGGCAGACAGGAGGGGACCAACTCAGTACAGGGGGTCCCTGCTGCGGTACCACTCTCTCACCAGCAGAGAAAAGGCTCAACACCAAATGCAGGCGTGTGGATGTATGTTTCTTAATGTGTGCCACTTTTATTGAAACATATGCTTGCTTAAGTGCACTTGCATTTGTCACCAGGAAGCTTGAGTGAAGATGTGTAACTCGCAAACACAGATGCTGGAAGTAATGTTGCACAAAGCTGATTAATTGTCAAATTAGTAGCAAAAGGAAGCAGGAAGAGAAAGAGAGAAAAAAAAATCTAACTTTTCCATAAACATGTTTATGAATGTGTTGGTGCGTTTGTGGAAGAATCTCAGCAGACAGAGTCTGGCCAGTACTGTTCCCTGCAATCTGCCACTATTACACCCTGGGTAGTGTCAAAATGATTTGAGCACCCGCTGTGCCACCTGTCACCCTGTGCCCCCAGGCTTATGGTGGTCCAACCGTCCAACACCGAGGCCCAACCTCAATTAGATTGCTATCACACAACCAAAATTTGACCCTGTTTGCCTTCAGGATATCTATCTCTCTTTCTCCCCACATCCCAGGACCATTTCCTTGCATGATTTAAGCCCAGGTCTTGGTCTACATTAGTGTTTTCAATTCTCTGCATGTTTTCGGTGTTCCCCTTCTACTGCACCCAACTTGAATAAGTGGGTGATTAACAGGCTTCTGCAGCACTTGGTGACATGAAGGAGCTAGTGCAATCATTTGAATCAGGTGTACTGGAGCAGAGACGTGTCTAAAACATGCAGGGCAGTGGACCCTGAGCACAGGAACTGAGAAACCCTGGCCTACATCATCTAAATCTTAAAGACAAATATATATAGCAGGCACCTATGCATGAGGTGGAAAATCTCCTTGTCAATGCAGTTTCTGACAACATTATCGCAAGAGTTCAGCAAATAGGTTACCTCTTTAAGGGGAATTTGGGGGCTCTGTTGTAAGCATGACATCTGGCTCCACCAAACATCTGAGTAAGCAGATTGGCCCTGCAGGCCTGGGGTGACAGCCGATGAGGAAGCTGGGAGATGTGGGAGAACTGATCTGAGCTGCTACTCTGCTCAAGCTGTCACTTTAACTTGGCTTGGCACAGTTTGATTCTCCCTGGCTCTGAAGCATTAGGCCCTCTACTTTGACTGCCACTGCCCTGCCGGCACCAAGCCAAGTCTTTCATGGAGGGGGTCGCTCATCACTTTCACTCTCTTTCTTCCTCTCCTCGTTCTGCTTATTCTGTCTCTGCAGGGCTCCAGCTTCTTTATCACAATCTTTCTCTTTCTGTCCCCCCCTGCTTGTTTCTTATCCAATTCCCAACAGAAGCCACAAAATTGGATCCATTATAATCTGCCATTATTTGCTATTCCCAGCAGCTCCTCTGTAACACTCTAAGCTACTCATACACTCTCTTCTTGCCATCTTTGTTGTTCTCTAAGTAGGTGTTCAGTCCTTCAGTAATCATGCCACCCACATAAATTCACCTCCATATTTTAAACTTCATGTATGACAGTGAAGCCACTTCAAGAGTCTGTTTGATTGCACATGTGAAACTGAGATAAACGAAGACTGCTTCTCTGATTAAACCCATGATCCTCCCCACCTCCAACATTTAAATTCTAAATACAGAGTGAATATGTGGTTGAATCAGAGATGACGACAAGGTCAAAGGGAAAAACTTTGTACATTTGCCATTGTTGCTGTGCCCAGAAGCTTTCAATCCACGAGGTATTTCTGTTCTTACTTCATTGCATTTTGGTTAATTATAGAGCTTTCATGGAGGTTGAGGCATTGAGAAAACTGCATTTCATAGAGGATTAAAAAAATTAAATTTCCACAAAAATGCAGAGACTGTAAAAAAGAACACAAAGAGAGGTTAAACGATAAATGTCAGAAAGACTGTTCTGTAAAATACAGCAGTATATTACAAAACAGTGCAAAGAGAATAAAATTGAAACATGTTTCCCTTCGACATTTAGCATTCTACCATGTCTGGATCTGTATGGTTGGATGAATCACTGCACAGGTCACAATATTCCAGTTTACAGTAAACTGAGATTGAAACTAAAGTATATAATCAAATAACTGATTCAGTCACAAACCAAAATTTAACTAACTTAAAAGAAAACCATGCATATTCCTCAACAGAGCTTTTGATTCTTTGACCATCTAAGCCTTAATCTTCAAAAGAAGCAGACAGTAAAGCCCTTATAAACTCTTTCTTTACAAGTGGTCATATAAACTCCGTCACACATTTTAAAGTGTAAACTTAAACTAGGAAACCCTCAGACTGAGAGATCAGTCCCTAAAATGAAAAGTAATGTACCATAGATTTTCATCATGAATTGTAGGTAGTCCAAGCTATGCAAAAAGTTCAAGTGAAGCAGAGCGAATCCAATAAATTATACAAACAGAACATTTTGTGACATTTTTTTTATTTATTCATGCAAAGAATTAAAAAAAATATACTCTAGTTAGGCAATTACCCCACAAGGCAGAGCAAACTGTTCTCATATTTAATTTGTAGAAATGCAAAGGTGTTCCAGTTGCCCAATGATCCTCAGTAATAAGAGATGCCATATGTCACCTCACTTCCTCTAATGGAAGGTGAGAAAATGGTTTTACACAAGCTGTCCTTCTGAACCCAGAAAGATAAGATGTTGTAGGATCCCAGAAAAATTAAGCAGTTTTTCTCTCAATTTAATAAACTTCCAATTCTAAAATATGCAGACACACATCTTTTTTCTATTCTACTTCATATTTTATTCAACCTTCATTTTAAAATAATAATCAATAAAGAGACTACAATTAAAGAAGAATTTAAGTTTCATATTACGCTACATCCTCCAAAACAGCTGCATAGTGTTGTCACTATGCAACCACCATCTTCATATTACACAATGAAGATGGTGGTTACAATGACGGGTGATTTGCAGGTGTATGTAGGTCAAAAAGTGCAATTTTGGCCTCATCTGTCCCAATTCCTGTATTGTTGTACTACTTTGTGATGGGCCGTCACATACAATTCCAATAAAACACACTGAAGTTTGTCCTGAAGAAGTCAGAAAGTTTTGGAAGACCCAATTTTGTATGTCAAACAAAATATCACATCTAACTTAAGATCTGTGTTTCACAGACAAACCTCAAAGATTGTCCTGAAAACATAAACATTTTTGTGCCTCTGTTGTACTAGACGTGTGGTAAAACATATGAAAAAATAATTAAACTATATCATATTTTATATTCCATGAGATTCTATTTTAAATCTGTGCTATATAGACAGACTAGACTAACCAAATTTATATTCTTATTTTCACCATTCATTATCATAATGTTCTCTTGTGTAATTTTGATGTATTGTCTGAAATAAAATAAAACTGGACTATTCCTTTGTTAGTCTGGTATAATTGCCATTAAAATAATATCAAAATTAAAAACCTTTTAGTAAGCTACCACAATGAGGACATCATTTTGTGTTGTCTCAAATTGTATTGTCATATTTTCTTATTCCCAAGTATGCCATTAGCTGCAAGTTTCAATTAGAGCTTTACCTTATGTAAAATTCTACTCACTTGTCTGGCCTGCCAGGCACCTGCAGGCGTAAGCGACACTTGTTAGCACACTGGATTTGTTCTTCTTTGATGCGGATAAGCCTCTGCAGAGCCAGACACCAGTCCTGGGACACGGTGGTGTTTAGGTTCTTTGAAAGAAAGACACACATATTTAAAAGTGGCTGATACTAAACTAAGGCATGCACGGGTCATCAAGCACACAGCACAAGTCATGCACACAGAAACCAAAGGTACATCCTGTAAAAGCTCACAGGCCTAAGGTATGTTTTTTTTTTTTTTTTTTTTGCAAAACCTGCAGCGCATTGTTTGAACCAATTTTCTTCAGATAATAAACTGTGCAATCTTGTTCATTCACTCAAATATAACTGAATTTATTTCAGTTCTGACATCCATTTTATAGTAAAGCCTGGACCCTCAAGTCAAATAGAATGAAATCAATTTTCTGCAGCAAATGAGCTGTGTAGAAGTATTTTGCCTATTTCATTTTTTTTCAACAGACAGTAGTATTATAACTAGGTGGAAAGGAATACCAGCCATTAAGTGCCAGACCAGCATCACTTCTCCTGAGGACATTGTGCTCATTAAGCCCGGAGAAGCAAAGGTGCAGCCATTAGCCAGTGAAACTCGGGTGATTACTGGAGTCTACCTCCCTGGTTGTGCTACTGTATGTAGCATGTAGTGCCGTAAATGTGATACCAGAAAATTACAAGGAAGGCTACTGATTTGTACAGTACAGGAGGGTGTCGATGGTTTCTTTTGTATCAGTGAGAACATCTCATTCCCAACCTTGTGGAACTATTCTAGGGGAGAAAGATGGAAGAACATGTGCTTCTGCAAATTAATAATTTGAAAAAGTAGTTTTACTATCTTGAAAATCTTTTTTCTTTTCAGGTGAAAAAGCTGAAAAATATGTCCATTTCGTTTAAGTATCTTAATGGGTTCTCTGTTGTTCCTATTATAGTCTTGATAGGTTTCAAATGTTTTGTGAGGTGAGCCTCTGCTGCTGGCAAGTTGTACTTCTATGAATCAAACATTGTAATTTACCATCTTTTGATAACTCGGTCACAAATAATTTGTGATGCTAAAAGCACTCTTGGCATAAGTGAAATTAATTCTTCAGCATCAGTCTCTCTGTGAGTGTTTTTCTCAAAGGCCAAAAATAATAGCATACATATTCTGGAACAACCTAGCCTGTGCAGTGATGTGATGCATGTGAACAGAACAGACTAAGTTTTGGTGATCTGAACAGCTTCAGCTAAAGCAAAAAGCACAACACATCTCAGACTTTGCCATTTGGCTTTTATTTATTTATTTATTTTTTTTTGGGGGGGCCGGGGGTCTTTACATGTTTTGAGATTAAGTGCAATATGTAGGTTCAAGACGTACCTGGTATATCCCCTGTAGTGTGCCCACTAGCAGAGTAACCTCTTCCACAACTGAAAGGTCATGCTGAAGTTCCTGCAGCTCCTGGTACAACCGTGGAGGGCCCAGGAGAGCTTTACCTGGGAGATGGGCACAACAGAGTTTGGATATAAGCATCAGATTGCATAATGCACTACATGCTGAGAGTCACAGTCTCAGTACACGGTGATAAAATGCAACTATTTAGTTAGTTTCATTGAGCCAACAACTACTTCAACTCAAAAACAGGTAAATGCTGTTATTTTTATGCTGTAGAGTTCATTTGCATTACATGTTTCAAGTTTGATATCAGCTGATATGCACTAATAGTCATTTGTCTAATCAAGTATACCAGTACTTTACAAAGCTATTCTACTCCAAATTGCTAGTTTACTTGTTCTTTTATGTAGGTTTTTTAAGTTCCAGTATTTAAACGTTTTTGTTAAATACACTTGTCTTGAGCAGCTGTCATGTTGCTATTACAATAGAGCACAGACACCAAATTAGAGCATGTATATCTGTTTGCAGTTAATGCTCTTTTATGAGTAAAGCCACTGAATATAAAGAGTGGTCAAAATTTTTGCTGTTTTCTAGGTTGTGCTGACATGCAGAACACTTGTTAGCAATTATATTAATCATTTGAATGTTGTGATTACAGATGAAGGCTTTGCCTCTGATTACAGAGAAAGGGGATTAATCATTTATAAAAATGAGCTATTTTTGTAGGGAACGGAGAATAGTTCAAAAGGGATTGAAAAAAAAAGATAATTCACATTGAAGCACAACTAAGGGGACGCACCCTGTCACATCAATTAAAAACTATTGTGTTGGCACTCTAAAAGGTAGAAATACACGATCCGTTTCTAGTCAGTGTCATTAAAATATGGAAAAAATAATAATATAATTAGGAATTACTTGTCAAGTATTGTCTGCATTTAAAATGAATCCCTTTAAATAAAGAAATGTGTACATTTATTTTTTAAAGGAGAGGCATTGTGTATTTTCCAGGCACATAGTGCCAATCTATAGCACAGTCAAGTCGCTATGTTACTGTTAATTATTGCAAAAATGTGGTGTATACATAAACAATTATGTTTATCTTTTAAATTATTAAAAGAAATTTGACTTCCCATTTTGACATTTTGAAAATGGCTCCCGTCTCTTTAAGAAGCCCCTACTCTTTCTGATACTCCACCACATCATCACAAACAATGTTGGTCCATTATGCCGTTTACCACTGTTCTTAGTGGCGTTGAGAAGTAGTTTGTATGAAAAACTCAGCATATGCAAAGTTCTGCCAGGTGCTTTCTAATTACTGCTGCCTCTAGTCTGAAGGAGCAGTGTGGCGAGAGGCAGGGGGGAAGAGCTCTGTGAGGCAGAAGCTCTGATATGCAATGAAGAATTAAGTTAGTCATTCCACTGAAAATGTTATATCATTTTCACCAATATCTGTTTATCTTCTCAAGAAAAATACAGAAATATCATTGTCATACCATTACATATCCACACATTTTATCTATCCACCCAGTTGTATTTGAATTTTTATTCATTTGTAAGATTAGATCCTACAAGACAATTTTTACCAGCCTCCAATTTGTCTTTGCATGTAGATTAAAAAGTAAAAGCTCAAGGTCAAATTCTTGTTCCATCAACAGGAAAAGGAAGGCATTGTCTGACAGAGCTAATACGGGTGCAGGGGGTGAAGTTGCTTTGGTTGAAAGTCTAGTGGGCACTAATAAAAGAGTTTCAGAGCATAGAAGAATCGATCACCATTATTTGTTGAACTACAGAGAGTGAATTTATGAGTAAAGAAAAAAAAATTAGATGGAGAAACTGTTATTTGGGGCTATGATGCCCTTTGCTGGCCAAAGAGAATGCAGGTGTCTCATTAGACGCAAAATTCAGCATCGATTTGAGGTCCGCAGGCTTCAAAGTCTTTCTCTCCCAGTACCAGGAATCAATATCCACGTCTCCTCCTGTCTGCCGTCCCCCGTCCCAGCTCCCCTGGCCCACATTTCTCCAGCAGCAAGCTCTGTGAGAGTTGCCTAATTAAATTCTGCAGGTAGATTTTGCTCCAAAGCAGCCCTTGCACTGTCTCCGCTGCCACATAATAAAGTAGCAGGAGAGGCGAGTAGGTCGGCGAGTTTAGTGAGGCGTGCTCATCCGAGGGGACCTGCAGCTGTTTTGCTATTCGCCTGCATAAACGGAGTGAGAGCAGAGTCATAAGAGAGACTATGGGAGAGGGAAATGGGGAAGGGTGGGCTGGTGTTATTCATCTAAAGAGTGCCATTGTAGCTTTGGGGGTTTAATAGGATCTTTGACACTGGCACACGGTGACATCTGTCATCTGCGCGAGCAAATCAATAGGTGAGACATCTGAATATAAAGGGGTAGTGCTGTGTGCTGAAAGAACAATGTCGGAGCATTGTCTTCTTCAAAGGGATTGCCTGGACCTTTGTGCAGGTTCCCCTGGTCTTCCAGGGCCTGCTTTTGGCTACAGCCCAAGAGGTGAATGTGCTGAGTTGTAATCCAACATAATCCAGTTGGTGAGGCAGGATATGGTTTATACACTAAGACATGACTATCCTCGCTGGCCACAAGGCACATAATTCACTGGTGTGGAAGGCCTGAGCCCAGAGGGGTCCGTCCTCACACTCATCCGCTGTCCAAGTGATGCTAGCTAGTGGCTTTAAAGACAAAGCAGCTTCAATGCTTATGTCAAAAACCTTGTCTGATCTCCGGCCAAACCCTCTGCTACACCACTGATGGAAAAAAGAAAAAAAAAAACTGCATTTCTGACAGTGGGTCATACGGGAAGCAGGAATAAAAGCGCGTGAAAGGGGGGGTAAGTCAGTGTAAGAGAATAAACACCTGGAACAACTGGCTTTCAGGGAAAACACATTAACATTGTTTGGCTCTCCATGTGTTGGGGGATACAGACAAGAAGCCCAACAGCAGAATAAAGGCACAGAATGATGGAAGGTTTGAGGGGAAAAAAACAAACCCGCCTGCAGTCTAGTTTTTTTTTTCTCTCTCTCTAAAGACATGTCTGTGGGGTGGAAGGTGAAAAATGATTTGATTTTAAGTTACGCTAAGGGGGTTAGGCATGTCAGCAAGGCACTATGCTGAATTACATCGCATGGTATGTAAATACATGGTACTGAAAATCCAATTGAAAATTTGGCAACTGGTGCAACTGGCTTTGGGACAGACACTACCCCAAAAGGGTCAAAAAAGAAAGAAAAAGGAAAAAAAAAAACAGAAGGATTCCTTCACCATCCAATATTTTAGAGTTGGAGAAACTTGCAGAAGGCTGCACTGAGAGCTAATCCTAAATGATCCCAAAACCTTGCAGCAAAGCTGTGAGGATATGAGTATAAACTACCTGAACAAAAGACGAAAAAAAAACTAAATCCAGAGAGAATATAAACCAGCTCTCAAAAGAGTAGGTGCTTACTGAGCGTGACACAAGGAGCACTGAAGAAGGCACCATTAATATTTAAGTCATGGAGCGGCAACTTTACAAAGTGTGCTGCATTACATCCCGATAAGGCTTTGTATCTTCCTTTTCCCATGGCACATTTATCAGGGATCTCGTCAAGCTCGGTACACACCGGGGTATTGTGAGAGGTGGTGGGAGAACTACTGTTTCAACCACAGATTCCTATCTGCCGCTACCGGCTCTCTAATTGGTCCTAGAAAGGCAAGGAATAATCTCGGCGGATTGATGACTCCTCTCCAGACATGTTTGTGGTCTATCAGAGACTGAAATGAGACCGTGAGGATGATGCAGCTTGGGGCTCCCTACCCCAGCATCACTCTCCAAGATAAAACACCCCAGGCACACAGGAACAAGTGACCATCATCACTATCCCCCTCACAAACACATCCTCAATCAGAGTGACAAGCAGCATGACTGCATCTCCACCCCTCCATCTCCTCTCTCCACTTGAGAACAGGAACAGATTAGCCTTGCTGACTCAGAGAAAGAGGCTGAGACTAACAGTCAGTTTAAAGTGATGAGATTAACCAGGGGGTGAAGCATAGGGAAATATTGCACCGGCACAAGTTCACATATTTGTTTTTACCTGAATTGCAGACCCCACTTGGCCTCTTAGTCCCACTCTGCTGAAACAAGGTGTCTTTGCTTTGAGAGTTCTCCTGGCCAACTTCTACTACTTGCACATGCTGAAGGGGGGCGCTCCACTTCATGGTGTACTTGGGGCCAACAGGAACCAGGCTGCTAATATCCGGAGGTCCTCTGTAGGAAATAGTTACAAAATTAGTTTAAGCAGCCGGGAAATTTTAAAACAAAGTGAGGCAACTACCAGAATTGTCCACTAGGATATTGAGATAAGCAGAAATATAAAAGGGATTTATACACAATTGATTCCAGAAATGTAAGAACACGGGTGAAAAAAGATTTAAAAAAAAGATTGCTTTCTACTTTTTCTGATGTTAAATCAAACTAAAAATGTCCTGTTTCTGGTCATTTTGGATTTTTAAGAGTTTTTATGTGATGTCTTTGCAAGCTTCTAATAGGTTAATTCACAACATTTGATTTGAACCGAGGCACACCTGTGGCCCAGAGATAAAATGGTTCTGGTTTGAAATGTAAGTGTCAACCCCTCCACAATAGAAAAAGGGTTTGTGAAGATCCTGGCTAAAACTGAAAGGACAGCGACATTATCCACGGTGAAACGAGTCCTTCACTAACAAAGGCCACTTAGCAGAGTAGAAGCTTTTACTTGAAAAGTGCCAAAAAAATTCAGATAAAAATTTGCAAATGTGCACAGGGTAAAACAACTTTTTATTTTGGATACATGTTGTCTGTATGGATGAAACTAATATTGAAGTATATAGTCATTTTGAAAACCATTACACAAAGAATGAGGAAGTCTGTAAGGCCAAGAACACCAACTTGATTGTGAAGTCCAAACGTGGCAACATTGTGGTGTGTGGATGTTTTTTACTTTGTTAAGTCAGGTGTACTGCACAGAACGACATTCATCATAAGGAAAGAACATTATGTGTAAATACCAAAGAAATCAGCAAGTAGGTTAAAACCTAGTCACAAATGAGTCTTTCAAATGAACAGTTCTAAGCATACCGCCAGGTTAATTATGAAATAAATTAAGGTCAATGCTTTGGAGTGACTATCAAAAAGTCTAATTCTCATAAAAATATATATTTATATATTTCATGGCTGGTCTGTTAAGAACTGTTGGAAGCTTGGGGAAGAAAACACAAACAACTTAAGTACAACTTAAAAGCAAGTCAAACAAATACTAACCATCTGACTTTGAAGAAGATGATATTAAATATTTGATTATATCATCATCATGTCATTATATTTATTATTTGACTTAGACTTATCAGATTGCAGGAAAAATATCATGATATACATTACTACTTATTGTTTTTGTTGTTTTTTTAAATAGTACCTTTGGCGGAATTAATTGTTATTTACTCTGGATGAAAATTAAGATCGCTATCATTTTTATGAAGTTTCTAAATGGTATACCCTGTAAGCCTCTGCATACTGGTGTTGAAATGAAACATAAAATAATATTATCCTTTGGGGGCTGCACAAGATGGCTTCAAGTAACATCCTTGACAGGGACTTCGCTAAAATAAAAATAAAAAAATAAAAAAAAAACTTTCCTTGTTTACTACTTGGGTAAGAGAGACAGGAAGAGAGAGATATGATCAATGGCGCTGACAAGGAAGATAAATTGGAAATAAACCAAAAACGTTTTATGTCAGTAATCTGGGACTCCTCAAGCTGTTGTTAGGGATTCTACCATTTGTTTAATGCTGATAAAGCTCCTGCAACTTCAGATAGTGTTCAAAAGCCCTTGCAGTCTTTTCTCTTTACTGTGTAGCTCGCCAAATTATCTTTGCAAAACCTCGGGCATCACATAGGAGCCTTTTTTAATCAAATATGTATTTCTCCAAAATGTGTACTCTCCTAAGCTCAAATTAAAAAAAAAAAAAAAAAAAAAAAGTACATCTAATTCTACGCAATATCTAGACATTAGCAAACTATTTCTGAATGAATGGTTTATTCAATTTGCTCAACAACAGGGACTTACTTGACATTTATGTTGGCACAGATGAGCACATCATCAAAAAGGAAGACCTTCCTCTCCTTCGACTTCAGGACTTGTCCCCGCTCGCCATACACAGTCTCAATAAGTGTTTCACAAAGGACCAGTGACCTCTGCTCCGAGTTCAGTTGCTAAAAGGGACACAACAATCAGATCAAAGGCAGATGAGACAGTATCACAAAGCTCCAATCCTCTGGAGCACAGGGCCTAGAGGACAGGAAAGTCAAAAGAAACCATATCTCATCTGGGATTAGAAGCACATTCATTGTGCTGAAGGTCATGGAACAAGCATGTATGAATATGCACAGTTACATGTCCACAGCACCGTTCATTCAGTTAACCTTGTTTAAAAAAGATTGCACGTTTCCCTTGAAAGACTTTTCCGTAATGTATTTGCACAGCGGTTTAGGAAAAACCTAAGAGACACATTTACTTCTTATGAGCTTCTGCATTTGTCTGAAATGCTTGTAATTCTCTAAATAAGTGCTTCCAAAATACCCTTTTGATCATTTTTTTAAAAATTATTTTGTATATGGCATTTTATCAACATAGTTCAAACACAGTCAGAAATCGTATTGGCTTATGAGCGCTGGGACACACAATCCTTTCTGCCACAATAACAGAACTACTACAAAAACATATAAATACAGGCACAGTTTGTTGCATGAGTAAATTCATTCAGAAATTTACTTAAAACATTTTATAACAGACACAGTTGCTGAAAACTGTGTTGGCACATGCTGGTTACTTCACCCACACACGTTAAACAAAGAAGAACAGCTAAAGGTTTTTTTTTGTTTTTTTTTATCACTTTGCTTTGACTGCGTAAATGAGTTTAGAGGGATGAAGTTATAAAAGCCATTCACACTTAAGATAACTCAAGGTGTCTTCGGAGAAAACAAAAGTATGAAGGTACAAAATAGTACATTGAAGCAAAGAAATGCATAACAATAATTACTATGAATTTAGTAAAATGCCAAGAGATGTTTAAAAATTCATGTAAGAATGCTCAACATTTACAGTTGAGCTGCAGTAAACAAAGCAGGGATTTAAAATAGCCAACAGTTTCCTGGGGTCTCAGAAATGAGGAAAAATAAATGCTGCTTTACCTTTTTCAGTTCTTGTCCTGAAAGTAATAACAACCTGATACATCTGCATGATGCATACATTACAAGGAACTCTATCCACTACATAATGAACTAAAAGGATTTTAAAATCTAACATTTTACAAACCCCTAACTGAACCTAACCTCAGCACTTCAAAACCAAGCAGCAGATTCCGCAGCGACAATTTTTATCCAAGATAAAATCAGAACACTGTGTGAAAAGGTAAAGCAGACTGCAGGTTTTAAATGCTTCAGTGCCAATAACTCACAGTACTTTGAGAATTACATGTTATTGTGTCAGTTTTTCAATTAGCGTGCAAGAATTTTGGCCCAGTCTCCCTAATATTACTTCAGTTTATTGAATTTAGTTAATTCTATGTAGCTCGCTTGAGGTCCCTCTCCGCATTTTAATCAGATTGTGGTCACTACAACATGTTTTTAACATTAAAGCTCCATGCTAAGCATGGTCAGACTTGTTAATCAAGCTTTTTTTGAGTAGTACCGCTTGTCTACAGCTTTATCTCCTAAGTCATATGGAAGCAGAAAGAGGGGATTTTGATTTCTCTGTCACAGCTTTACCAATTTGGCTTTGTTTGGATGACCATTTGGAGTCTGTTGAGTGCTTTTGTGCACCTGAGGTTGATTTAAATAATCTGGCAAAGACTAGTGTGCTGCTCACACATATGGCTTCCTACAACCCTGGGGGCTAAGCACAGTCTTTCTCTCATCATATCCCATTTTTATTCCAGACACAATATCAGGCTCATCAAGTTTTATTCAAAAATGGAAGCCAGATTCTGACAACTTGTTTCACAAAATATGTCTGCCAAATTCAACTGATTTAACCTCACAGAAATACAAAAAAAGTCCTTAGTTAACATGAGGTGATCTGTCATATCATTAAAACTCTATCCGGCTCCTCTAAGAGATGGAATATGCTGCTATGATTTTTATTTTTGGTCTTCTCAGTATCAGTAGCCTCAAATGACTCTGGATGGCTGCATGTATTATGATGTGACTGCATGTGTTACTGGGTGAAAATGAAGTCTGTGTCTCTGCTTAGGCTGCTGCCTCTGGGACCCGACCCCAGTTAAGCAGAAGATAACTGATGGATGGATGTGATTTCTTACTTAAATATTTATACTTCCTACTCTGGTACACCAGATCCTTTGAGACAAAAGGAAACATTTTTCATTGAAGGTTTACAGCAACAACTTAGAGGATTATCTTCATATTGGAATTCTGCCATGTCAACGCTGTAAATGCAAGGAGAGGAGACTGAGTGAATCAACTCATACCAAAGTCCTGAAAAGCAATGACTCATATAGAAATATGAAATAAGGAAGGAAGAGAAGAAGGGTTTAAAAAAAGAAAAAAGATGGAAAAAGGACGGCATCGTAACACTCAAGGAGAAGAAGAGAAGTGTACTAAGTGGAGTAAACGAGTAAACAGAGAGTTGGGGGGGTGAAGAGCAAAGAGTGAGACCGACAGGGTGAAAAAGATAGCTCTCTTACAGTTTCCAATTAAATGTCTCATTTACCCCCTAATTCTTCTTATTCAGAGCAGCATTTGTTCAGATTTGCAGCAGCAGGACTGCAATTTTAGTGTGTAATGGAGAAGCAATCCCTCTACCTTTGCATGTGGTACTGTTTAGGGATGATAATGGGCACCGTTTCTGTGAGATGATTTCTCTAAATATAAATGCCACCAAAAATTAATGCTTTGGAAAGCGATATAAGCAATGTGCTATATATTAGTTAAATGTCCAGGTGTTTGGCTCCCAGCGATAACAAAACAGATGAGCTGCAGGGCTCAGAGGCTGGCTCGCAGCTGATTGCATTGGAGAAAACGTGTGTGAGTGAACAAGTGCACGTTCAGGTGTGTGCATCCAGTCACCTTACTGAGCAGGCGATCACTGATGCTGCGGGCGAGTTGTTGAGTCTCTGCAATCTGGTCAGCTACTCGTTTCTGTTCATTCAGCTTCTCAGCCAGCGTCTCCAGCTCTGTCAGCGCGAGCTGCAGGGGAAGACGATCCACATGGCCCTTTGGTGTATTCTTAAGCATGTCCTAAAAAAGTCAGAGTGGAAAGCAGCTGTTCAGTTCCACTTTTGCTCAGATACTTTTATACTTTCTCTGTTTTAGTAAGCTTCACTAGAAATACGCAGTTCCGGAAAGTCCTGCTAAATAAGTTTTAAGGATTTGTTCCATGGAATGTTTTATATTAAAACTGGTGTTGAACTTTTTTTTTTATTATTATTATTCTGAATTGCAGTTGCAGATAAATGGTCAGGCATCATCTTCAGGGGATTGGATGTAAGAGAAAAAGCAACAAATCCATCCACCGTATTTGTTTAATGACAAAAATGCAACATGATAATGTAAATGTACCAGATTTAGCCATAGAGCCGATTTACATCTGTAGTCCATGACAGGTTGGTAATATAAAACAAAATTAAAATATTAAATCAGATGATTAGATCAATTACAGAGTACTGTGTAAGTTATACAAGTGAAAATTTAAAATGTATTCAATATGGAACAGGTACTAATTTACATAATGCTTACCAATTTAATGGGTCATGACTCATGAACCACTGTTTCATGGATTTAAAGAACTGTCTGTAAAATGTAATGTTCCTCAACTCGGGAGGATTATATTCCAAGAATGAGCTGCCATGCAAATACTAGTTATACGCACTTGTGAAATTTAAGTTTGACTTTTGCTATAATACACAAAGCTTGCTCAGAGAGTTTTTCTGCTTTTGTAGTGAAGTCCTCCCTTGTTGTATTCAAATGTTCAAACAGTAGTTCATGTTGAACTGAACCACAGCATTCATGTATTTCAGAGAAGCCTCATTAGTTCTAAAATGTATACACTTTTTGAAAGCTTTTTAGAAACGTTTTAGCTTTTTTTAATCTGTGAGGATCTGTGTTAGCAAACATGTGCTCCACAACCAGCCACAGATCTTAATCATTACAGCTGACAGTTTTGTTGCAGCCTGCTCCTTATTTGTTGCAAGTAATTACACAAAGTTATCATCAGCATGTAGCAAATAACCTGAGGTGGCCAAACATCAGGAAGGGCTTTAAAAATTACAAACTGAAAAGCTGTATGCATTGCGTACAAGGTGGTAGTAACTGTTTTATGAGTCACACCTGGTGTCATTTTCACCTTATTTCTGGGGCTCCGCAGTAGGGTTGGTTAAATTAGCTCCTCCTGGTGTGTTTGTGGCAGCTGCAGTAAAGTGGTTTGTTTTGGTACCTAATCATATGTAGTGAGCTATATTTTTTTTTGAAGTAATCTGTTTGCAGTTTAACCTAATTTCCTCTTCTTTTTTTTTTTTACAATAATCCTGAATGTTGAGCTTTTTTCAACATTTCCAAACATGACTGCTTGCTGCACTGTTTGCAGCTACACCTTTAATCAGATGAAGAATAACCTGTGGTCTCAACTTTAATCAATCTATTGTTTTGCCAATAGGAATGTGGCATAATTTAATTTTAAAGTGACACTGAGAGCCCAGATGTGCTCTTTTTACATTTAAACTAGTTTATCTGAAGCACACAAAAGAGGAAGTCCTTCTCATACTTTGTGCTCTGTCTACAACATACCACCAACAAAAACATGTTGCCTTTTGAAAAGGCAACATTTCTACTGAACGCTCATTGAGAATGACTACAAATAACTAGTGACCAAATTAAATCCTTTAATGATTTGTAATAATTAGTGTAGCCCAAATATTTCTCACCCTGCCTGCATGCGCAACTCACAACAGAAAACTACCACTTAAATCATTAAGAGCACATTTGTTTCATGTTTGACAATTTTAAGACAATAGGGAAAATAAATCAGTTGTAAATTAACTCTTTAGTCTGGAGTCTTGTTCCAGTTCCTTCATTTATGCTTTTATAAGCCTGTAAATCAACCTTAAGATTTATGTGGATGCAGGTTTCTGATGAGTTGAATAAAGAAGGAAATCAAACTCTTGAACGGGAAGGGAACATATAAAACTGGACCCAGTAATTTGAGAAAAACAGTAAATATGTTTATATAGATAAAAACCTGATTTAGGTTTAATAAATGAGCCTGAATGGGCAAAGTTGTTTTAAGTAATGTTGTCATTTAATACAAAGTCCTTTTGTCCATGTTTTTATTTGTATCTGTATTCTACAGGACACTTCACTTCTGGTAACAGAATAGGCAATAGTGTTCTGCCTGGTGATCATTTCTTTACAAAATTGTAATATTTAGGTCAAATGCACTCCAAGTTTCTGACTATGGATGTCAAACTTTCCAAAAGAGTTTCTTAACTAACTCATAATCACTCTCAGCATCAGAGGATTTGGGTATTGTGGAAAGTTTTGAAGAGATCAGAGCATATTCATACGGTGAATAAAAACTGAATGCTTTATGACTTGCATATCTCTATTTGTCCTGCAACTATGACCCCATGAAAAGCTTGTTCTTTTCTTGATAAGCAGCTCAAATGTACCTTGTTGCCTTCAGATTTACTTCTCTGTAATGTATGATTAAATAGATACACTTCATCTTTGGAGTATTGAGTTTCAGCTGGAAGAAAATGCCTGATTCGTATTCATAACTTATCTTTTGAATTCATAGATAATCAATGCCTACTGAGGGATGAAATGAGTTGCTGCAGATACAGCAAGTCAAGCTCAAATCCAAATCTTGCCTCAAAATAGAAAAAGGAAAGTCAGCATATAAATCCACGAGAGGGATGATGGTGGTTGCCTGCTACCTTTAAAGCTCCACCTCTGTGGAGTGTGTAAAAAAGGAACCAATATACAACTTGTTGTGTACTTAAGTAAAGTACTATAATCAATTCCTACCTTTGCGGATTTCAATTTTGACCATATTTCCCACTACCCAAAACAGAACCCAAGTGGGATTTATTGTATCGGAAAAAAAAAGAAAGAATGAAAAATGTCTTGTACCTGCAAGAGGAGAATGAACTGGGGGAATCGCTGAATGGGCTTCACCATCAGTCCGTACAGAGTTATCCGGTCTACACTGGAGGCCTGTTTCCTCTGAAACCAAAAGAAAAGAAAAAAACTCAGAAGATGCAACAGGTAGTTAGAAACACATAATATTAAAGGAAGGTTTAAGAGAAAATGACCTTGTGTAGATGTGCAAGTGGGTGAAATAAGTACAAAGGTCAGAGCCTGCGTCACATGTGGGAGTTCAAAAGATTACTTTTGGCTTGAGTTACTTATATTTCATGGATTACTGTAAGCACACGCGAGGTAATATTTTTAATGTACAGTTATGGCACCACAATAATCTATGGTATAGTGACAATTACAGAAGCAAATAATAAGTAAACGTTAAGGGCAAGAAAGTGACCTATGATCTCATGGTTATACAAATATCTGACATTAAAATTAGTGACTTATTTTTAAGTGGTTGTAATTATCCATCGAGTTATACATAAACCATCTATAGTAGAAAAAAACATTTACCTTACCCTTGGACCAGATATGCCAAGGTTCTAATAAGTATGGTTTCAAAACTAATGTAAGGGTCTTACTGTGGTCAGAAAACATGCTGGAGTGGTTGGTGATTTCACTCACTGCTTGAATTACAGGATGAAATGGCACTGGCCTCCCAATAAGCTGTCATAGACTTTGTGACTTTAGTTTTGTATTTAACTTTATTTTGGAATTTCATATTGATTTATATTCTGCTCTCGTGTTTCCACAGTTCAACATCAGTTACTTGTCTTCCCTCACAGCTGCACCTTGTTTTTAATTAATCACCGACTCCATGTTCAGTGAACAACTCTCCAGCTGAAAAGTCTTTCAATTAAAAAGTTCTTGGTCAAATCACCCTGCTAATGCCACCTGCCTGTCTCTTTGTGTTCGCCTTGTGTATATTTGGGATTCCTCATCGACCTCCATTTTTGCATATTTGTTTTTTACTTTATTTCAGCCTCCTACCCTCTGCATACAGGCCATTCTCTTTTCCCATTTATTTGAGATAAGTGTTACGTTTGTCCCATTTTCCCTAAACCATATGAAGGATGTAGCCCTTGCAAACAGTTCTAGTGTTAGAGGCAAAAAAAGATACATATTTTGTCCAGGTAATAAAATAATGTTATAATGTAATTTCAACCATCAGCAGAAATAAGTTCTGCTTAAATTGAATCCTGTTAAACATTTCGGTTTTAAACATTTCTTCCAATCATCCATCTTCTGCAGCATATCTGAGACCTGGTCATTGGGGCAACAGCTTAAGTAGAGTTTCCCTGACCTCCTTCCCCCCTCATTGCCTTTTTGATCCCATCTGGGGGGGATTCAGAGTTGTTCCCAAGACGGCAAAGAGATTTAATCTCTGCTGCAAGGTCTAGTTCTAACCTGAGACCTACTAGCAGTGAGACATGCCCCAAACACTTTCCTAGGAAGTTATCAAGAATGCATGCTTACCAACAAAGGCATGGTCACAACCCTCCAGGATAGGATGTGTTAAATGTATTTATTTTATAAAAAGAAGAGTTGATTCTTAGCTGAGGTCTTTCTCCAGATATTATGGTCTCCTCCCACAATTCAAGAACACGTATGTTAGATAAAGCTGAGTGCATGGCTCTTTGCCAGCTTATTGGTCCTGTGATACACCGGCAATATGTCTGAGTTGTACTCTAACTCTGGGAACAATTATTTCAAAAATACCATGGAACGTTATTTATAATAATATTCTAATATGTTTTATGTACACTTTGTAACATAGATATACTTAAAAAGAAATATAAAGAATACATTTCTACTAATCTTAACGGCAGTTTTCAAGTTCCAGTATAGTTGAACATTACTATCTTTTTGGAGTTTTATAAAGTAGCATGAGAGTATCAAGCTAATTTAGTACGTTAATTAATGAATTGTGGTAGAAATCCTGAAATGTACAGACATGCCACTTATGGCTTTCCAATTTTATTTTTCCAATTTTATTTTTAAAACAGCATTAACTCCTTCAGTTTCTACTCTATGACTGTCTATATGTTGAGAAATATTTCCAAACTGCTAAATTTGTTTATTATTATGAGTGAAGGAAAAAAAATAGAAGTCTGTCTTCAGCTAGCTGACCAGCAGTGTGCAGCAACAGGTGAAAGAGGGAAAGCCTTGTGTTTCTTAACTTGTTAAGGCAATGGTTCTAAGTTGATGCTATTTTAACATTATTAGAAATTGTTGGAATAGGTAGTTGACTGATAAATGATGAATCAATCAATCAATGCTTTTGATTCAGGCATGCATTTCAGTTTGACCTGGTTATTGCTAATTTCATTATAGTAGATGGTTGTAAAATATGATATGGGTAGGTTTAATAGGTTTAATGATCATTAGTGGCTGTTCAATATCCAAATTCCCAATTAATAGAAAGCCAATATTATCAGTCCCCATTAGGTTATTTTTTAACAAACCTTCCCTCTACTGCCAGGGTGAGGCCAAAGTTGCACCATGTTCCTCTTTAGAACCTTATTAACTGTCTAAAACAAAGTGCAAATAACTGCTTGAGGACAGTGCAAGCAACAGGCATTCACAGTGGTCAGCTGCTACCCAATCAAGAAATCACAGGTCATACTATGAAGACGGCAATTGCAAAGGTTTCATCAGATTGAGCTGATGCTCAGTGACTGAGCACACAAACTGTTTTTCCCAGGTAACCTCATAAGCAAAGATGGCCTCTGAGTGGACTCAGTGAAACATTGCAGGAGCACTGAGTAAAACCTTTTTCTCTACGGCTTTCCATCTTTTTAGATGAAAAACATTGGAGTGGTGTCAAGAAGAGATATTGACCATCACTATCTGTTCTTTGGAGGGCAGTTATGTATTGCACAGTCAAGCTTTCCTAACGGAGAAGGAATCTAAAATCCAGGCTGGTGCCTCACATGAAAACAAATCACATCTAAAATCACATGAAAACAAGAGCAGAATGAATTTACCAGATTACCTGAGACATCATCTAAATTTCCTTAGTCATTATTAAACCCTTGCTCTGCAATAAGTAAGAGCAAAATGGCCACAGTAATCTGGCAGTGTAAGTCTTTAATGAATGCTTTTAAAACAAATGACTAAAAAAGTGCTACATAAAAGATCGATGACCCTTGGAAAGATGTTTTATTTTTAAACACGGTTACTGAGCAAAAGAACTAAAGGAAAAGGAGCATTGAGTTAACATTGACACTTTCTTTTCAGAGTCTAGGCAACTAGTGTATAATGTCTGTTTTTACAGTTTTGAAGTAAAGAAAAGTAGCACATTCAGAGGAAAACATGTCTCAATGCTTTCTGTTAATTAGCTTAGTAAAGCTTTATAATTGGTGACACAAAAAAAAAAGGCCCACAAAGAGGTTTTCTTATGGTCCTTGAATTACTCTAGGATAAATATCAACAAAAATGTCTTTCTGGCTCAATAAGGTTGTGTATGTCAGACAAGTTTTGGATCTGAAAGAAGAAAATTATTTTTGAATAGAAAATAAAATGGTCAATTTTAAGTTGTTAGGTTAAAGTACTGCAAGTTATCCTAAAGACAAGCACTAACTCATATTAAACAATGAATATGAACAGTTTTTTTTTTTTTTTTTTATATAGCATAAGCTACAAATAAAATGTAAGTGGCCCCATTTTAACAGAATGTGGTAACGTCACCTAAAAGGTATGTAGAAATCCCTTTTACACATAGAGTTTTACGACTGGAATATGTGACATTTGCATGGCACTTTATTTCTCCATGATGTAAGCTGCCATAGTTTTTTATAGATTCCAACTAGGCAAAAAGACATTGGTGGCTGCCAGGAAAGGCTCTTGAGTCAGCGCTGGGGAAACTCTGAGAAAGTTCAAAGTAGAGGTCTTCCGGGGAATGGAGCATAAAGTGAAGAGATTACACTGAATATGATTATAACCCAGTCAAAGTGGGTCATAATCATATTCACTGTGGCTGGATCACAGAGCCCTTCTGCAATGTAACAAATCTTGGACTTGCATGACAGTGTGTTTGATACCAGTTCTGTCGCAAAGCGATATTCATCCTCTTCATTGAGCCACAGAGAGAATAACTGTTGTGTCTGATAAACTAGAAAGTGATCTAAAAAGGTTAAATTGTTTTTTTTTAATCAAACAGTAAAGTAGCAACTCAGTGGCCTCGTTTTTTCTGACCTCAGTCTTTTAAAAATAGTTCAAGAACATTTTTTTGTGATAGGGTTAGGATAGAATAGGATAGATATGGATAGAATAATTTTGGTATTTCATCACTTGTTTTACACAGCACCATTCAGCTTCTACACACCACAAATCTGGAACAAACTCCCAGAAAACTGCAAAACAGTCGAAACACTGAGCGTCTTCTATGCCTTGACTACAAACTTACCTGTTGACTGTGTGTTCTACAACTTTGTATTTGTGTGTGTGTTTTTATGATGTAAAGTACTTTGAACTGCCTTGTTGCTGAAATGTGCTTTACAAATTTGATTGATTCATGGATTTTTTATTTTTTTTTTACATATCTGTGATCATACTATGTTTTGTAAGGATGTCAGAATTGCTAGAAAAAAGGCCTTCATAGCCCCATCCACTTTCCTGTTAAATTCTTAAAGTGAATCAGATTAAGCTTCATTAGCTGAGTTTTTGTAACAATACACACAATATGCAACAAAAATGAGGTTTTCCAATGACAGTAAATGTATGTATTGTGAAGGTGTTTGAATTCCTTCTTATAATGGATGGCAGAATTAGTTAACATTTATGAAAATAAATAATAATAAAAACTGAAATAATAAGTTTCTACCCACAAAGCAAAATGTTAGCCATGATACATTCCACAAATGTAAAATGCTTATAAAATGGATTTCTGATCATGTCATTGACCTTATGGAATAAATTTGCATTTGTTACCAGGCAACCTGAGAGAACTGCAAGAAGCATTGGCATTTACCAGCAAAATATTCCACCGATGGCATGTCCCTTAAATGCTAATTTGAGGTTAAAAAAAGATAACACCTATTGCACCACTTATGCCTTTGGGCACCTCAACCCACTGAACCCAGAGAATGCAAAATGGGTAAGATGTCACCAGCAACTAATAGTGAAAAAAAAAACTGTAGAACACCAGCAAATTATTTAAATTCTATATGATGGGTAGTGACTGTTTAAATTAAGGTAATTGGAAAAGTTTGATCTTTGAAATTACAGCATGTCTAAATAGAAACAATACAATAACCACCTTGTTTGCACCTTAAGTCAGTTTTTAAATCAGTCTGCATTTATATTGCATGTCAGTAGAAAACTGACATTCAGTGGAAAAAGATACATTTTCAGCAAAAGCACAAATGTTCACAGATTTAAAGACAACGTGTTTTGAATAACTTTGAGCTTGTGAAAATATGTTCAGACTACATAAAACAATGAACAAAGTGTACATGATGTCCTGGCTGCCAGCAGAGAAACCAACTCAAACTCAGAGTCCCTGAAGGTGAGTGGCGTTTTTTATGCTGCTTCATGTCAGATAATAGTTTGACATACTGCAGAAGCCATTTTTGAAATGGCATTTCAGTCCTTCTCAAATGTTCTACTGGAATTGAATAAAAATTTGTAGCTTTTCCTATTTTATTCAATGTTCATCTGCTGCAACACTGTGATAAAAGGTCATTGTTCTACTCAAACATTTCAAACATTTTTTTTGACAGATAAAGTTTTACCAAAAACTACCTTGCCATTCTCCTGATTTCATCAGTTCTTTAATGCAGTTTCTCCACAACCAGAGAAACTATGTCACAAGAAACTTTTTTATGTTTTAATAAAGTAAAATTACTTTTTGCTTTGGAAATATTCTGATAGATTAATGCTGTACATTCACAAAAATACTGCTCAACTTTCATGGGTTAATTTCAAGCTATTTAAGAGACTATAACACAACAACAACAAAAGCATTAATATATTAAAACCTTGCATCCTTCCTTTCAGCACATTTCTCTTAATTATCATATTAATTTCAACCTTTTTTTTAATCAACAGTGCAGATATGAAGAACAATTAGCTACATATGAAAATAAATCTTCATCCATACATCATTTCAAGAGATGTTGACAATAAAAATAACCTTAAGAAAAACTTTTTTGCTTTCTGTATTGTGATTTTATTTTTATTTTTATTTTTCATTTAGGTTAAAATAACCAGATACCCGACATTTAACTTCTTTAATAGGTTAAGGAAGTTAAATCTTTTAACTTTTTGTTTTTGGTGTCTGTAGTCTGTGGCTATAAATATAAGTAATACACATATGTTGGGTTTTACAACTGTTATTGTCAACATGCTTTAACAGACATCTGAAATCCCTTCAAGGCAAACCTGGGTAAATATAGACCTTTTCACAAGTAAAAAATAACAGTTATACATGACCATATTTTGATTTTCATTCCCAAAAGAAACTAGAATAAGCCAGTTTTGGAAAGTGAATACTTTCAGGCATTTTGGATGAAAGCTTAATGCCAGATTTTAAATTCCTTCCAACAGGGCTGACAGATGCCCAGCAGTGTCAGCTGTGTAGTTCTGTCAAAACACAAAACAACCTTTTTTTTTTTGTCAGAAGTAAACCTAATTCAAATCAAAGAAACACAGTGGTAAAATATTTAATAAGAAGTTTAACTGGAGTATATTGCTAAGATTGCATCCATTCATTCCACGCTGGAGAAAAATGTTTGGTCCAACATTGGTAAAAAAAAAAATTGTGGAAAACACAGTAATTCTAAATATCAGACTGCTGAAGTAGTTGCTCTATTGAAGTGTGCAAATTTTTTGCTTTTAGCACAATGCCACTTACTGGACTGAATGTGGATCTTAATTTAAAATCTTTTCATCCAAAAGAAAGACTTTATGACACTGAGAAGTGGACACTTGAGTAACGTTTATACTAAAATTATCCCAATGACCTCACAGTTAAAAAGGGTCTTCTGAGTGTGTCCTGTGCCTACTGCTCCTTGGTATAAATAACATGGCCTACATACGTTTAATCATTGTTGGTTGAATGCCATTAGGGAGAAATGTAGACTTTTTCATGCGATTCTTTTATAAGCTTGTATAAGTGGGATTTTCCTGAATTTTATAGATGTCTCACCTATCTGTTAAACTTAACCTTGAGCTGTATGCTACTGCTTGAAACGTTTAGATCTTGATATTGATTCTCTAGGTCTGGGGCTTGGAAAAAAAAAAAGAAAAAAAAAAGCTAAACAGAAACTAAAAATATAAACTGGATACTTTGACAAAAATGATATAGAAATTCAATATAGTGCAAAAAGAAATATATTCACCTTTAGAAATTCCAAGAATGCCGGTTTGGACATGCATGCCTTTTTAATGAGAGCCATTGCATTGGTGAAGTTGTTCACATAATCACTGTACACATCCAGCACCATGGACTTAGAAAACTGTAAAAGAAAAGAGAATACAATTAATAAAAAATATACATATATAGTAAATATTTTACAGCACCAGAAACATTGTTTAGTTTTGCAACATGTATAGTTTTCTAATACCATGCAGAGTCATATAATTTCCCCTGACTTATATATTGTTGGCAAAAAGAGGCCATAAGATGAAAATAAATCATTTGTTTTTCATCCTAGTTGTTGAAACGGTAAACAAATACCCCCCCCCAATCCATTTAGGATGGTGCACAAAGAAGAATGAGGTGGAAGACTGTGTGGGAGTGCAGCTGCGTGTGACTGTTCTGTGGTAAATATCTATTCTCCTTCCACAATTACACCTACGCCAGGCGGCTGATAGCGACAATATGAGGAGTAATGGGAAATTGGCAAATCAGATGAAGGAATTAACCCTCTTTTCTCTAAGTTTCCCTTAGGACTCTGCTGGCTCAGATATTACTGCAGACTCTGCAGGTAGAAGTAAAAAAAAAAAAAGGAGCAGCCCAAGCTGGGCTGTATACGGCCCTAGCATTTCCACTGTCAACCTGGCTTCATTAGATAAACAGTAGGTCTTAAAATATCAATGGAACAGCACAATAACACCCAGCAAAGAAAATAATAAAACAACTCCTTCTAATAGGCAAATAATGAGCAAACCATATGGATGAACACACACTGCAGACGCTTGAGCACTGCTAAAATTGTGACAACATATATCCCTGAGACCATCTGATGCAGTGGAGATATTTATCATGCCTGTAATTGATTTTGTTTGGGGTAAACTATGTCTGTTTGCTCATCATTACTGAGCTAACAGAGACATAGCAATGAGATCCAATAGGATACAGTAGGGAAAATAGCCAAATATCCAGAGGCCTTTATAGACATTTACAGCCCCCCCCCACCCTCTGTGTCTTGCAATAAATTAGGCTAAATTAATCCTGTGTTTTGTCACTTAGCATAACCAAAGTTATTTCACTTTGCTATAAACCAGAATGATGAGCAATACCTTGGTTTTAGGTATCTTTCCACAATTTCTATTGTTTTTAACAATTTTCTTACAATAGGTCAGCTGCTATTTTGGCCCAATCCTTCTGACACAGCTCTCTTAAATGACTCTGTTTTCTAGGTCACCTTCCTTCCACACACCTTTTCAGCTCTGCAAGCAAATTTCCTTTAATACCACCTACCACCACCAAAGCAATGACTTTGTTGTTCTTGAGCCACCTTGTAAACAATCAGATTTGATACCAAGGTTCACAGTTCACTTAAAATACCCTTTTATGATCAAGCTTTAACTTTCTGACAGATGTCTTGAGATGTTTCTTCAGTATTTACATTATTCTTTCATCATAAGGCCATCGTGATGCTTCAGTCCAAACTGCAGCAAAGCTCCCACATGACATGTTATTAACCCCATACTTTTCAGCTGATGTGGTGTTTTCAGGCTTAAAAATGTAATATATTTTCTATCAGATGTAACGATGGTCATTATGACCTAATACTTCTTATTTTATCAAACCACAGGAAGTGTTTCTAAAAATTAAGGTCTTTTTCTTCTTGGACATTTACAAACTTCAATCTGGGTCTTTTGGAGAAATGGCTTTTTCCTTGCTCTGTGTCCTTTCAGTCCTTCTCTACTTTGATGTCAGATTGTGAAATAAAAAATGTATTTTTTTTTAGTACAGTCTATGTACATATCTGGCATCATCTCCACCAACACATCGGTCAAGATGTGAACAAACAGTGTGGTTTCTGTAATATACACTGACCGAGGCAACAAACAAGTCCCCGATTTTCTCACTGCTGTCCCACTCTGCCACACGGGAAGCCAGCGCAATCTGGAACATGGAGTGACACTGTGTGATCTCTCTGATGCGGTGGAAAATGGGCCGGATCTTCCTTGGACTCAGTATGCGCGGCTCTGCCTCCATCAACGGTCTGTGGTACTCCTGGTGAGAATGAGGAAGAAAATTGCAATCACAGATTGTTGGGCATAAGCATTTTTGGCCAACCACTTCTTCACAATTCAGAGCCAGAATAGTAATGGAAGCAAAAACATCAGTTGATGGTCTTTCACAGAAGGGGAAAGTGTTGATCTCTTCATGAATTGTCTCTAACCCACCACTGTAATTTACAAGCAGACACAAGGAACATCAGAAAGCAGCACCAGAAACCATTTTGTGACATTGTGGTGTTATACAGTACTGTACATTTCCAATTGTTCGGGATGTCTTTTGTGTCCAAATCATGTCATGTGTCTGGAAACAGTGCATTTCCGTTACTACCTGGCTGCTCTATTTGAATCACACACACACAAAAATTTTTTTAAAGCAGTGAACTTCACAAAGGAACATGAACATTAATGCCAACCCCTAACAAAGCCAGGACATTCTATCTTGACAATAAAAGATTTTATTGCATACAAAGCAACCATTGATTGTAGTTAATTCTATTTCACTGGGCTTTTCTTTTATTTTCCAGTGATGATGAGATAAGAGGTCTCCTTTTCCTTTTTATCTAGGGAGATTAAAGAGGAGCGACTGCACCCCCATCGCGCAAGCCTGACAGCCTCTCTTTCTCTGCATCAGCATGAAGCCCCCTCCAAAAGAGCATAGGTGTTTTATCAAGATTATTTATGCACAGACACCTTCATAATTTGATGAATATCTCTGCTTCTCTTTTCAATGTAATTCACAGTGGCTAAACTGTGAAGATATTGCATGTGGCAGGAGAGGACAGGAGGACTAAACAGCTCACCTGCAAGATCCTCCTGAGAGATTCCAGGTAGCTCCGCTCGCTCTGAATGATGGAGCCAAGGATATGGCGCCTGACAACCTGCGTGGACAACAGATCAGTCAGGAGCTCAGGCTCTAACAGGACATGATTGGGCTGCGGTGTGTGGCATGCTTTCAGTTAAGCACGGCACCGGCTGATGGATTACACCATAATCATGCGTTAGTCACAGGAGAAAAAGACTCGGAGGAGTCGGTCTATTTGAACGAGCTGAATCACTGGAGGTGCTGTGACATGAAAGCAACTGTTCTAGCTGTTTTAAAACACACTGCTTTTACAAACAAGATCAGGAGTTTAAAGCAAACGGATATTAAAAATAGTGAATAACAAATGACTTCTTTAACAGCCTGAAGCGTAATCCTAAGGCTACTGAGTACTGCATTGGTTATAGGCGTGCATACACCATTGAAAGCTGTTGTCAGAGAGCACAATTTGACGAGTCTCTCAGCTCTTGTGCTTGTGTACAGGCTCTCAGGTGAATGGTGTTGATTAGAACTAGAGGTAGCTGGACAGTGTGTGTAGAAAGAACTATGTCATATTAACCTCTACCTGGGAATTTTCGTCTGGGTTTTTTTGTGTTTTAATTGTACAGAATGTTCCTTATGGTGTTTTTAAACATGCAATAACTAGTCGCCTCCAATGTTATATACAAGGTACATAATTTGTGGCGTTTATGGGTGGAGACTCAATTTTTAGATGAGTATGAGAAATAGGAAGCCCTGATCAAGACTGGCTCTGTGATTGGGAGAACAATAATGTATAACAAATACAGTAAACATGTAGACAATACAACAAGACATTGTTAACTCAGTGTTAAGAAAAATAGACAGGGTGCTTCATGTAAGTAGCATCAGAGCTATAAATCGATTTTCTTCATCCTTTTTTTTTTCTTTTGAACAAGCCATCATGTGAGCAGGTTGTATACTCTTTCTGGAAACCGATTAAGCTGAACACAATAAACAGAGGTTTGAGTCTAGTTTGTTTTTAGGCTTAGCTTTGTACCAATACTACTTGTGTTTGGGTGCAAATAGTCCCTTTCACTACATTCACCACATGTTGGAAAGCCCCATTTTCAATTTACCAAAGTGACAAGCCTCCCTCGAACAATACACTCTATGAAACATTGCACGTTTTACTATTCTTTAGCTTTTCTACTCAAACTACTCGCTTCTATGCTGCTAACAAGTGTAGCTGTTACAGATTTTTATGGATGATGGGGTTGCTGTCAGCTGCACCTGGTGGTTGGTCAACCCTTCTGGCATGGGGCTCAGCTGCGGGGGAGGATGCTTCACTTCTGACACAGCCACATCCAGGTATCCAGCATCATCATCCTCCTCTGCAGATTTCAGAAATGGAAAAAAAAAGAAAGAAAAAAAAAAAAGAGAGAGCAGTTTCAGATTGTTGCTGTGTCTGAGTAATGTGTGCATGTGCGTGTGTGTGTCTGTGTGTAACAGAGAATGTGACAAGGACGGAGAATAACAGAAAGGCAGCCTTCAGATCTCAGAGCAGCTGGAGACACAGTGACACGCTAAGTTTATTACCTCTAAAATATGAAGAAACTTCTGAACTCTCTGAAGAATAAAAAAGGGAGAGAGCAGAGGAAATGTGAGATAGAGAGAGAAAGAGAGAAGTAAAGAAAAGGCAAAGGAAGAAAATTCAGGGCAATACTGTATGTAGGAGTAAAACAGGCACAAAAGCAATCCAACTCATTCTTATCTCTGCATTGGCACAATGGCATACAACGGTGAAAATCCCCAATTCACCCGTAGCCATTAAGACCCAGCAGAAGGTTTCATCAGTCCAATTAAAGCCTTTAAAATTATATCAGAGGATTTTTGGATGACAAACACAAAGCAATGAAGATTCCAGGCGACCAATGCCTGAAAATAGCAGCACTGTCCTTCCTATCCTCTGTGTGATGACTTAAAGATGTGTTGCAGGCATGAGTCTGCCATCTATCTTAATGATGCTGCTATCCATTCATTGATGCTGATCTGTCTATACTGTAAGGTTCCTGAAACACAAGCTCCACGATGTCACATGGGATATTTTCTCTCTTACACACCAGAAACTTTTCTCACCCGCACCCCCCATCCCATCTTAGTTGAAATTGCAAAAGCTTGTCTTTTGTATTTTAAATATAATCAGTAAGATCTCTTCTTCCACAGTACTTTCATGTTTGCCTCAAGGGACTTCTAAAAAAAAAAAAAAAAAAAAAAAGACTTTCTACCCCAACCATCTTAGATACTCCTATTCGGCTTGGCGAGGCTGGATTTTTACTCAAGTAAACTGTCTTTTATGTTATAAAAGCTCCAATGAATTTTAAAGCATCCACAGATTCCTTTAGAAATTACACAACGTTCTATAGTCATAACTCAAGAGCAGCAAAGTTTTAAAAATTTCCTCAATTACCCATTTGATCTTTTCTCTGCAGGAATGACACTTTTCTCATGACGGCTATTTTGGTCCTCTCGAGTCCATCCTTCGTTCCGGTTCTTGCCGCCCTCATGAGCTGCTGAACCTGGTTGCGTGGAGCACACAGAGACAACAAAGGAGCATCAGAGCTGGAGGGAAGTGCCATGTTGCGGTGGCTTGATAACCTACGGTGCTCCTCCGGAGAGAGACAGAGAGAAGTGGCGCTCAGCAGGCTCATCATGAGCCTCACCATCTGCGACTCCCCCGTGGGTCGCTGTACGGCTTTCTAATCAGAGAGCCTGTGAGCATATCATGGAAAGATTATGGTAAGAGAGGGAGATCCACATCAGCTGCCTTGCTCTGCGTGGGAAAAATTCAGCTGACCACAAACTCCACCCTGAGCATCGCAGAGGCCATGCAACCAGACTCCACAGACCCAGAATGCACTCAGGGGAGTAGTATTTTTAAATGATGCTACTCCGAAAAAGTAGGTCAGAAAGTGGTGGCAAGTTGCACTGATGTTTATGGAGGCAAACACGCACACTATTATTAAATAATTAATGAGTTTCATGAATTTGTCTTGATATTAAACAAGGCAGGGAAACATAAAAAGGGAGCCTAACAGGCCAATCAATAGTCTCAAAGCAAAGCCACAGAGCAGAGGAAGAGCTAAGAAGGATGGCACAGCGAGCCAATTAAGCCATTGTGTCAGCTGAGCATAACAGATTGCATTTATCAGCTCTGGGTGATCATCAATCCTGTAGTTAAACATGTAGCAGAGGGAGTTGAGTTCCGCTATGAAATTATGTGACACAAAGTGGGCTTCGAAAGTGTACACACCCCAATTAAAATTACAGCCTTTTGAGACTTAAAAAAAAAGGAAATTTAATCCACCTTTAGTGTGACATATGTTGTGTATAATTAAAACAAGAACATCTAATAAATGGGTTATTTGGAGAAACCATATGAAGAGAAGAGCTGCGACAGCCTGCTTTCATAAATGTTTATGCCTTAAAACTAACAACCTTGGAAAATTATTCTAAACTACCAGACTGAAACATGTCTCCTTCCAGGTCTTCATCCAAACTTCCACAAAACTTCAGTCCAATCCTGTTCTGCTCTCAACAATTGGAAAGCTTTACATGTTCTCTCATGAAGTCATTCATTTATGTCTGGACTAAAATAGATACCTGAAGGTCTTGGATTAAAAAAAAATTACTGACATTTTTCACTATTCAGAATTTTATGCAATTTAACAAATAACAAATTTCCACTCCTAAGAATAATGATGCTACCACCACTACACATGATGTTCCAATTGTAATGAGCCTGTTTCTGTGCCAAACATACCAAAACTTTGTTTCATTCAGACAAACTGTCCTGTGGAGATGTTAGCCAGTTGGAGATGTCCCCCTTGATATTTAAGCATTCTGTTTTAATAAAGTCCTTCTTCTTTGTTCAGATATATGAAGAACAAGTGAGATTGTTGTCACTTGCACAACAGTGTGAATATCTGCTGTTCTTTCCACTGTTGTCACTGAAACTGATGAAAGGTCTTTTCACAGAAAGAAAGAATGCTGAACTGAGTTTCAGAGCAGTCAGATTATTTAACCTAATTTAATTCTTACTGTACAGTATGTTTTCCCTTTATACATTTACTTGTTTTTCATTTGAAATGTATAGAATATATATATACATATATATATATCACACTGAAGGTAGAAAAATCTTGCAAATTATTCAGGGGCAGTGTCAATATTTTTAACTCTCAAAAACCTGGTATGCATTTTTAAGGCCCACTGTAACTGTGTTCCGTTGCTGCTTGGGGTTATACCTTGATGTCATAGTTGTGCTTTCCAGACAGCCTCATAGCCAGTTCACGTTTGGTCCTGGCACACCGCTCCCTCAGCCGATGCACTTCAGGTGAGAGCTACAGGGGGATTGGATGGGGACGGGTGGGGCACAGGTGCATGGAGTGTTAAGCCACAAAAGCCATCGGGAAGAGGAAAGCAGGAAAAAGAAGCCAGAAGAGGAAATGGATGCAAAGTGATCAAGGGGAATGAAAAGCTGAGGAACACTGGGAATTAATCACAAGCGCAGAGAGTGAAAGCTCGGAGCACTGCTTTGGTCAAAGGCGTCGTGTCTAATGGTCGCTGATTTATGTAGGGTCCAGAGTGGCTGCAAGCAGTTTGGAGCAAATATTAACTAAACAAACTTTACTGCAGCTCTCCCAGGTTTCTTAAACAAGAACTCCGGCTTCACCGGGTGAAAAATTAATTGGGCGAAACTAATTAAAAACAATGTGTTTCTGATGAAGGCTGTTGGACTCTAATAGTTTAGCTTTCTTTTATTAATTGTAAAATCCAGCACACCTGAATTCTTCCTTTTGTTCAGCGGTCTGAGACAAACCTGCCAACAGAACGGTGGGGGGATTTTTCACACCGCACCCCACTGTAATTACCAGGCAACTCATTTTCCCCGTCCCACATCAAGAAGGATTTTTGTTACCTCTGGCCTCATTTGTTTTTCAGATTATTAGTTCAACTCTGCATCCTCTTAGATTACAGTAGAGTATTATCCATGCAGAAACACCTTCAATGTTCAGGTTTGACTGAAAGCAGGTATAAATCTATACATTAGTAATGACTCAACTACAGATTTTCCATATGTCTGCAGTGATGAAGCCACATTTAAAGCTGCTGGAGCATAAAGAAAACGCAGCACAATGTCAATGTGCACACAGTGCCATCATGTGGAAGCGGCACACTGTGGAGCATCACGGTGATTACCGGCAGTCTTGGCAGAAAAGAGGCAAGGAAATCTGTGGCTTTTCAAACAGAAATGTCTCATGTTTACTTTCATCTCACAATGCTCGGATAAAACTTGACAGCCTTTTATGCATTTTTCATGTCCTTTACCGCTTCCTTCCACTTCTATACATTAATAAAGAGTACTGCAAAAGAGAGGCAGCGAATGAAATATTCTCCTTGATATTGTTTTAAGTGCTGAAAAACCGACCCAAACAACCTGGCCTGTCTAGATGCCATATACACAGATATCAGGAATGATTTGACATGGGGTCTACCTTGCTCCTTGCCGGCAGCTTGGCGTCGTTATCAGATTGCTCATCGTAGCTCTCAAACTCACTGGAGCTCCACCCGTTGTTTGCCTCCAAAGGACCACTCTCTCTTTGGACATCTTCATAGATCATGTCTGCTGAACACACAAACACACAGCAGGTCAGGGGCTGCAGGTGGGAGGTCATGAGAGAGCAAACATTTGAGGCAAACACAATTCTGCAACCGCCGACCTTCATCAGGGGAGAGAGGTTCCTCGCTGGGAACGTCATCATAGATCACCTCTAACGAAGCCTCTGGTGCTCCTGCCTCTGTGTCAGCCGCACAGATACACACACAAAAAAAAAAAAAAACACAGAAGAAAAACAAAGTTTCATCAAGTCGCACAAACACGAGTTTTGCTTTTTAGCTTCAATCGTTTTTGCAGTGGCATTCTAGGACTTTCTGTTGATAGATCAAAATGTTGTTGCTCTCAAGAGGAAAAAACAGACATTCACATGCAGTTTTTCCTCTCATCTGAATCTTTTGAGGCAGAACAAAATATATTTGCTTTTGCTAGAAAAGAACTTGGACCTATGAGTACACTCAGTGGCCACTTTATTAGGTACGCCTTGCTAGTACCTGCTTTAATTTTTAGTGGTATAGATTTAATTAGCCGTCAGAAATATTCCTCAGAGATCATCTATGAGGTTGCTGCAGATTTGTCAGGTCAGCTACACATTCCACCACATTCCAAAAGTGCTTTATTTAACTGACAGCTAGCGATTGTGGAGCCCACTGGAGTACAGTGTGGAACGTATTTAATTGTTTTGTTCAAGTTCAAGAGCTTCAGAAAATGTGTACACGGTGGTCATAAAGAGACGGACATCCACAGGTAGGCTGCAGTGTTTAAGCAGTGCAGCCTAAGGCTACAAAACCTATAGTGTCCCAGGAAACTATTACCAACAGCATTATTGCAACAGCAGCAGCTTGAGTCACTGATTCAGTGCAGGGTGGATTCATTCTTTCAGAATTTGCATCCAATTCTGAGCTTTCTAAACTGAATGTCGCAGCTGAGACTCATCTGACCAGGCATTTTTTTTTTTCCGGTTTGTTTTGCCCAAATTTGGTGAACCTGTTCGAACTGTAGCTTCAGTTTCCTGCTTTCAAATTATAGGAGCACGATGTTTTGTTGCTTTCTGCGCCTAGGTTGAAACTGAACGAGGTTCAATTCAGTTTCAATTTAAATTTAAATGTATGCATTTAGATGCATTCTGTTCTGACCCTAGTTATAATACAATTCAGTCAGGTTCAGTTCATAATATGACTCATTAAAATATTTTTAAGGACGTTCAACTGATTGCGCTGAGTCATTGATGTTGCTCCAAGATCCACTATAGAGCAGGGATGTAGAAAACGTAGAAAAAGCAACGTCTGGTTTCAGCTACTGAAGGTAGCAGTGCAGGTGTTTTGTTCAAGCTACTGCTGCCTTATTATCATCTCAAAGCAGTCTGCACATTCTGCTCTGAAAATGTACACGAACAACGCATTTTTCATCTGCATAATAACCGCACAACGGATATTTTATCTTTCCTGGACCATTTTCTGTAAGCCAAAGAGATAGTTATGCCTGAAAATCCTACTAGAGCCGATGTTTATGAAAAATGTGGTTAAAATCTGTCAAGTCCCAACAACCACACATCATTCAAAGTCACTTAAATCACTTTTCTTCCCCACTCTGATTCTGTGTACTTCAACTCGTCTTCCCCACGTCTAGATGCCTAAATGTGTTGAGTTGTTGCAACGTGATTGGCTGATTTGCTACCTGTTTTAACGAGCAGTTGAATAGGTGTACCTAATTAAGTGGCCAGTCGCTTTATTTAAAGGTTCTTGTCCTTAGGGAGATCAAGCACATCTCTTGTGGATGTTGCTCTAACGGCTTTGTCCACGTGACTTAACACGATTGTATCCAGCTTGTTTGAGCTATTGACCCATTCCATCTCCATGCCTGGCAGGATTTGTCATTAACTGCTTTGAGAGTGTTTCAGCCTAATTTACCTCAGTGAGCTTTATTGATTTGGTTTTAAACCCTGATTTGTCTACACACTCTCCTAAGCTCTGAACAGCAACAATCACCGTTTTTAATTAATCTTACTGGAGACGTGCTTTCCTGTTGTGGATTATTCAGACTAAAATTCTAAAGGACCTTGAGGAAACCCTTGAGGAAGGAAAATGTATGTTAAAATATTGTTGCTTTTTTATAATTGGGAAAAAAAAAATCTTTTCATATATTTCCACCTAGTTGTGTAAGCAGAAAGAGGAAAGCAACTGAATTTAGGAGGCCCAGAAATCCTACTGGTCCCTTGAGGAACATCGCTTGTTCCTTCAAGTTTTGTGAGGAAAAAGTTCCTTGCTGTGCTTGCATAGTTTATTCAGCTTTATATTGCAGCACAGTAACTCTAGGTCAAAGTTGTTTCAGGCATGACATACTCCATCATAATAAATATAACTAATTGTTATAAATAGAAAAGAGAGAAGCATTTACAAATCAATGTCAGAACATCACAATCTCATGTGTCATGACCACATTCAAGGACTGAAGGCAAATGATTGCTTCTTCAAACAGGAATCACTTCATTATTCATAATGAACCATATAAAGTATATTTGATCAACGTGAAAAACTCTGACAGCATGTAGAACCAATTTGCACAAGCTGGCAGGTTATTATTATGCAAAATACATTCTGGACTCTGATGTTTAAAGACTAAAATTACAAAGCAGCAAGCATAAAAACATTAATACAAGAGAAAGATTTCTCATTAGATTTTACCCCGTGTTAAGTTAGTTTGCTTTTCCCCCTTTTTTTTGCTTCATAAATATAGATGTCAGAAAGAAAAGTTTTATATAATTTAGAATTTTCAATTGCTTTGTATGAGGAGTCCTGTGTACGAAAATCATCAGAGGAAGAAGACATTAAAAAAATGTTGTGCAGTATTGCTCCTTTGCATCTCTCATTTCTAAGCCGGTTTCAAATAACGGCAGCCCTGCTGACTGAGTCAAAATCCAAAAGCAATTTTCCCCATGGAAATGGATCTCTATTGATCCTCATCCTGAATTAATTGGATTCATGTCATGTCTGCACAGAAATCAAATCCCAAAAGAACACAGGTGTGTTTGAGTCATTGTTTGCTGTGTATTCCTATATATGTGTGTATATGATATTCATGTTTTCTTTCACTGCAGTAATCAATAAGTTACACACTGACCCTGGATGTATAATGTGGTGTTGTTGCCACCTCTGATCAAAGTTGGACCATGCAGTGTGTATTGCCAACTGGTGCACAATGTTCTCTGCCAGTTTCTATATGGTGTGGCCATGGTATTGTTTACGCATCTCTGGAGGTCCAATTGGTTTTCCATCAGATCTGTCCACAGTGCGAACACTATAATACATGAGTGGAATGAGCCTGAATCCCAGGGCAAGCTTACAGTAGGCTTAATCTTTCTGGCCTGATATTAAACCCTTTAACTGCAATATAAGGCACATCAGTTCAGTGTCAGTATAATTTTGTTTGGTACCTTCAGAGATGTCCCTCGAGTCAGAGCTTCCCTGAACGGTTTCTTTGCTGCGATCTCCTGAATCAGACAGCGGCACCACAGGAAGCTCCTCTCCCAGACAACGATCTGATGCACCGGGCTCGGCTGCTGCTGGTGCTGCTGAGACCCTGGAAGGTACCCAAACATTAGCACAGTTAAACCAACACTGAGTGCTGCGTGCCTCATTGCAAGTTAATTTCACAGAGAGGAAGGGGAGGCTAAGTGCTTGTTGATGGGGGTTGAATAGTTGTTTGCAATCCAAGCATGTAAAAGCATACTCCCTAAAGTCTCACGGAACATGTATTGCTACTTGGAAATGATAAAAGATGTCTTTAAGAGGATCTATTTTTGTTCAGTGGAAACAGGACCATATTTCTAACCCTTTGTTGGAAACTGTCCATTTTTTTTTTTTTTTTGCTCCACAGCAGCCTTTCTGCTTTGTTCCTTTTATCTTTTAGCATTGTAGAAGGAAATAAAACATGGCATTTGGTAGAAAATTCAAACATGGCCACTGCAGCTTTTGGCACCACTTCATGGTGGGCGGTTTTAACACTATAGTACACAAGTTATCTACTATATATAAAACTGAATGTTTCTGGACTACATAATCCCATAAATATTGAGGTGTTAATTTTAACACAGAAAAAAAAAAAAAAATCAGATCAAGAGTTAAAATGTTTCTTTTATTTCCCCTATTTTTCTCTCACATTTATAATGGGATTTCATTTGGAAGGTAGTTGTTTCCATTTGGGAGTTTTAGAAACACTGTTAGGGAAAATACCATTCTATGTGCCAAACTCTGTTATCTTTTGTGTTTTTCATAGGTTTGATCAGAAAAGTTGAAATAAACTATACTTTAACAACACTGCCAGTAAAAATGTTCTTAAACAAAAAAAAAAAGTTTTTTGCAAACTTTTAAAATAACTGAACAATACACATCAGTATACTAAGTTAACAATTAAAAAGGAGAAAAAGAACATCCTGGAAAATGACCTGGTACTGTACTACATACGACAATGACCAGATGACTATTGAAATACTTGTACTAAGAATAGACCAAGAGATGGTGTGTAAATAGTCTCATGGAAAGGTTACACTTAAATTAACTTGTTCCGGTGTGCTGTCAAATCATTATCTGTCATGGCAGCAGTTTGCTTTTTCACTGCTGTTATTTTGAATGAAGCAGACTGCATAACATCACAGGGGAAAATCTTGTTGACACAGCAATCACTGTGCCTGTGTTTGCGCTGGCAGTGAGTTTTCATCCTCCCCCACATGACTGATAATATGACAACATCCAGCATATAGGAGAGACTCATCTAAACTAATTAAATCTGCCCTTCTTCGCAACATCAGAACAACACTTGCAGAGCCTGCAGCAGCAGAAACGGAAAACAAAGATAAAGACTTATGAGGTAAACATCTACTTAGAAGTGCCATAATTTGGAACGCAGCAAAAAAAAAAAAAAAAACTTTGCATACTTTTCATTTTGGAATCAGAACAAAAATCACACCTTACATTGATAGGAAAAAAAAACTGTGCACAGGAATTAATTATAACATATGTTTTGTTTTTCTCTTTGTTTTTAGGCCAAACTGGTCATTTTAAAAAATGAGCTTTCATTTCATATATTATAATGTACATTAGAGCGCTGGAAGAACATAAGAAGTCACTGCAAAATCTGTAGTTTTTCTGATCTCACATTAAGCATCTGTTTCTGAGTACAACACAAACAAACAAAAAAATTTTTCAATTATCCAAGAAAAGAAAAATAATATAATTTTGTGCTCATCTTGGTTTAAACTGTGTATTGTCACATGTGTGGGAAGGTGATGATGCCATTGGCACAAAAGCAAGATGCGTTTTCATTCACCGATTTCATGTGTACAGCAAGCTCTCCCCCAGTGTCATAGAGTTCAAAAGATCACCTAATCAGTACCTCATTAGACAGACTGATGTGTGCTTATGTTTGGATTCAACAAGCGCTGTCAAATGGAACAGCAATCACGCATGCAGAGACACTGATTAACAAAAATGTCTCAATGTTTTCAGAAGTTCTACAGTACAACATTGATGCCGTTGTAAATGAAAGCAATTCTCACTGTATGTTTACCGTCTCCTCATACCTAAATGCAGATGTAATGCTCTGCCAGCAAATCACATGAGAGGCAGTGATAGCAGTCATTTAGTGTTGCAGTGGTGTCAAGCTTCCATAGAGAGCTCAGTATTACCCTGGTGCAGGAAAATTCATCTCCATCTAAATGATAAGACTCATCTCCGCCATTGCAAAAAACAAAAAAGAACCATTTACCAGCACAAGTCTGACGATAAACTGATCTCCTGTCATTAAAATTGCCCGTGTGGAAAAAGAGAACAATGCTGATACACAAATCCTCTGGTTGACTGCACACATTCACATCAGGTTTGAGTGATTTTAGCAGCTTGGCCATCGATCCGGTGTATATTTGCGCAAGCCTTCACAACTTATCTGAGCCTACAACGTGTAGTGAGTCATGTAGCTCAAGGAGAGAAGGGAGGGGAAATCATTTTTTAATGCAAATGACACAGCCCAGGGAAGAGCACAGCCTTAAGTGGGAGCTGCTTGAATGCAAATCTCACACTTCCATCTGTTTCCATTCCCTTCAGGAAGAACACTGGGGCTTTACCTGTTTTAGCGCCCCCTCCTGGGAACAGCTGTTTCTGTAAGACTGCACAAGCAATGTGCTGACCGTATTAGAGCTCTGTTTGTCCTCGGGTCATAAATCTGCTCCATAAACATCTGCCGCCCCTTCTTATTGAACCGTTTCCACAATGCACACAGCTCCACTACTAAACATCGTCAAGACATGACAAATTCCATTTACTTAGCACCCGGGATATTTATTTTGCTGCACCTTATTATACTTCTGAAGCGTTTGCAGTTTTGCTTATTTATTTTAGCTTTAAAAGTTCTGCTAACTAAGGCAGCAAGGTTAAATGTGGGAAAAACGTTTTCTGTGAACCACTAAAGATGAGTTTCCTTACAAATAGAAATTATTTTTGTGAAAAAAAAAAGATGAATAAAAGCATACAATTTCTGCTCTCCAAGGTCAAACAAGTGAAAGAGAGATGCAGTGGTGCCATATTTTCATGGTTTCTTTAGTCGTCATCTTGTCGTTGCTCACGGCTGAGTTCGGTGTGTTTATTGAAAATGAAATAAAAATGTTATAAAAAGTGAAGCCGAAGGAATCGGACATCGGCACATATACAAATCTCACAGTTGGATAAAGCTTCCTTGAGCCAATAAGTAACTAAGTTGCTACCTTTGCAAATTCAAAAGAAAATCCCATATTTTTGTAATGGGAAAAAAATACCACAAAAGAAATTTTGGCAGTATTGTTCTAAAACTGCTGACAGATCTTGGGAGTGTGCTGACAGACTTAACTCGTAGATTGTGGAAAGTGCTATTGATAGATCTCCTTTAAAAGGCCACTCTATTGAAAAACCAAAGTGGAAATGTGCACTCAGCAGAAATCTCCCTGTGTGAGGAATTACCAAGACCTCACGGTGGCTTTATTACATGCACAAACACACACACACACACTTGAGCACACACGTATCCAGCCATTCAGAGATTTGAACATACACTCAGCAGAAATATCCACACACATCGACAGGTTAACACCTGCGTAAAAATACGGCTCAGTCCTTTCAGCACAGGAAAGGCCAGAAACACAAACCCTGAAGTCAGCTATGAGTAGAGGTTTCTGAGCACACTTCCTCTGAGCACAGACGGGGAGTGGGGTGGGGGAGGGGCATAATCAAAATAATGTAATTTAAGGCCCCTGCATGATTTCATCAAATTGGCCCTAAAAACTGCAGAGCAATACATTTCATAAGATTTATGCCATGGTTTTTTTTTTCTTGATCCTGCATTCTCTTAGCTTGATCAAAATAAGTAAACATACATAGCATACAAAGCACAGTGTAAAAAAGAGATGCTTCCTAGTTAGAATTCTTTTTTTTTTTTTTAGTTTGTTTAATATTGTTTTACGTGGGCTGATGTGATTCAGTTTGCTTGGGGCAATCAAATATAAAAGCTCCCTAAGTTCAAGATAAAATATTCTTTAGAAAGAGAACATCAGTCAGTCAGCTCCCGGGCTGCTGTTCTTTAGGTGACTTTGACTGCTGACCCCTCTCACTCCTCCCCCCACAGAGCCAGGAAGGTAAGAAGCCTGCTCCCTTTTAAGAATCAATAAACTATCACATGATCATTTACTGCGCCTCTAGGGCTGGAAGCTAACAACCTTTTATAAGTGTGTGTTTTTGTTTTTTCACAACAAGGTGATATGAAGTAATGTTATATGTGAGGTCATTTTAGAGCAGTTATACATCTTTTTAGCCAGAAGACAGACAGCTTGCATTCTTTGGAGAAAATCTATTTTTAACTGGGGGAAAAAAGTCCAGACAAAAATGATATATTAAATCATAACCCCAAAAAGTATTTGGATGAGGAATGACTACATTTACAACAAAGAAATATGAATTAAAAAGGAAGAAATACATCAAGCAGCAGCTCAAAGTTGGTTACCACTAGATTTCAAAAGTTCATCCACAGATGTGAAAATCCAAAAGACCTGAGGCTGGTATTGCAGCAATAGCTGGTAGTGAGTAGTATCAGCTCAATGAGGCTTAGCATGTGTGCAGACTTCCCTATCCAGATTTATGTGTAAAAAGACTTTGAAAAACAAGTGTTGCTTTCCTTTCCAATTCACAATTGTGCTCTGCTACACAACATGAAATCATAATCAATTGTTTTGGCATTTTGGTTATAACGTGACAAAATTTGAATAAGTCTAAAAGGCATGCAAGAGTGTGGTGTGTGAATGCATCTGCATGTGGGATATGGATAAGTAGAAACAAGACAGATGCTGAATATGGACACAAGAGTAAGGTGATAGTCCCACAAATGTTTAGATGTATAAACAGTGAGTGAGACTTGAAATAATATAATATTTTAGATGTTGCATAAGACTGACAGAATGTTTGCTGCTATTATTGTTCAAAATAGTTACTTAGTAAAAATTTTTGTGTGCACTTTTCTGAGTATCTTTGCAAGATTGGATTTTACTTCACAAATAAATGCTTAACTTATCAGTATTGTATGCATCATACCTAAATCACCAGAAAATCTGCTGTCAGAGCTACAGATTACTGCAGTTACTTCATGTTTTATGGCACTACATTTTGACACATCTGCTTCTTAATGGTACTGCAGGTGTTTTCAGCTTAAAGGACTGATTAGCCCTTCCCTCAGTTTGCAGGCAGCCTGAAATGTGCTTTGAATTACACAACAAAACACACCTTGAAGCTGTGCTCATAGGAGGCTGATGGAGCCGTCACTCATACTGTCAAAATGGCAGCCATGAAAGGATTTCTAATCAGCCAAAGACCTTGTTTTGAACCTGTGAGTTTTGCACTTTGTGTGGGCTTTTAAGCGATCTTTAATGACCTAAATATGATAAAGACTGATGGAATTTTATTCATACAGCTCAAAGCACTGACGAGTAGAACTCTAAAAAGAAAACTGTTCCTTCTAGACAGAATGTCCCAGTTTATAACCTGCTTGCACATCACTGTCAAGATTTCAGTATGCAGCGGTATTAAAATGTAGCCACTGCACAGAATGACATGCACAAATGGATGTATTAACATAAATGTCCAAATGCATTTAATTTAGTTTTCAACTGAGTGTGTACTGTAGTACTTTGGGGGTTGGGGGAAATTGACTGGACATTTTTATTATATTTCTCCCAAACTGTAAAATTGTTGTCTATTTAAGCAGATAAATCCATAAAACTTCTGATGTGAAAGACCTTTAAATAATATATAAATAAAACATGGACTAGAATAGATATAGGGCCCATGAGCAGCCTAACAATGAGCACCATTCACACCAAAAATAAAGACAGACTGCTACAAAGATGTCAGCTATGTTCTGCCCTAAAATGGCAAGTTACTTCCATGTAGCCAGTCAAAAGGACCGAATAAGTCTAGAGATGCAACAAGGTGTTTTTTTTTGATCCATGACAATTTTCAGTTTCCTTTGAGGTGTGACCTGCTAATTCAAATTTAGACCCTTTTATTCTTATTTCAAGAACTAAAGCACATACGAGAGAAAACTGTGTTGCAGGTTATAGTAGTTAAAGTGTAATAAAATTGCACATGAAAACATTTGTGCAAATCATACAATGTTTTTTTTTTTTTCTTTTGCTTTTCTAGTCATATTTAAATGTTTCAGATTAAACAGAGTTCAATTTCAGTCAAAGACAACTTGCATAAAAAGCTAACATTTGGAAGTGGTGTTTTCTATTGAGGGGAAATAGCTATTTAAACCAACCTACCTGTGTGGAAATATAATGCTTGTATTGCTAAATTATGGATTTACTTAGATTAACTAAATGTCTTAACTCAGTTTCACCAGCCACACCCAGAAACTGTCTGATAACATTGAGGTTAAAACAAATTATCCTCCAATTAAAATAAATCAATACTACAAGTCAGAAATAAAGTCATTAACAATTATCAGTCTAGAAAAAGGGTTATAGAACCATTTATAAAGACCTTTAAAACACAAGGGAACCACCAAAGAGGATTATGTAGTAATGACAATAACATGGAACAGCAGTGAAGCTTCCCAGTAATGACCAGCCTACAAAAATGATTTCAAGAGGGAATCAACAACACGCCAGGAAATCCTGAAGGAGCATGTACGACCATCAGTTTGTGACTTCATCCTCAAGGACACTTGGGTTATGTAGCTGGATACTGATCTAAAGCAGAGCAAATCCACCCGAGAATGGCTTAAAACCAGTAATAAAAAAATAAGGCTTCAACGTGAAACTTGTCATAGTCTGACTTAAGTCCAACTGACTCTTACAACAGATTAAGAGTCAGTTGCTCCTTAAGGGTTAGTAAGGGTCAGCATTACAAACCCTTCAGTGTGACTAAATTCATAGTTACATGTGAAGTAAGTTTTTTTTTTTTTTTTATACAATCTGTCTTACACAATGGAACTGACTTGCATGTATGGGTACCAGATTTAGGAAGGTGTGGGCCCCGGGGCTTGAGCAAAGGTGCGGGCCCTACTTAATCATGGTTATACAGTTGCATATTAACATGCACAAACATGCACAAACACACGCACACACACACATACACACACATATGAAGGAGTTTGGTGGCGTTTCAACAACACCACCAAATGCCAGTGATAAAATTAAGGCATTCTGACCTTATTCATTCACAAAAATACAAAGCATCTTTCAGGGTTTCAAAAAGCCGGGGCCCTGGGCTGGAGCCCCGGTAAGCCCATGCTAAAATCTGGGCTTGACTGTATGTTTGCTTAAATGCACTTTGAAGTCAGTGCTTTCCTTTGCACATAAACATTGTGCATTAGTGCGTTATAAATATCATTGACTGCAGCCTTGTCCCCTTTTCAGAGACAAATCAATTATCTCATCTTATCTTATCGCACAATGATCAATAAAGACCTCTTTCCCAAGGAGTTTAACATTACTGCTTACAACTTTCCTAACAAGTAAACTTTTTTAAAAACAAGAAAACATAGAAAATGACAAATTTGACCACCAGTCTCCCTGGCAGTCAAATTTACCTGTGTAGTTTTGATGATGCAGTGTGCACAGCCTCCAACTAAATTCATTCAGTAGGCAGTGGACTACTTCATCTTACTGCTGCTGCCTTATTATCAGCCGACACTGGCTACTCTGTGCACTTTGTGGTTTTCTGTGCTTTTCAGAAGGGCTTTGACCTTAATAGTTCATATGGACAGCTGCTTATGTTTGCAAGATGCAACTCAGACTGTTGTGGTCACAGGGTCATCAGCACCATCACCAATAAATGCAACACCTGCAAAATTAAAAAAAAAAAAAGAAAAAAAAAAGGCTACATCCAGACATGCACTGAATGTTAAACCTGTTTGTTACTGAGCCAAAAAGTGTTTCTGCTTGGCTCGTCTTCTTATAGAAAAAACCAAAACGAGATCTTAGAGTGACACATGATGTTTCTGGAATTCATTTGATAATAACGAAGAGCAGTGGTGTGTTGTTTCTTAACTCTAGACTAATCTTACTGTTTTAATTATGTCTGGTCTGTGGTTTTGATCCCACATAATGTGTCTGCATCTTTGTCAGAATGCGTCTGCAGTTGATGAGCTCGACCAATTGTTTTTTCTCATTGTGGCCAATGAATTAAAACACAGTTGAACTGATTAACCTTTACGCTTCATAAACATAAGCAAAGCTGATCTTTAATACTGCATGCGATATCACACAACCCTGTGATTTCCCCCAAAAATTCCATTACTGCGTCACTTTGTACATGACATGCCATCTGGCAGTTAAATACTGTAGCATAACATAATAGTGTCTCCCACCCACTGTGGGGTGTTTAGAAAGACGGGGAGCATGACATTATCTCTGGAATACTGACACAACAGTGTTGTGCTGCCGTATCGAGTTACATTCATGCACCACCCTGTAGTTGTTTTCTCCATGATGCAATAAAAGTCAAATGCAACTTACTCGTTTGGTGACTCAGCGGCTGGAACATCTACAAAAAATAAAAAATAAAAGAAAAATCAGCAACCATGAGACGAACTATAACCAATAAATGAGACATAGGGCAAACTTTTTTCTTGTAAATACATACATTTTTAATATCAAAACATTGTAGGTCCAAATATGTGATTGATCTAGAATGAAAAAAAAAAAAATCTGTTTTGGGAGTTATCCAAGTATGAAGTTGATTTACAGCTTTTGCATTAGAGCCCCGACGTTGTCTGGTTGTTGAGCACTCCCGCTGCAAATGTTGAACAAAAATAGGTTTTGTTCAACAAATGCTCTCATCGATTTCGGTTGGATCCAATCAAGTAAACTCATGTCATCTGATGAGGTGGTGATCGGAATTCCAGCCACTCTCACTCCTAAGTTGTATAACAGGCCTCCGAAACACATTATTATCATCGCCCAGAACTCCCCCGTGCATCTCAGCAGCCCACTTAGCGGATTACCACACATAGATGTGGTAGAAAAGCGTTTTAATTAAGCCCTAATCGCTTCACTTTGTCCAACAGAACCTCTTCAAGACCTAAATCCCCTGCTTTATCTGGCCGTGTAATTAGCAGCACCTGTTTGGTACCATTCTCCATGTGGTAAATATATCATACTTATACATAACTTCATCCAATTAAGGGGAAAGTTAGCTCTTCTCTCTAATGCTGAATGCCTCAGGCAACAATCAAATCCAATTAAGTGGAGCTTAAAACCACATAAAATACATTCATTACTGCAGAAAATCGATCATATTACATAAAAATTATTAGTTCTACATTTCTAAGCAAATTCATCCAACAGGAGCTACAGCACTGATGAGATGTTTGTGCTTATTTATCCTGTTCATAAACAGTTAGATGGCACTGTAGAAGTTAAATGGATGGACTTGTGGGCTTTGGCAAATTAGAGCAACTATAACTGCCTTGTCTCAAACTGATTTACACTTCTGAAGACTAGACAGTGTTTAATTAACTGTGGAACTCCTTCTCAAGTGGAAGGAAATTATATAGTGGATTTTTTTTCCACCTTTATGCATAATTAAGTTGCATTTTTCCCCTCCACTTCACATTTATTTTTAATCCTCTTTTGCAACTAACAGAGGTGGAGGTCATCTTTGATAACTTGAAGACCCTGAAAAAAACTCTCTGTCCACCAATATGGATGTTTTTATGAACTCATCTGAGTTCAAATCCAGTGAACATTCTTCATATTTCTATTTGGTAGCTATTTATTTTTCCTGACCCCTAATCATTTTGACCCGAGGACAGCAGGAGGGTTAAGTTGACTGAAAATTTGATTTCAGAACATATCCAAATGATTATATTTATACATTTTTGATTCTTAATGGGGTCATGATAAATAAATAATGTGTCATTATCATCATCAGTACCATTACTGCTAGTGTGCTAAACACTAGCAATACTGATTCTTAAGGAAGTGAATACAGACATGTACACATACAACCTTACTGTAAAAATCTTAGGTTAGAAATCAGTCAAATTTCAGACATTTTGTGTTGCATCAGTACTGAGGTCACAGAAGTGTCAGATGGTACAATAAAATCATTTGTGCAGCTCTTTTCAATTGCCTTTTTTTTGTTATTTTTAAGCTCCACTATTATATTTCACTTGCAACCATCATCTTAGCAGTATAAACCTAAGCATTAGTAACATTAGATGAGGCGCCTTTTTTCAGTGTGTAAATGAAATTTGAAGAGAACATGAAGGTATGTACTGTATTTCCGGTCTTCTTTGATTATGCAAGAGTTATTTAGTCTTGACACCATGAAATCAGATTTACTGACAAGAAATGAAAATGGGGCTGAACAACAAGCTAAGAAAAAACATAACATAATGGATACACACGTGTAATTTCTATCTGCAAATTGGTAATTATGTCTTTTTTTTATTTTTGTCTTTTACTTTTTTCAAACAAAAGATGCATGTTGTGTGAAATTCAAAGCACAAAGGATGTTTAGTAATAGCTTTGCAGTGCAGATTAACTCAACAGTTTTTAACTACTTTAAGTACAATGAACCAAACTCAGTAACTTCTTCATGAGGTGATAAAATAACTCCAGTCATAGTATCTTGCGAAGATGGATTTAAATGTTAATTACCTTATTTGGTGACTATAAATTATATGACTTGACGCATGGTGTGTGTGTAAAAGACCTCAACATTGAGACTAGCATACATCATCAGCTACTGTGCAGGTTCAGCAACTAACTTTTAAGATGAACCATACTGAAAAAGATCTATAATCCACTGCTACAGCAGACTAAGCATTTAATCATCTCTAAGAATGAGTAGTGAAGATTTATTTAGCTTCACTTTAAATAGAACAGTCTAAAAATGAGTTACCAGTGGTGGGACTTGAAGCCACAATGCTCTCCGGTCCGGCAGGAGGTGGAGGTTTAAAAAGCTGTGTGCCGTCTGCAGCTACAGCACCTGATGCCTCGTTGTTGTCAGGTTTTGGCACACAGACAGGTGTAACACGTTCCGAGGAGACGTCTTCCTGAGCTTTTTCCTCATCTGTGCTGTCATCAAACATAAACTCTTCCCCTTGCTCTTCATTATCCTCCTCGTCATCGTCTTTTGGTGGTTGGTGAGATACTGTAGACGACATTACTGCAGAGAGAGTCGGTATCAAGTCAAAAATTAGTTAGCAGGTAGATCTTGTATAACACATTTACAATCAAATTAAAATCATTGTAAAATTGCAATAAACAGATCATAGCATAGCATTTGTATAAAAATATCACATAGTACATGATGTCTACTTTTTTATGGACATGCACCAATCTGTTAATATCTCTCTCTGGATTTATTTAAAAAAGTATTATAAAGAAGGGTATGATAATATGTGCAGTCACACTGGTAGATTGTAAGTTTTGATGGATACATTGGTAGATGCTGTTTTATTTATGACGTGAAGGGTGACAAACACTAAGAAAAAAAAGTTGATGAAGGAAGTAGTTTTAAACTAAGCAGAAAATTAAGAGAATTATTCCAGGATGTGATATGATTTCTACTGAGGGTGAAGCTGAAAACAAAGTGCAAAGAATATTTATGTGCAAAATGTGTATATCAAATATATGGGCATGAATTTCAGTCATAAATATTTGGTACTTTAAAATCCGAATTAGCTGTGATTTGAATTTTGTAAACTTAAAAATGAAATGGCTCAGAACTGTATTTTTGTGCATACATAAGGAGCATGTTTATACAATATCAACCTATTTTAGAAGAAGGAAACTATTTTCTGTACATACAAACATTTATATACTGCTCTTTTATAGTTTTCTTTTTAACTATCTCATAAAATTTATATTATGTCTGTAAACTGTTACCATGTGATACCTAGGTCAAATTCCTTGTGTGTGCAGACATGGCCAATAAATCTGATTTCTGAAGGAAAAAAAAAAAAAAGATTAAGACCACATTATAACCTGTAACCTGCAGATTCACCTAATATGAATTAACATGGAGACATAAATCATGTACCCTTAGCTCCCACTAGCGTTATTTAAGGCACAGTCAAAAAGGTAAATAGTCTGGAAGACTGGAATGTGCTCTTATCTCTGTAAACATGCCAAAGCTGCTTAACCAAATAGCTGCATAAAAAATAAATTGGAGATGGAAAAAAAATCTGTTGAACAGAACAGCACTGAACCGAAATGTACTTTTAGCACTTAATCTACCCTTAAAAAAGGTCCTTCAGTTCAGAACTGACTGTTAAAAAAACAACTTTTTCAAAGAAAACATAGAAACGACTTATTAGTAAAAAGTAGTAAAAGTAATTTATATTTCAAGCAAATGCAGAACAATACGGCATGAATTGAAATTCAAGCAGAGTAGTAGCATATGGATGTTTGAGAAACTGGGTGCTTAATTACAAAGTCGAGAAAAGGCAGAGCTATAGATTAATTCAGATATTCCCAACAACCAACACACGTTCTTAAAGTTGTGGACCCCAATTAGCTTGGAGGGATATTTTATCTTATCAGTGAAAACATGCCCCAAAACTTCCTTGATGTTTTGGAAATTCAGTTTAGCTACGATGAAAATGTATTAACCAAGATTCACCATTAAGTTGTTTATGTTCTTGGATGTAGGATGCCTTTTTCTGGGCTTTAAAACTAAGTAGTTCAGTGCAGAGAGTTATTCGCAACTTACACAGCTGGTGTAGAATTCAAAGCAATACTAAATACATAAATGTCTTTGCTCCTTATTGCCAACTTCACACACACCTATATGGGGAAAGTGACATAAATACTTTTTATATGACAATTACATCCCATTTAAAAGTTTTATTTCAGCATTAACAATTGAGGAACTATACCATACATAACAGCATGAATTTTATTCACATAATAAAGTGGAAAATTGCCCTTTAAATGTGTTTTGTAATGAAAACGTGTTGGCTACAAGTGAATTTTCATTAATTGACAGAACAATGTAACAATGTTCACCACTATACTCCGAATCCTTCCTAACCTTAATCTTGAATTATTCTTTGTAGCTGTAGAAAGTAGTTCTGTTGTTTTAAATTAAAATAGGTATTTTTTATGGGGCAGTTTTCCTGTAGGTATTAAATCTTGACCAACAGCTCTTTTGTGATTTTTCAAGGTGGCTTTTTTCCATGCTTTTCAGTGCATGTTAATTTACCACGTCAGAATGTGGCATCTGCTTTCCTTTTTGAGGAACGTCAACGGACGTGGTCAGCCCACTCTGTGCAGTTTCAACAATCACAATGAACTTGCACATGTCCCATTGTCCAAGCTTTACGTCATAAAATCTTAGTAGTAACTAATTTCACTATGTTGGTTGGATCACATCTGATTGTACAATTCCTCGTAGCAGCAGAGCCACATCACAAACGTTCAACAGAGTCACTCCCAAAGTGGGGAGCCAGCACTGCCTCTGACTGGAGGGACAGGAGAATTAAAGAAAAACAAAGTAACTAAAACAAAATCGTGGTTTGGGGTGTGGAATGCTTTTATTAATAGTATTAATAGACAGTTATGTCTGAAGAACAGATCCACCTAAAAACTGTAAGGTCACAGGTGAGCATTTTTTGTTTTCTCTACACATTTATTTTGGGATACCTATTTGGAGACAATTTGGAAATGAATATTTCATGTTAATTTGTTGTGCTTCTGATTTTCTGAAAGAAAAAAAAACTTTCAAAAGTTTTATGATAGTACTATGCAATATTTGAAAGTAAATAGAAAAATGAATTCTTGTTTGGGAAAAAAAAAAACAACAGGGGGATTCTGCATTAACAAGTGGGGTTGCTCGACCAAAGTCTATACGCTTAGTGATTTTTTTTTTGTGGGGGCATTTTACATTTTTTCCACTTTTTCATATTTTGCATATTCTGTTTCAGTTCTCTTTTCTCAGTCCTAACATGCTGCTACTAGTATAAACTTAGACCCTGAGGGATGAACAGAGGCGACACCGATTCAGATGTACTGGGTTTTAGCAGCAAAACAAGTTTTCCCTAACCCAGTTGCTGGAAGCCAGGATCGTAACTGAAAATCTGAGAATCCAGTTTAATAAACTGCACCACACCACTTTAAAAGCAGTCATTTCAAAACAAAGCATGTTTTGCCAACCTTTCCTTTCCAAAGATCGAGAATTCATATGAGGAAGCAACTTCTGAGTTGAAATAGAAACATAAGCGAGAAAAGGCCTTCTGTCTGTTTTTAGGGTGGAGGTGGCATTTTTAAGATGAGCAATTCATTCAGAAATCACTCATTTGTGTACAACTCCAGGAGACCACTACAGCCTCTGGACCAGTTTTCTTCTTCTGCGCCACAAACAAAGCTATGTTGTTTATCCCACTCACTGGTCAAAATAACAATGATCCTTTTGTGGCTGGAAAACTTCTCTTCTGTTCTCAGAATTCATTGTTTCCGCATTTATCAGAGCAGCACAGATTAGCAACAGGTCATTTTAGGTGGTCATTGTGCGACCCGTGTTATGGCTAATGCAGAAAGTAACTTTTAGTCGGAAAAAGTCTTACTTTTTTATTCAAAAACCGGCAATGTGAAGTTTAATTCAATTCAAAGCAACTATCCTCAGATTAAAGCTACGCTGACTGAACAGCCATTCTCGATTGTGCACTTGAGTGAGATGGAGTGAGCAAAACAAACGGACAATCTCGGGGGTGTAAAAAGCTGGTATCTTGAATTAAAGTTTTACCGGCTAATAGAAATCTGCAACCTTGAAGTTTTGCTTCTGCTGAGTTAAAACGACAGGTATCTTCCATGGCTTTTTTTTTTTTTTTTTAAGCGTATAGGTATTTGGACAGCACATCAAAAAGATTGCTGCTTAGAAAAATAAAGAGCCCCAAGAGTGGAGTTGTGTGAAAGCTATTCTTATAGGGAAAATAAGACACATCACAGACTAGAGATGAAACTACTCACACACACCCTGTGTCTGACCTACATAGAACAAAGAAAACTCCCTCAACGTGTTTTCAGTAATGAGTGGTGAGATGTCAAATATATGCATTGGTATAGATAGATATTGCTTCTATTTACATGGGTAATGTATGGCCCTCTAGGACATTCATATGCAGTGTAATTCAATACCATCTTGCTTTCTGTAAGATATTTCTCTGATTTGCATACAAAAGTACTTGGTACTCCTCCACCTTCTTTCCATCCAGCCTTTGATAACAGTGGTGCATCTGTTCAGTACTTGGCAGCTGATATATGTTGCCCAAGTCCTTCTCAGCTCCCTGTTGTATACAACTCCATTTTAACAAGTAGCAATCCTAGGAAATCTTTTTTTTTTATTATAAACTTTATAATAAACAACTTATAAGAAGTAAGTTGTATTTGGAGCCCCGAATGATTTGCAGATTTGCTCTGCTCTTTTGTAGCACTTGCAACAGTTTCGAAAAGAATGTTTAACCAATAGAAAACATTTCCAAGAAGGACTGGTATAAAACAGACGGATATACGGATAGACAGCAGCAGACAACAGCAGCTGGTGATGAATAAATAAAAAACAAACAAAAAAAAAAACCAGCATTGCAAAACCTAACAGAAAGTTACTGCAAGCAGAAACGCTTTAAGGTTTTCCTTTTGAGAAAGTGGCACACAAACACTCCATGACAGACCACTGACAACAAAATGTACCAGGAAGAAGCGATTCTGCCTCCAGCTCTACTTCCTTCTTCAGCATCCCTGCAGACTTCCTATCAAGAGATTCTGATGTTACTTGGCCAATTTACAAACTGCAAACAGCTACTTGAGAACAGATGGAATGTGTCTTTTTTTTCGCTGTCAAAAAGCATGACAATCTAAGTGGGAGGCTGTTCACAGGCATTTGTGGATTTCATGGATTTGTTTCAACACAAAATTACCCTAGCAATATATATTTTTTTGTAACACAAAGATCTACAACTCTATGGAATAGATCTTACAGATCGTACAGTTATTTTATGCTTAACATTAAATTAATTTCAGGTTGCCACCTGACATTTCAAATGCCGTAATGATCTGCACACGCTGCGTGATGGGGTTGTTGACATGCCTTGCAGATCCTTTACTCTTATATTTTCTCAGGTTTACTTTCATTTAGACACCTTTCTAGACATGCAAGAATGTATTATGCATTCGGGAGTCAGCTTGGCCTTCATTTGCCCTCTGCTGAAGAGAGCAACGTCAGTCCACAACAGCAGTGTGATGCTGAAGAAATCCCATTAATCAAGGACACAGTGAGAATAACCTCTACCTCCTATCTGCCAGTTGTTCTCATCTCACAACGGTGAACTGAACAGAGACGAGAACACGCCTCTGTCAACCAAATTATCTTATTCATCATGGAATGCACAAAATGCTGAAAGTAAAAAAAAAAAAAAGTAATTGTGGTGCAGGATCCTTAAATTTTCTTGTAAAAATAAAATATATGTATATGAGGAGGTTCTAAATCTAAAAATCTATGTCAAGATTTATGGATTTTATGGATTTAGGACAATAGCCTTATTCCTAGTTTGTACCTACATTTGAAATGGCATTTTGTTAAACCAGCACTAAAACAATAATTCATTCTAAATATGTCCATAATAATAATAATAATAATAAACTAGAATTACTAACTCAACAAGTCTATAAACTCAACCTCTCAAAACTCAAGTCTCAACATGAAAAAGTATCGTCATTCCCCAATGTTTGGAGTCTCATGTTGGATAAGCTCCAAAAATTATTCTACCATGAATACAATATGCAAAGGTTAAGATGCTAAAGTGTTTTTCATCTGCACGTTTGTCTGAGCTGACATCAGTTATTATATTAGCAAATCCATCAGCATGTATTTTAGATCCTGCACAAACTGAAGTGCTAAAGGATGATTCCCTTTATTGATTGTCAGAATGTTCTATCCCTACGGAAGTTGTAATTAAACCACTGTTTAAAGGCCTTGACTGCATCTTAATATTTTTACCATCATCCTTTTCCCAACCGCCCATTTATACAAAAAAATGGTAGTTATGTTCTTATTTACAGGATTAAAGATTCTGAAAAGCATTATGAGAATTCAAGCTTCATCATATAGACACAGCTAAATAAAAAAGGTCACCAAAGAGCTGCTGATTGGCCTTCATTTGCCCTCTGCTGAAGAGACCAACGTCAGTCCACAACAGCAGTGTGATGCTGGTCTCAGATCGTTCAACAATATTGAACAAAAACGTTTCTGCACATTTATATGAGACTACTGATACTTTGGGAATACCTCTTAAGTGATTAATTTTCTCATGAAGATAAGTCTTTTCAAGTCAAGTTTTCTTTTTACAGATGTCACTCATCATTTTGAAAGAAAAAAAAAAGATGATAAAATGTGTCTTAAATTATTGGTTTCTAATGAGGAATACATTTATCAGCTTGCTTAGAATGTGAAGTAAACTTGGTCCCCTAGCTAGTTTCTGCCTGGCTATGCTCCAGAATACATTTTACTGGGAGGCCTGTGACTTGGAGCAGAGTGGCAACAGCTGTGACTTGCATACAGCTAAATAAGAACAATATTCTTTTTAAACAGTCTATAAAAATATTAAGAGCAGTGACAAAGTTATTTTATATCTACTCTTTAATACTGCGTTTAATGTTATTTTTGGGTATTGGGTTATCTTTACACGTTTGAGCTTAGGGTAACAAAATACAATTTATAGTGTCGGCACAAAATAATTCCACATTTTTACCCCCTAAAACCTTAGTTACAACCAGTTTTTATTTTTCCTTTACCACATGTGGTGATAAAAAGAAGTAGTGGTCAATCATTTCCAGGCAAATGCACTATTGCTGCAAGACAAATGGTATGAAACTGATATCTGATTGTAACTAAGACAGTAAGTAAAACTCCTGCATTTTCAGCAGTAAACCCAAAAGATATAATCTAACATCACCTGATTAAATATTAGCTTTAAGAAAAGCCTGATAGCAGTGTTCTGTTAGTCTGAACTTCCCTGAGTTGTGCTTTCCATGTACAAAGTTCTGCACCATGCGATGCTCCATTCGAATGTGGTATGAATTTACACAGGAAAATCTTAATCAGACTATGGCTCAAACAGCTGCAACTCACTCCATTACTTTAAAGGAGTTGGAGGTAACCCGTTACAGATTACAGGTTAAGGTGAACCCAGATTAAGCTGACGTTTTGAGCAGAAACAAGTCAGAGCCCTGCGCGAACAAATCCTGCTGCTGTGGGTGATCGCCAAACAGTTGATCGCCAAACAAAAATGCCAAAATTACCAGAAAGACAGAAATTGTACAGCAATACTGCTGAATACATTTGCATGGAGCACATCCTTGTTTACAATATATTTGTATGCACCAGATCCATGTTTTTCCAGTCAGATTTATTTATGAATCACATTTAGAAACAAGAAATAATTATTAGATTTCAAACTGCTTATTTTTTGTATGGAATCATCTTTTATTTGTCCTTTAGTAGTAAAATTAGTTTGTATCAACAGCAGGCTGAGCAACAAATGGAAGCACACAGTGGCAGACTAAAGATAAGCAATTATAAGAGAATAATATAATTACAGGACTGAATCAAGAGATACGCACTTCAATGAAAGGCATTAACAATTATATTAATTGCTACGTTGTCCATTGTTTTCCCAATCAGAAAAGCTACACACTTTTCTAAACAAAGGCTGAATAGTCTTCTACTTATTGTTTTTGCCTGAATCAAGAAAGTTATAAAATTCTCATCTGGTAAATAAGTTGTATTTTCTTTGCCCTCTTAACTAAAAAGAACAATCTAGCTTCAAAAAATCTTGAGGTATCAAAAATGGCATTGAGAATCAAGTATTTTTTCTAGGTATTGGTAGAGAGTTTAAAATGTTGGTATTGTGATTACCCTACTTTGTACCCAACAGTAACAATTCTATGTCAAAAATTAGGACTCAGATATAGTGAGACAGCAGTTCAAAAGACTTACATTAACAATTCACAACCACGTTTCTCACAAATCTATTTGTTACATACTGTAAGTGGTTGGTTAAACTCAGCATTCATTTGATCCACCAACTATCAAAAAAATCTGATAATTCTATATCAGGTAGTTTCAGATACAACTGAAGCATAAGAGAGAGGCAAAGCAGAAGGTTTGTCTCTGTTAAGACCATTTGAAATGTTGGATATTATGCATTTTGTGATACACACGTCGTCTGCCTAACCCTTACTTCATGATGCTCTTGAAGATTTTAGCATCACAATAAGTGGAACAGGGACCACTGTTTACAGTAAAGCTCTGTTACATAATTTTGGACCAGCCTAAAACAATTGATCTTTATCTGTCCAAGTTGCTGGTTTCTAACAGTGTTCAATTGTCTGCCAGTTTGTTTGTTTTTTATTGTTTTCTATTGTTTAGGTAATTTTGTGTTATATTCCAGTCAATGGAAAACATGATAAGCTGCTTGTTTTTAAAGCCCCAGTCAAATCAGATAATGTGTATAAAATTATACCAGTGAAAAAAAAAAGGCTGTTGATCTTCAGAAAATCTCATACATCAATACAAAAAAATCTTCCTCTGATTGTGTGGAAATCTAGAATGGAAACTAACAGAGCACAACTATAGGTAACGTGTGCTTGGTCTGATTGGATCTTGGATTGTGTTATTTGAAGAGATTACAGGAAAAAAAATGTGATTTTTGCTTGAATGAAGTGGTGTGAGCTGTACAGGAAATTACTGTAGATAAACATCAAGAAGCATCCTTAAATTCCCTCCACATGGTTAATGATCAGACATTCTCAGATGACTGTTATGGGCTTGTTGTGTTACACCACTGAACATGTGGAAGGCGTGTCACCACTATCAAATGACTCATTGTGCAGTTGGGCATCAAGGCCTTGTAAATGACGGCGTGAGAACAGGTTTCATCTATTGAAAGAACATGGCTGTCATTTGACAGAAGTCTTTGTAATAATTTCAACCATGTATGCTTGGATTGTGGATGCTTGTTGGGAGCCCTGGACTGTGACAAAGGGAGAAAAATCCTGAGAGTTTCTTACATCCGGGAAGAGAAGGCTGGAACAGTGCTTTAGCCTCAAAATGCAAATTTCTTTGGTCAGAACACAGACTGTGTCAGAGGTCCCTTAGCTCCCTCCCTCTCACCCCTCTGCTCCCTGAATCCCCCCCAACTCTTATTCTACTGAACGGCAGCGTGAAATCCATCCTGGGAGGGGCTTTTGTACTCCGGGAAGCAACCGTCAAAACTGGAATGGTGTAGGCCGGACCCTGGCCAGAGGATCTCTTTTTATGGCCTGAGGGACAAGAAGAGCTGTGTAGTGAAGCTGAAAAACAGCCGGCTATAGGTGTGGATTTTGGATGAGCTCAAAATCCCTCACTCATCCTGCCTGGAGTCTGTCACAGAAATTGTGGCTATCATAACAAGGCCTCCTGCTCTGTGTCCCTGCCGGCTCTCTGAAGCAGGCCTATGGTTTAATTGTCCATGATGTTGTGTACTTTGCTAAAGGGCTTCAGTTTATCGGCCATTCCCATCCTCTGCTCTCCTCCTCCACATTTTCTTGTGCTCTCAGCTGCCCGTATAGCTGTCAGGCTGCAACACAGACAGGCACAAACCAGCACACCCACCCCCAACTCCACTCCATCAATAGCCCCATTTGGACAAAGCTGCTGTCTTTGCAACATGCTAAACGAGCTGACAGAGGAACGACAGAATGAAGTACATAAACAGGCAGTGTTTCAAGGAAATAAGTAAATACACATCTCACCTTCTTGACAGCAACAGTAGACTATGTCCTCCAAGAGGCTTCAGGCACTCCCTGGTGACCCTTTAATCCTGAAAACATCCCATAAACAGTCAGCTGTTACCACAGCACACTCATCTTTACAGTCTCCTTTGAGGGCTGTGAGTGGTTGAACACAGATTTGAATTCTCCTGTGCTGTTTACTTTCCCACAACTTCTCCCCGGCACCGTGTGCACAAGCAGCTCTAGATGAGGTAACCTTCTTAGCTCCCTCCCCTTTCTGCCGCTTCCTCTTTTGCCTGTCTGGTTCTGTTCTACACTAAATCTTTCCTCTCTCAGCCTTATTTTTTTTACATACCCCCCACCCAATGCCCCTTAGCCCATGTAGTTCCAGCCTGTCCTTTCTTCAGTTGTTTCCCTCCTCCCACTTCACAGACCCCTGCTGCTATCCACAGAGCAGCACAAAGCAGGGCAAGGGATCTCAGTCACAGCTGGCCAATAGGAGACATGCAAGGCCATGCAACTGGCCAATAAGAACGCAAAAGCAAGGAGTTTGAACCAATCGCGAGATAAAGTGGGATGGGCTTATGGAATTAGAGGCAATGCTGTTTCTCAGGACTTCCTGTGTATGTAAATATGCTCATGGTCAATGCTAGAGTAAATTATTTCAGCTAATGGTTGAGATTTTCCTCCATTGGTTTTGTGTGGGAAAAAAATCTCTGTGAGTAAATCTTTGGTGAGAGATTTAAATGTGCTTCATTTAGCTAGAAAGTACAAAGTACAAGGGCATTATATATTTAATATCCCCAAGAGATAAGTTGATTTACAGCTAGCAGTAATATATGAGCATTAAAAAAACATAAACAACTACATTCAAACTGCTCATAGGTTATAAGTCAGAGGGTTTATCACTGGAATAACATCCCTTTTAATGTTGAATATCTTGGCAGGATGCTTTTCATTCTAATTGAAAAAAATCGAACTTCCTCTTCAATTAATAGCATAAGTCAGCCATCTGATCTCTTTTAAAACTCCCAAGCAGTGACATCAGATGACAGAAATTGCAAGAACAGGTTCAATAAATCAAGATTAATAGGGTTTCATAAAAATGATGTTAATATTTAAACTACAAACGGGGACACGAGAGTGCTCATGGTGCTGATATTTTTGATGATACCACTGATGTGTTTGCTTACTGTGCTTCCTCACAAAACTGTGGCTGCTGTTCAGTTTTCCATTATCCAAGCTGATATGAACTCTTTGTTTTACTTTGCATTAAAGATGAGATGTGTGTTTTCTGTGTCGATATCAAGACTTAGCCTCTGGCCACAATCTTCTTCCTATTGAAAGGCAGATATTCTTCTCCCCTTTTGCCACATGCTTGCTAAGGAGGAGGAATTGCTTAATCAATGACAAGTGCAATTGACTGAATTAAATAGATAACTTTTTTATTATTTATATTTGATATTAATCTAATGGTATGATTTAATTGGTTTGGTATGAATGTGCTGCATTTTATCTGAATTTGGACAGATTTGGATTCTATATACTCTACTGAACAACATTTTCAGCTTAACTGATTTATATTTGACGTAAAATGGTGCAAAATATATAAATTTCATCCTATGAAATACTAGGGAACTGTTGGAGGAGCAACAGAAAACCAGTATTCCTGAAAGTAAGCTTCAAATATGTGTATGTGTGTGGATTTTAAGATTTGGTTTTGTTTTTCCTCTAAATCAGCGTCTGTATTTCTGCTGTGAAGAATAATTGCAAGGCTTGAAGCAATAGATACGACCACAAGGGAAGCAAGGTAATGTGTGAAGTTTAGTCCAAATTTTTGATTGCTTTAATTCAATGAAAAGTCATTCTCAGCTCAAGCTCAATTATTCATGTACATGCCTTTACATTTGACTGCCAGAATAGCTCCAAAGCAAGAAATGATCACAGACTGAGCCGTCTTGTCCAGAATATTTATTAAAACACATTGAACAAATACACAGAATACAAATAAAAAGATGACAATTTCACTTTTCGATTCAATTGCCATACAGCACAATTATCCATAACCATAACACTGCTTGGAGCTCATTGTCTGTAAAGACATGCTGCCACCCCTGGAAAGTGAACCGTCAGACGCTTCACATGCTGTGCATTTACTGCAACAAAGGTGCCTTTTATCAGGGTCTTTTATTAGCTTTTAAAGCCATCATATTAAGGAATACATACATTGTTTGTTAACATCTTTATATTAGACTGAAGCCTTTTAAACGGACAGTACATTCATACTGACTTCAGTTTGATTGCATTTCATTGAAATATTGTGTTTGATGTCACCACTCCAGAGGAAAAGACTTAAATTTGATTGATGAGCACATGTCGTGCACATAGCAGTTCTATGGCAACATGATTCAGTGGACATTCATGTTTTTTTTTCTTCATTTTTCTTTTTTACAAATACAAAAAAGAAATCTATATGATACGAGCTTCATTCTGAAAAATCGTTCAAGTATTTACAAGTTCTGAGGTCCTATCAGTTAATAGCCTAATACATGTCATGGTCAAGTATTTGATGGAATGAGCAAAAACACAGATGATAACAATAAGCACTTAGAAACATTCCACAGAAACTGATTTGATGCATTTCCAGACACATCATATGAAGGTGTCGAAATTATAATGTCTGCAAGATTAATTGAGTTTCCAGCCAAAGCAAGTTGAGAGATTTTTGGGTAAGGATGCCGAAGGTATACAATCTGACTGAAGAAAGAAAAACAAGCATCCTCAGGCAATTATTAAATTTACCAAATGAGGATTAAAAATACTTGGGATCAAGTTCATATAACAATCTTTTCACTGGTAGAAAGCCATTTAAGTTAGGAATTAGTGACAGAAACAAAGATTTACACTGCACTTTGGAAAAAGAGAAAAAAATACAAACACAATGTTGTATAAAAGTATTTGCCCCCATACAGCTTTCTTCAATGTTAGTGTTTTTGAAACTTGTAAGACTGGAATTCAGCAACACACACACACACACACACACAAAAAAAAAAAATCAGCATACATATGTTTTATACTCACAAATTTTGAGCTTAAACTGCAGAGGAAAGTGTAGAGGACTTTTTGGAGATTAGTGATTTCATCATTTATGGAGCAAAATGGTACAAAAAAAAAGCAAACACATAGGTTTGAAGTGCCACCAAAACAAGGCCAAAGTACAGCAATGTGGCAAGTTATTTAAGACACAATTCAGAAATATTTTTCTTTAATTCTACAATGTAAAGACAAAATTGATGTGCAATTCAAAAACAAAAATATCAATCAATTAATTTCACATCTAGCTTAAAATGTAATTTTTAATCATCGAAGATGCTTCCTGCAGTCTTGAGAGTAGAAGAAGATTCATTATCACCCATTTTATAACAGCATGGCTTCAGACTCCAAGATTCTGTGTCCTAAAGTGGCCTGCATGAATCCAGCCTTAGATGAAGTCTGATCACTTTCAATTATGAAACTACAGCAAACAAGAATTTTCATTTTTTTAAAAAAATGCTCCAACAGTGTTGGCAAAAGAAGCTTTCATGAAGTGGTTTTGTAATATCAGTCTTTAAAGACTGTATTTCAGATGTTTCTTTGGTTCAACAGTGGTGCCCCCTGGGGGGCCTCGGCCACCCCGGAAAATTTCTTGCCACCCCACTGACTGCACCAGCAGAAACCTCCAACCCGTTTAGTAAGTTATACTCAATTCAGAAAAGGGCATGCAGACATCTTCTTCTGTCAATGCATAAATGTAAAATGAAATAAATAAATACATAAATGAGTTAAATAAATCTAGGCAAATATTTAGGGGGCACCACTGTGGTTCAACCAGGGCAGTTCCAAGTAAGTACGAGACCCTAAGCAGAGCTTTATTTGGGGTTCATCTCTACATTTTTTTTGGCTGGATTTTTAAGTCCACCGTCTTTAACAGTACCACTGATTACCCGTTACAGTATTCATTCTTAATATTATTTTTTGCCACACTGCAGAGCAGAGGGCAAGTTCAATGTTGTATTCACAAGCAACCACAGAAAAAAAGCCAACTACTCTGTAATCTAGTTACAATTAAAGTGTGCACAAAACATATGCCCAGCTCAGACAAATTCAGCAGATAATTTGATTATTACGGAAGCATTGAATCTATGAAGGCTTCTTTCTTGTTATGTGCTTAATTGGTGCATTTGTCAAAATATCCAATATGAATTCAGATTTTCCTTGGTTTCTCGGGTAAGCAGTTGCAAGGGTTAATATATTCAGTTTATAATAAGATTAGTAACAAAAATCACTGTCTTCTGTTAAATCCACACATTTTACGAGTAAAAAAAAATGGATAGCAACACAAACAGAACAGTAAAAACAAACAAACAAAAAAGCTGCACAGAGTAGCAATGTGCAACCCTGGTCCTTTAAAATTGGAATGAGAACACATGCAACTTTAGACTGTGGCACCACCTCTTTTACAATCTGTGCCTCAGCAGAGAAAAGACACTGCATCAAAGAGTGGGTTATTCCCTTGTAATGGCATCAAGTAAGTTTATGCATCTGTTTTTACTGCAACTTAAATAGAGGGATACAAAAACTCAGATCCTAAAGTGAGCTGAATGTGACAATGAGACATAAGCATGTATTTTCGTTAAAAAGGGAAGAAGGACAGCTCTTGGACATAAAAGAGAAAATGAAACTTGTTAGTTCTTACTCTCGCTTGGTCTGAAGAGAGGCCAAGCAAAAAAGTTCCAGTTTATGGTCCCACTGTGGTGTATGTGGGTGTAGCGCTACAAGCAACACTAACATTCAAACAAACAGTCACAAACTGTTTCCAGTACAAAACAATTTAAAATTAAAAATCTTCTGTAACTTACTTTTTTTTTTTTTTGGTTGGATTTTTATGAATAATGCTAAGACCTGAACATCTGTTTTAGCTGTTGTTATTTTCACTATCATTAGACCTTCGTGATGTAAAATAAATTGCAGTCTCCTAATATGTACAGCAGAAGACGCCACCCTTGAAAGGTGATGCAGTTAGATGTAGCGTCACCTTCGGCAAGAACTACTTTCTCAACGTTACCAGCAGGTGGCAGTCTTCATAGGATTCAGATAAACTGTTTTGCAAAAGCATACAGTACATGGTAAAGGTTTTGATTTCCTCCATAACCATTATTCTATAACATAAAGGATAAAAACACGTTCGTGTACAGTAACTTTGAAGATACTGATGTTCGAAAACTATTGACTCAAACAACAAGTGAATTTCTCTCCTCTTCACATAGAACAAGCTTCAGAGCAGCACAGTCACAGTGTAAAGGGGTTGGCAAATCCAGAAAAGCAAGGGATTGCAAGCAGATTTACAAAGTCACAGCTTGCAAAATTTAAATAAATAAAACTTACATTAAAAGATAAAGACGAGCCCCAATAAAGAGCATCTGACACTTGACTTGATTGAGTTTTACTTTATAGTGCAGACCTTCCAAAGTCCTCTTCCAAAAAAAAAACTGCTTCATCTTCCCTCCTGATTCTCAGTATTTCTACAAAGAAAGCAAATACCTACTGAAACACCTCTATAGGATCCTTGAAAGATAAAAGTGCAACTTTTTTGATAGATACATGTACACGGATGAAAAAGTTAATTGCCTTATCCGCTCATAGCCGAACTTCAGTTAGCAGATTATGAGATAGGAGGGAAAAAATGAAGGATGTAGCATAAGACAAGGGCAGCAGTCATCCATTCAGATTCCATCCCTGGGAGTTTCTGACCTCAGGTCAATTATACAGAGCTGGTCTAGTCCTCAATACAGATGACATCACTTGCTTTGCCTGACTTGAGTTCAGGCGTGGCCCCGTCTCTGAACGAGTCAAGTGATTTCTTGTCCAAATGGCTTGTAGGAGGTGGGGGGCCATTAGATGACACTGAGGAAGGAAATACTTCAATCTTTAGTTACTTGCGCTTAGAATTTAAAAAAGACATCTTCAGCACAAAGAGTACAAAAATAACTCGGTTGTATTTATCCATTGGATTTCTTCTTTTTTTTAACTGCAAAAGCTTCTGGGCACTAAAGTCAGACCCAGCAATTAATCAGATTAAGATGGACAAAAAATGCCAATACAATACAGATACTGAGAAGTGAGAAACAGTAATGTTTTGCATTCATGACACTTTTCTAATCTGTTAAAATGATTGCTTTCAACATCTGCTTCTTTATACAAGTGTTATCTTTCACAGTAAATTAGTTTGCATTGCTTGTCGCAGCAGCCATTTCGCTCCTGCACTATGTCACTATGAGTTACAGCGAGTGTTGCCTGTTACCGCTGACGTAAGGTCCAAGGGGCATCTGGCTGTAGTTGACCATAGGCTGTCCGCCTGGTCCTCTGAATCCCCCACCAAAACCGCTGCTGTACATCTGGGAGCAGCCGAAACCTCCCTGGCTAAAAGGCTGAAAAAACAAAACACAGGACAAATGGATTATCCGGCTGTAAGCGGCAAGGTTATATGAATGATTTATCAGAAAAAAACAAGAGGTCAATCATCTTTGCATGTTGAAGCTGCAAGTACATAGTATGAGTAACTGCATCTCATCAGCATTACCAGAACTGTATTCTTCTTCCAGACAAATTGACTTTCTGAAGGAGGAACGCACATTAATAAAAACTGCTAATAAGGTTTGTCAAAATGACAGAGAAAAATAGCAACAAAACAGCAATGTCAGACAAGACAAGCTATTTTGTCCTACTTTACAAAATAACCCGTTAAACAAGAGTGAATCAAAACAAACACTTAAACTCTGCTAAGATGCGACACTAGAGGAGAAGACAATGAGACAAATCAATTTTTATTTAATCCTTAGGGAGAAAAATGTTGAGCTCGGTGATGAAAGAAAACAATACGAGTGGATTTTTTTTTAATTCCCTTTTTGTCATAAGATGAAGGACGTCGTGCTCAAACTTTGGTTTTGTGCAACACTTTAGTTTGTCATGTTGGTTTGAGCTCTGGTTTGAGTTGTAGTTCCTGTCATATTTTGGTAATCTGGTTTCTCTATTGCACTGTGTTCTATTAACTTCCTGTTTTCTCCACAACACATGTTCTTGAGTTGATTGTGACTTGACATTGCACCATAAAGTGACTTGACGTTGCATCATAAAGTGACTTGACGTTGCACCATAAAGTGACTTGACGTTGCACCATAAAGTGACTTGACGTTGCACCATAAAGCCACCTCAGATGAAACTCTTCAGCAGCTGTTCCATATTCATTTAGCAATTGCACCTATTCCCACTCAACACCCGATGCTCCTGTTTTTACCCTGTCTGGTACTGAGTCACTCTGTAAAAGCTCTGGAGTCTTTATTCATTAAAACTAATTAATTGATTAATTTAAATTAATTAATTATATCAATTTTAGCATATTAAAAATGTTAAAATTAAACAGCTTTTTTTATATAATGCTATTTATGTTTATTATTTTTGGGTTCTCTAGTAATGGCTCTTATTAACCTTTAGTCTTGTTGCTGGCTTGTCACAGACTTATTTTTATTTTTTTAATGGCTGGGATTTAGAAAATGCATGATAGTATTGCTTTAATTCATGAAGCTGCTTTGACTCTGTTGTTTCTATTCTATCTATTTGGAGTATATTAGAGTATTTAACTGTTAAGGGAAGCCAAGAAATGTAGACAATATGAAGCAGTATCCATTTTCAAAGCAATCTGACGATTTTCTTTGAAACCGTCATCTCACCTGCTGTGGTGGAGGTTCGCTGCCTCTGCTGGTGAGGCGGCTCAGGATGCTCCTTTCCGACATTTGCAAACGAGCCGACACTGGTGGGATTCTGGACAGCATGTTGGGAAGTCGTGTCACATCTGCTTTCATGTCACTCAGAAGTTCCTCTAGCTGGTTCAGCACTGCAGCAGCATGAAAATACACAGTAAGCTTTTTTTGTAATCGAGTCCCTCCTTACTTATCTCTCTGATATTTAATTATGGTCCACAGAAGAAATGCTCAGTTCAGAACAGATGTCACCTAGTCCCAACATCTGAACCTAGTGCCTACTACATTATATGTAGTAGGCACTAGAATCTTGAATAGTCTGCCATTAAATATTAAATATGCACAAACACTGGAAAATTTTAAATCTCTACTGGAGGTACATGTTTGGCTTTTACAAATGTTTACCTAGACATTTTAATTTTTAGTCTCTTATAGATTTTTTTTATTGTGTATTTTACTTCACTTCCACTATAGTCAGTCATTTTGGTTTTTTAGTTGCATTATGGTGTGTAAAGCACTCTGTGCAGCATACGTTGTTGGTAAAGTGCGATATAAATAAACCTGACCTTGACTTTGGCCAGTGGGAGGTGTGGTTATTTGAGTAAATGAAAAAAAGTCAGGCAGAAAGATGAATACAAAATCTTAGAAAAACATTAGTCAATCTTTAGGTCCATAAAAAACAATTAATTGCTTTATACAGAATTTTAAGCCATAAACCACCAAGAACTGAAAGTCCCATTAAACAGGCACATCCAATCAGCACCATGCAAGTATATTATGTTTTCTGGCAGATAAACCCATTAGTGTCATGGACACATAATTTCCAAACGAAAATGCTTTAATGCCTCACTTTGATTAAGTGTTTGGCCTCTCCCTAAACTTTCATCCCACTAATCACTGTGAGCCGTTTTCTATGCTGAGTCAAAGTAACATGAAGTGAAACCATTGTGTGAAACAGGATCTTTGCTGCCCGCCTGTTTGGGTTTTTTTAGAGAACAGAGATATGGAAACATCTGTGTGCACTTCCTTTGCCAGCCCGTTTTTCTGTCTGTCTGGATGGAAAAAATTAACCTGTTTTATTAATGTGAAATCAGCTCATTTTGAGTATTTTAATGCACTGTCCGCATTTTTGCAGAAAAACAATGACAAAAACATTTTGAAATGGACTCAAAATATGTTTCAATTTTTGTCAATCAAATCTAAGTGATATAAAAATATTTTTTATATAATTCTGCCTCCCAAAAAATATGCAGGGCTTGTTTACTTTCTTATCAGTTTTCTATAATTAAAAAAAGAGCTCCTGAGTCACCAGTGTTTTAGGCTTTAGGTTTGGAGCGGGACCACACACCTTTATGAAGCACAGCATTGGCAGGCTTGTTCCCAGCCAGAGACTCTTTGGAGAGGTGCTGGTGGGACTCGGCCAAACATTCCACCTCAGCAAAGCGCGTGTTGAGAGCCATGGCAGGGTGACTGGGGTCCTGGGTCATGTTGAGGTAAGCTGCCCGTCGCAACTGCTCCTCAATCACCAATGCCTGTTCCAACAACTGCAGAGAGAGAGAGAGAAAAAAAGAAGAGCACATAAAAACAAGAAAAACCTTTGAAAAGCTTAGATTCTTTTTTTTTTTTTTTTTAAATAAAGGCTGTAAACTGCCTTAAAGCGCCGCGCCAGGAACTTGTTCTTCATCTCCAAGTAGTTCCCCTTGTGCATCTCTGTTTTGAATGGCTCATTCAGAATAGCATAACGGGGGTCATTCTGAATGTCTTGCCAGCGAGCATAGCCGTGTCTGATAGAAAGTCTCAGTCAAGCAAAACAGACAAGGGACACTTCAAATAAAAACAAGTTCAAGGCTGTGTGGAAAAACTCGCATATCACTCAGAGCAATCTGAAAATATCAGCCTTCTTCCAAGGCAGCTCCTTCCTGTCAAAGGTAATTACGTTACTTTGCGAGATGCAGAGCTTTCGGCTCTGACATGCGAAAGGATACGTTACGATGCCAGCAAGCAGCCAGTAGTCATGGCGACGATGCCAGATGTCATGCATTTTTCCAGACGAAAGAGCCGCTCGCTCCTCGGTTTGCCACAGGGTGTGCAACTCTGACAGCATGACAGTAAAAACAGACATTTTCTTTCAGACAAACACAAAGATTCAAACGGCTCACATCACTGGGAAAAAAAAAATCTAGACTTAAAAAAGGATTAATAAGAAACCAATGTTTCTCCGGCATGTCATTTAAATGAAAACATCAGTTGAGCATTAAGACATAAAACTGGGGCATGTAAAGAAAATCAGGAAATATTTAGTCAAAGAAACTGATGTACAGTGTCTTGACTTTCAAAAGCAGCATCACGTAATGTGAGAGATTTTAAATATACATTCAGATTTATCTGCAACTAATAGAAGGAGTGACAGGTATATTAACAGTTGCATAATGATGTTTTAGTAAAATGTTGGCAAACTAAAGAAATCCTACTGTTAGTTGTGACTGTTATTTTTTTTTTTACTTGTAAAAAATAGCAAATTATTTGACAGTTTAATCAATATTTTATTAGATTGCTGAAGTAAAATGTACTGTTGAAGTTGTGTTTATTTTTATAAATAAAATCCAACATTTAAATATATAGTGTTTTTAGGGGAAGATTCAACACAGTCAAGCAAACCCGAACTGCAGACATTTTTTACACCGTGCTTGACACAGTCTCATTCAATTTCTTACCCGTAAAACCTCCATCTGCGATATTAAACATGAACTTGGCTTTGAATCCATTTTTGTCCTCTCTTCTGCTCTCATCCAGCTCATCCAGAGTGTCTTTGTCTCCGTTCAATCGACCCTCTAATGCATCTTCACTCTTCACATCGTCTGCGATAGTTATATAAAAGACAGGATGTTTTCATAAGAGATATCCATATAATGTGACTACATGCACTACAAACAGACAGTTGTTTCCTAGAGGAGCCGTGCTTTTGTGTCTTTTGTACTTGCTTCATTTGAGAATTCATCTCACACGCTGTGTACCTGGCTTATTTTCTTTGTCTTCGGTTTTTTCCCGAGGAGAACCAGCCTCTCCTTTTTCAGAGAACTTCTCGGCTTCTTTGCAGGGGTCCGCTGAGGATATAAGAAACAAAAGATTAAACATACAAAGCACAGCCTTCGCAGATGAATAATTTCGCAGTGCATGAATCATGCACCACTCACTCTTAGGTGAGGTATGACTAGATGGCAGCTCTGCCGGCTTGAAAGCAGACTCTTTTGGGTAGGCAGGTGGCTCGGCCTTTGTCATGGGGGATTTGGTTCTGTTCCTCTCATCTCCTGTTGTCTCTTCTGAGGTTGCCTTCGTCTCGTCACTGTCAGCAGCCTTCTTGGGTACAGATACTAGCTCTGCACTGGGAGCTTGCTGTGGGGGCAATAGATGCAACAGAAGGGGAATAAGGACAGTTGGCAGAGGGCAGTTGGCAGAGGGAACAACTTCAAAGGTGCTTTGGAGTGAAAGAACAAGATCCATAGGATGTTAAGATGACTTATACAAAAATGTGATGACTTTTAAGAGTATAGACAATATAGCAGAAGAATGGGGGAAAAGAAGACTCACTTCCTGCTCAGATTGTTTCTTTCCATCTGTCTCTGTAGTCTCCTTATCTTCAGCGTTTCGTACCAAAGACTCAGCCTTCTCTGCAGTCCCCCCCCAAAAAAAATCACAACATAGCTTTTTGTCTTATAGTTTTGTTCTGTGTATAAAAACCGCAATCACACAGTCAAAGAAAAGTGAAACATGACCACTGTAGAGACTCAGGTCCAACCTGGTGGGACGGGGGTGCTGGGCTGTGTAGCCACAGGGCTGGCTGGCACCGGGGTGTTGGGATCTGAAGACACACTTTCAGTCAGCTTCTTCAGCTCCATTCCAATGGGAATCAGATCTGGAGAGCTCAGCTTCCCATTTACATGTTCAAACTCCTGCACCTAAAGTTAAAAAAATGAAAAAATAAAATAAATAACATTGCCTTAACGGTGATAATGAAAATCCGACAGTTCCAAGGGATGCCCTACTTTCTTCAAGTGAGGGATTAGGAGGAACTCCACTGAGTCCTCCAGACTCACTGGTTTAATTTTGCCTGTAGACAGCTGCACCAGCCCCTCCTGAGTTCAAACCTACCCAGCAATAATTTTCTGTTACGAACATTCAAATAACATTTTTAGGAAGATTATCCTTATCTGGTGAGCTGAAAAAAATCTGCATATTTACCAAACACCAAAGGCTTGTACCACAGATATCAGAAAGTGCAGATGGCATGTTCTGCCTAGGAAATATCAGCTGTGGCTCTTCAGTACTTTTGCTTTACAGCAGTAAGCACAAGTTATTTCAACGTTCATGCATGCAGTTACTGAAGCAACACATTAGTCATTTTAGAAAGTTCTGCACTCAATGTGACTGCAGAATTCTTGCATCATCCCTCATGTTTTGATATTTTGCCTTCGTGGTCCCAGACCTTTTTGCATTACTTTAAAGTGGTTTTGATTGGTATTTTATCAGACTTTCTGTTTGTCTTTTGAAGTTTTATTTTGGCTGCAGTCACACATGCATTTCAGTACTTGTCAGTTGTAAAGGGAATATGTTTTTCTTACATTTGATATTATTACTCAATGTCTTCTAATACTTTGACTATGATATTGATAACACAGACAGACAGACAGACAGACAGACAGACAGACAGTATTTAACAATACCATGTAATTATATCTCTGGGGTTGCTTGTCAGATCATTGCTGGGATTTTTCAAAGAGTATTCTGTTCCACTCTTAGACATATCATAGATATTTCACTACTGGCATGCCTAGATAAGGGAATGGATCCAAACATTGTACAAAATAATAGCTGAAGTCAAGAGAAATATTTTTAAAAGGTTGGAGAACCACTGAAGAAAAATACATTAAAAGATTACAAAACAATCTGCTTTGCTCCTTGGAAGCCATTGTAAGTAAAAAAAAATAGAGTTTGTTTATGACCTTTGTATCACGAATACATTCAGGCTAATAAGCCTTTTGTCTTATCTTTCTTAATATTTTAGCCAATTAAAAACTGAACAAGTTTCTTTTTTTTTAGATAGGACATAAGATTATCCAAATCTTTACTAATCTTTGAAGTTAAAATCACTGCCAGAAGTCACTGACGCCAATTAGTTGTAACTAAGCTAAAATATATAAATAAATACAAATAATTTGCCAGCTGTTAAATATAAAAAACAGACCAAAAAGCATAATTTCTAATATAAACTGAAATAAAACTTATTTTCACTGCACTGATCAAAAGAAAACATTTTTTTAGCAATAATTCCACATAGCAACATTGCAAAATTACTATTCTGATCTTCAAAAAAAATTATGAATACAATCAACAATTTAATTTATCAAATACAATTAGTCAGTGAAAGATTATTTGTAAGTTTTTCTACACCTGAGATCCAATGATTAAATAATATTTACAGAAGTAATTAGCTTAGAGGTGATGACAGCACAGATTTCGTTGGTGCTTCAAATCAGAATATTACTTGACTGAAGAAAAAGTAGAAAAACAGTGTTTACCAGGACTTTACCCACAAAGCTTTTCCCATCTCTCAAGTGTGAACACAGCAAACAAATCTAACAAAACTAACATCTTTCTTGCAGGGGAGAGTTTATACCCCAACAACCATTTTTTTTTCTCTCTGTGCATTTTCTCCTGCGTAGATATGCTGACCTACTTTTTCCTAATCCCACAGTGTTCCAACACAGGACTTGGTGTTCTACGGAGAAGATTTCTGGGGTTTAACAACCGGTACCTTTTTCCTGACAAGCGACATGACTCCGATCCTGGTGAGAACATGCTGTCGAGACAGGCCCTCACGGGGGACTCCATCCGCAAAGGTCTCCGCTCCGTCTGCACCTGGCTCACATAAATGTCTCATAAACAGAGACACATAGGCCCTGGTGCACAGAGACACACACTTCAACCGTTAGCGGCAAGAGAGATAGCTACACAAACAGGTGGAATAGTTACAAAAAGCTGAGGTTGTAGCAGGAGGTGTAGTGTTGGAATAAGAATTAATAAGCAGAAGAGGAAATAAGAAGCTTGAGACCACATCAATATTCCCTCTAAATTCAAGAAACTCAGGATTTTATTTCTAATTTCAGAAAATTACACAACATTTTGATTGCGTAATGACAATACTTGGCAAAATATAATGTCTGAATTGTTAAATTTGTGTTCTATGTATTTTTGTGTTTTTATGATGGGAAGTTCTTTGAACTGCCTTGTTACTGAGATGTGCTATATATATATTTTTTAATAATTGAAATTAGCTATGCGAGAGAATAATTTAAAAAAGCTCATTAAATGAAGTTGTTCATTTTGAATTACCTACAATACTGAAAATACATATTTTAATTTAATTTGTCCTACAATTGAAATTCATCTTTCGCTGGAATTGCAGCAGTATTTTGGAATATGTGAACATTTAGAGTCTAAAAAGAGTTTATTTCTTTGGAAAACAGATTAAACACAAAGATTGGACGGATGTCTGTATAAGCAGCAACTTTCAAGTATTGCCACAAATATTCAGTTGGATTTAGGTTCGGGTTTTGATTTGTTCATGCCAACATATAAAAGTTTTTTCTTCAAGGATTACATTAAAAAATTAACACTCTCACAGAACATTTATAGATGAGAGAAATTATATGTGCATAATTTATTTACTAGTTAGGTGAATTCTGTAGACAATTTTTAAACTGGATTTTATTTTGGGGTAGTGGATAAAAAAAGCGACTGACTACAAATATGTGACACATTTAGCAGATTAAAATGCAAATAAATTAGAAAAGTACATAACTTTAATTCATGTAAAAGTGTGTGTTGGTCTATTACATAAAACTCCCACAAAATAGGATTGAAGGTTGTGATTTTAAAGTGATGTGTACACTCTAATGGGTAAGAACACTTTTGCTGATATTATAGATATAGCCATACAAGCACTGCATCACTGCTACAAACAGTTGTAGGAACATTTACTAAATCAAAAAGTCAATATAAACCTGAATTCAGCAGTCAAGCAAAAACATACAGTGAAAAGTACATCCTATAATGGTCTCTTACGTTTTCTAAAAACCCTCTCTAGCATGGTAGAGCTGTTTGATAAAATACCTGTCCTCTGCATGTCACAGAAAAATACAAATAATTGTAGGGCATCACCTAAACTCGCGCTCACTCTTCCCTCTAAGGTCCCGGACCAGCCAGTGCGAGTTGAAAGCATCCTGAGGTGGCATGCCCCAGCGCATGATGGCATTGAGGAAAGCTTTCCTCTGGCGAGTGTTGAACCCAAGGACCTTGAGATGGCGATAAGGAGAAAATGGTGTAAACACATATTGGACGGACAAAGACGCAGGGCATGGAGCTAAAACGTCAGGAGAGCAGCCGGAGTTAGAGATAGCAGCCAGAGTTAGAGAGTCAGAGATAGCCTGACCTTTATAACATGGTATAATATACCACACTGCTTTATGTTACTGTGACTGTTTCATTCTCGGTGAAGAGGGAACTGGTAAATCCTGAGGAGCTTCTCAAAAGTCTCTGACTCCAAAAAACCCCCATTATTCAACAGAAATGACTGAAATTCTGGATCAGAGCACAAATCAAAAGGGAGCTAATGAAATACCTCTATGCTGCCTCCAACACGTGCCAGTAAGGGGGGCAGAGGTTTGTCTTTCTCATTCTTAAGCTGTCGACGAGACTGCCTGCGTCCACCTACAAATGACCAAAATTCAAAGTTAAAAAAGCTGTATTCAGATGCTTGCAGATTTAGCAATAATGTGAATGAAAAAAAAAAAAAAAGCATAAAAGTTCGCGTGGCTGCTTACCTTCGGGCCTCTCTTCAAAATCTTCGTCCTCATCTTCGGACCCCACGGAATACTCCGATTGATTGTCTGAAAGATCATCCTGCCATTCTGAGCAACACATCAAAGAGAAACAGTACATTGCGTTCGCTTCTGTTGGTGGCCACCTGAGGGCGCCATGGCACTGCAGATTACTACAGACCACTCCTGTACAGCTGGGCAAATATGCACACAGCACAGCTGTGCAGAACTTACTTTAACTCAGACTTTGCTGCAGCTGGTTTTGTAAATTGCACTCAAAGATCTACAGGAACAATTGGAATTTTTTGAGAAAACACAAACTTCAGGTTTTTTTCATTATTATTATTATTATATAATGAGGCACAAGACAATGGTTGCAAAATGTGCCATAATTCTGTTAGATTTGGAAGTTAGCCTTAAAGCCTCACCTCAGTTGTGCTCCTCTAAAAACATCATCATCCTTATGAGATATAAAAGGGTCAAATTCAGACACCCAGTCTTTATCTTCATGATGAGCTAATAAAGAATTCTTAAAACAGTAAAAAATTTATAAATGCAGCTTTGAGACTGCAAATAAGAAAGGGTTTCCTGAGCCTACAGAAGGGCTTTTCACTATCAAGCAGCATGGACTTACTTGAATTGGTAGCAAAACAATAAAATCCAATGGAAAACATGATTCTTCCTGCCACTCGAATTAGGAAATGGTTTTCTTGCTTAGATGTCAAACTCAGATGTCCTTTGGCAAACAATAAAATGGAAATCTGGCATCTTTCTTTTTTTTTTTTGTAAAATAAATAAATATTGCAATAGGTAAAAGACTTAATTCCAACATTTAATTGTTGCCATTTTATTCAGGCAAACAGTTCTGTTGCACCAATTGAAAATAAAACATTTATAAGGTGGATGGACTTATACTCCCTCTAGAGGCAGGAGGAAGATTTGTACAGGGACATGGTGAATATCTTCACACAAGATGAAAACATGAGGCTTGTTTGTCAGATTAAAATAATTTATAAAAGTAACCTTTAACAAGTATTAAACATGCTTTTTTTTTTTTTTTTTACATTATACTACCAGAAAACAGTTTTCTACATTTTAAAAAGTTAACACATTTTAGCAGAGGCTTACAGCCACATCTGACAGGCATGTGGAGCCTTGTGTGTTTTCAGCTGGCGCAGCTTACCTTGGTCCTCCTGAGTCGCGTCATTGTAGTTGACCTGCTTCCGAATGCGTTTGCCTTTTCCCAGATTTCGGGCCAGGTCCTCCTGCTGCTGCTCATAGTGATGGCGGAGGAGCTTTTCCCAATAGTCTGGGTCCACATTCTCCTCTTGCTTGATGATTTCTCGCTCTACCTCCTCCTGATCATCGATCGACACAAACATCAGCAAAGCAAATTAAAAGCTGGCTACTAAGTTGAATTCAAACGAGAATTTTCTGCGCTTGTATTGTGTTGCTAGGCATCCTGGATTTATTGTTTCAATATTTAATTATAATTATGCAAACTGAAGAGTAAGTCAGCCTGTTTGCCCTTTTAGAAGCATATAAAATAATTCCTTTACCAATAACTGTTGATTAGATTTTTTTTGATGAAGTTACATATTTTATAGTGCTGATAAAGAATCTTAAATCAACACTTATTCTGCCATATCATCATCTGCAATACTGCAAGATGGTCCAGATGAAATAATACTTTTACAGAAACATTTATACATAAAGATGACGGAACATCTTTAACACAAAGTTTTGCTTTGTCTTGATCTACTGAGCTTAAAGGCTACAGCATAACAACTGTACTGAACCTTTTTATGGTCCAAAGATTCCCAGCAGGTGTTCCGAGGATGAAGACTAAAGTTAGGTTCTCACCTCTTCATCTTCTTCTTTCACCACATACTGCGCCACCTTGAACGAGCTCAGGTACTCGTTCATGTTCTGTATCTCTGTGTCCTCGGTGGCATCTTGGCTGCGGTCCAGCAGCTTTGAAATGGCATCGTCATCGTAGTGAATGACGTTGCCCTCCTCACCATCTTTGTTATCACCTGGCAAGGCGAGAGTGTTTATTAGTTACGAAAGGGATCATTCTACATAAGACGAAAATGTGTCAACTATGTTTCAAATAAAAGTGTTTGAACACCAGGAGGACACTTTTAAAATACTTTTTTATTGTGTTCTGTAGATTTATTGATTTATGGAGATTTCTGTAAAGAGATTTCTCAATAGAAAAAAAAATAGTTTAGTGGTCTAATAACAGTACTTTGCAATGTCTAGACATATATAGATAAAAATCTAGTCTCTCATAAAAAATGTCTTGTATCAGGGCAAAGTACCAGGTGTCATTTTATAAAATGTTTCCACTTGTCAGAAGTTCTGCTGATCACGTAAACTGTCTACCTAAATAAGGGTTTACTAAAAGGCCTTCTAATAGATATAGATAAATAAAAGTATTGTCAAAGTCTATAGCTTGAACAAAATAAGTGTACTTCAGTTTACATTTGCCTGAACTACTATTGCTCTCAGAAGTTGCATTACCTACATAAAATTTGCTATGCTATAGTTTAAAAGACAATACAAGCAAAGTTATGAGAAAAACTGCAATAAGTGGGTGAAGTAAATGTGCAAATCCTTAAACTGACTCTGTAGAAGATGCTTTTGTTTTTGTTTTTTTTGTTCACACCTTTATCACACCTTTATCAATTATAGTGAAACTGGTTAACCTAAAATAAAGTGAAACTGTCTTAGTAGTTTTATTTTCTTACATTTGCTCATTTGCATTGTGAGTTCAAGGATCATATAATTCAACAGAAGATTAATGTCATGGGTGGAAAGGTAAGATTTTGGACTGGTCTCGCTACAGTTAAGAGCCAAACCTGAAAACAATTAGAAAGGTTTGGCAAAGCAGAGAAGACAAATACCAAGTCAAAAAGTGGGATGCTTAAAGGCTCCTACCATAGAAGACTAAATGTTGAAGTTGAGGCAGTTGTACTTTGGCCCACTTTTTTCTTATTTTAGTTATTCGATGAAATTGTAGAATACTAATCTCAAATTACATGTGGAAAACAATTAGAAGTGATTCATCAATTTTTACTCCATGAAAAAAATTCAACTTTACCTGTGTGCCACTTCTCAAAATACACAAAGTCCTTCATAGTCTCTGAAACTTTAAGGACTCTGAAAGCAAAAAATGTGTCTGACTTCACAAATGTGAATGTAGATGGTAGAAAAACACATGTACCCATGGTTCGTGCTGCTTCCATCTCATCCTTAAAGAGCTCCTCAGTTCCAAACTTGAGGATGTCGTCCAGTTCTTGTTTGGACATGGAACCGGTTTTGGAGCCCAGGCCGGGCCTCACCACCAGGTGAGTCAACATCATTTTTCTCTTTGCCACCTGAGTGATTCTCTCCTCCACAGATCCCCGAGTCACAAAACGATAAATCATCACCTTCTTGTTTTGGCCAATTCGGTGGGCTCTGCTAAAAGCCTGGAGTAATTAAAAGGATTGATTAAAACTGAAGAACACAGTGATCCACTAAATGCATGCAAGAACGTGCAGGCTGTGAGATATCCATACTTGGATGTCATTGTGTGGATTCCAGTCAGAGTCATAGATGATGACGGTGTCTGCACTAGCCAAATTGATGCCGAGACCTCCGGCTCGCGTTGAAAGCAAAAAGCAGAACTGCTGTGCCCCTGGAGCTGTTACGCAAAACAAAGTAGAGAGTACCTTCATTTCCAGGAGAGTGTAACAAAGTGGCACATAGCTAAGGAAAATGCTTGACTAGAGAAAAAACCCACCATTGAAACGATCAATTGCTTCCTGCCGTAAGCCTCCAGTAATCCCCCCGTCAATACGTTCATATTTATAGCCTTCAAACTCCAGGAAATCCTCAAGCAGATCCAACATCTTTGTCATCTGTGGATAAGATCAACTTTAATCAAATAAAGCCGCATTCTGAACATTTTTTTTATCTGGTTTGTCAAGCGGATTTGTAAAACTGCTGCTGAAAGGTAGTTAGGCACTGAATGTCATGGTCTCGTGCCAAATCACAGTATTTACTCGACTGTTACCTGAGAGAAAATAAGAACTCTGTGTCCTTCATCTTTGAGTTTCTTCAGCATTTTTTGAAGCAGGGTTAGTTTTCCTGAAGACTTCACCAGCAGGTTGCCATCATAAGAACCATTAGGCAAAACAGGAGCCTCCTACAATATGAAAAACCCAGCACCAGTCAGTAAACGCAGAGTTTTATGAATATAATGAGTATTAAAACCAATTTGTAAATACAACTGATAATACATTTTTATATGGAATGTATTATGTAAAATCAACTTTTTTGAGCTGTATATCGTACTATGTTATTACTCTGTCCAACTCATCTGAGAATGGCTGTAAACGGCACAATGAGACTTATTGCTACGATGACGTGCTGAAGGCAGCGTGCCCAAAAGAGAAGAAGCTTCTTAAAGAGACAGAGGTCCAATATCAAGGCGTCAAATTACAAAGTTGGGTTGCTTTTAAGTCATGTTTAATATAAATAGAGGATTTACTTGATGGTGCTATAAAATTCTACTATGTGCCTGAAAACAACAAGAACCTGTCAGCTTCAACAAGTTTTGGCTAGAAAAAATTCTATTTGAAGGTTTGGTGGCTTACCACAGCAGCAACAGGGAACAGGTAGGGGTGGTTACAGCACTTCTTCAGGTCCATCATAATGTTGAGCAGGGACACCTGGTTCCCTCCCCCTTTGGAGTTCAGAGCCTCAAAATTCCGCGTCAAAATAAACTTGTAATATTTCCTGAAAGGTGTCAGATATTGAGCAGATTTGAAAATTAGCAAAACAGAATAAAGGTGTTTTACTTCTGGCTGCTTGACGCTGCTTTTAGATGAAAATGTCCACCAGGGTGTATAATAAAGTTTTGTCTTATCTCTTATCTTATCTAATATCACTTGCTTCAAATGTTTATATTATTTAGATGGAAATGAAATCTGGTAGGCTTCGTCATAAAATCCGTTGTCCAAAATGCTTACTTCTGCATGGGACTGAGCTCCACTCTGACAATGAGCTCCGTCTTCGCCGGCATGTTCTTGAAGACGTCAGCTTTCAGCCGCCTGAGCATGTGAGGTCCGAGGAGGTCATGGAGCTTCTTGATCTGGTCCTCTTTAGAGATATCTGCAAACTCCTCAAGGAAGCCATCCAGGTTGCTGAAGAGATCAGAGGTCACATGAATGTACAAGAGTTCAAATAATTAAAGTATAAATATATTTTTCAACATCCTGTCCAGTGACGCTGGAGATCGGCACCAGGCTCCCAACCAATCCGGCAAGCATAAACCAGATCAGATAATGGATAGATGAATGAATGAATATTTCAGCAACCCTACATTTGATCAACACAAGATCCGTCTTTTTGTCTCATCCCAGTTTCACTGAAGCTATGACACGAGTGTACAGTTGACGAGTTGTTGTGCGATTGCATCAGCGTTGCTTGCATGAACACAACATCTAGCTGTTGAAATACAGCCTAATTATTTTACACTGCAACATTCTAGTCAGTGGTGAGAAATGCACACTGAAGACACAAACAGAACACACTTAAACTTGCATTAAATGAAGTTAAAAGAAAAACAATATAATGTAATGTAATGTTGATTATACGAGGCAACACAGTGTGATGATATTCCACCTGTGTGTTGAAATATTTGACTCATGAATGGTTTTAACAACTGACATGCAGACGGTGTGGAAGCCAAAATCAAAGTCATGATTTTCCATAAATGCTACACAGATGTCATGTCTCTGCATTCAAACTGGCTTACAGATGGTTAAGCAGATAATGGCTGGAAGTGACAGGCCTTACTTGAAGCGGTCTGGGGTGAGGAAGTTAAGTAGATGGAAAAGCTCCTCCAGGTTGTTCTGCAGAGGAGTACCAGTGAGCAGCAGCTTGTAGTAGATCTTATACCCGTTAAGAATCCTGAAAAACTAAGCAAGGCACATGAAGTGAGATGGTTAACCTCAATTACCCTTTCACAAAATCTCCATCTAAAGCATTTTCTCTTGTTAAGATTAATTGATGAATTTCTGCTGTTTTTGCTTCCAGTACAAAGAACGGCAGGTACCTGAACATCTAGCTTCCTTACCTTTGATTGGTTGTTCTTCAGTCTGTGAGCCTCGTCCACAACCAGGCAGGCCCAGGTGACGGAGCCAAGAATGGCTTGATCTATAGTGATCAGCTCGTAAGATGTCAGCAGCACATGAAACTTGATGGGAGAGTCTTTCTGCAAGAAGAATAAATGACAAAAATCCTCAACTAGTTGACATGCACAGACATTATGAAACATTTAACATGCACAATTTCATTTATTCCAACCCGATTCTGTCAGAGCGTGAGGTACAGCACCTTCATCCGGAACACCTTGCGTCCAGATTTTATTGCGCTGTCCTCCAAGGCGAATTCATTCTCTCTGATAATTGCCCGGCTGTCTTTGTCTCCGGTGTAAGTCACCACGTAGAAATCTGGAGCCCACATCTCAAATTCTCTCTCCCAATTGATGATAGTAGACAGAGGTGCACTCACCAAGAAAGGCCCCTTGGAATGGCCCTGACAGACAGAAAAAAGACATGAGTAAGCCACTCTTGCAGTGCTCCAAAGAGAAAAGGAAACCAGGTTTTATCATTTCTTTTTTTCTCACTGTCCAAATTGATTAGATCCAAGCACATATTACCATTTATATTACTAGGACCAGTATCACTACTCATGCCTATTTCGTTTCGATTGGAATATGAGCTTGATAAAAAGAGACACTCTTACCTCCTTATACAGTGAGTAGAGAAAGACTATTGTCTGAACCGTTTTTCCGAGGCCCATTTCATCTGCCAGGATGGTATCTGTTCCCTGAGCCCAGGAAAATCGTAACCAATTCAGACCTTCCAGCTGGTATGGGTGCAGCGTTCCCCCTGTGGCATTAATATACCAGGGCTGGTGCTCAAATTTGATGGTTGGCTGGTGGTGTGAAAATATAATTGTGACTTGTGGAACTGACATATTCTAACAAAACTGGCATCCTTGGTATAATGTCTAGCAAAAGTATTTTTAAACTTCTTCCTTAAACTTTTTCAAGTTTTGTCATGTTACAAGCATCAACTTCAGCGTATATTAGTGGTATTTGTTTGGCTAGATCACACAAAGAAGCACAAAATTGTTTATAAAGGTAAAAAGTAGCTTACAATTTTTGTTCAAATGCCATACTATATAAAATTAACTAGCTTTCAGCTCCATCTAAATGGCTACCTTAATGTAAAATTCAGCTCAATTAATTGCCTTCAGAAGTCACTGAATTATTCAATAGAGATCATTTTTATACATATAGCTGTAACCATGAAAGCCAAAGAGGTTTACTAAAGAATATTAGTAGAAAAAAAAACTGCGTTATGAAGACAAAGAGAAAGACCAGACAGGTCAATGATAAAGTAGTGGAGACATTTAAAGCAGGATTAAGTAATAACACAACATTTCAAGCTTTGGAGATCTCACGAATCAATATTTAAATGGGACTGAATATGAAATAACTATAAACCAACCATGACATGGCCGCCATATAAACCGACAGGCTGGTCAAGGACAGCATTTATTTAGAGAAGAGGCCAAGAGAGCAATTTTATCTGTAGAGGAGCTGTGAAGATCCACAGCTGCAGACGGACAATCTGTCAATGGAGCAGATAATAGTTGTGCACTCTGCAATTCTAGCTTTTACAGACGATTGGAAAGAGCAAAGTCACTGTTGAAAGAAAACTATAAAGAAGCCTTTTAGAAAGCTTGCCATAAGACAAGCAAGAGTCTCAGCAAACACATGGAAGAAAGTTCTCTGATCAGAGGAGACCAAAATAAATATCTTTGACCGACACTCAAAACGCCTTATATCACAGAAAACTAACACTTCACATTCCCCTGAACAGATCGTTCCAACTGTGACACATGGTGGAGGCAGAACTATATTATGGCTTTCTGCAGGACAAGTAACTAAAGGAGGCTGATATATTAACAGAGTTTCTGATGTAACTGGAACAAAAGATTTTTCAACAAACAGCAGAGCTGAATACATATAAACTGCGTTTTTGCTTCCATTAAACAAGTATGGGCTACTTTGTGATGGTCTATCCCATAAGTTGGTGTAACATGACAAAATGTGAACAAGTTACAAAATACATTTGCAAAGCACTTTGTATGTACTACTTACATCTATGATGGGGGCATCAGGAGGGATTTCCCTTTTTGGATAGTTCTCCTTTAGTTTCTTCCCTTTTCTCACCACAAGAGGGCGTTGGTCCTCTCCTAAAATTTGCTCTCTGTAAAATAAATACAGCAACAATCTCCTGAGCAAAATACTATAAGTGGGACAATACAAGTTAAGTCACGATTCGTTAATAATGAACAAAAGACTTAAAGATACAAATATCTGTGTGAGCAGGAACTGTCTTTGCAATTTCTAACATTTAACTAGGAAGATTACCACAAAACATGGGAAACTCACCTGTGGTCCCAGTAAAAAGCTTTGTGGATCTCATACTCTGGGACGTCAAAATCATCTGCCTCCCAAGTGCATTGATCATAGGGTAAGTCTCTCCACTTGATTAGGTAATGCACATCACCGTCTTTATCAAAACTAAAACAGAGCAAGCACAACAAAAATTTTAAAAGTCCAGAATATTTTTGGTAGAGTATCTTTCTTTTAAAGTATGTCTTGTGAGTGTTAAATGTGGTGGATTATGGGGAAACTCTAAAAATAACTTAAAATGATCAACTTTATTGTGTGTGTTTTAAAACAACGGAATGTTTCTATATTATATAGAATGACTTCCGTATTATATAATGATAGAAAAGGAAAGCAAGTCAACCTTAATTGCACTTCGTTTCAGTTCCAGGCCTGTGAGATGTGTGGCATTTTAGGAAAAATAGTGAAGTGAAAATGACCTGTGGTTGAGTATCCGGTGGATAACCATCCACTCTGGTTTAATGCCATAGCGGTAAAAGCGCTCCTCCATTGCAGCGTACTGGGGGTCTTTGCTCTTCCTCTTCTCATTGTTGAGCTCCTCCTCTCCTGAGCCGTAATCGTATGGCGGGGGCTCGTCCATGTCGTTCTTCCGCTGGTAGTTCCGATACATGACTGTGTGGTACAGCTCTAACTGAAGAGTCACAAATGAAAAAAAAAAAATAAATAAATTATATATATATATATATATATATATAATATTCCTGCTATAAAATGTGTTTTTACTTAGAAAAAATCCTAATATTACTCATCATCGATTTTGGGAATTTTCTAATTATTTAAAAATAAAGAAAAATGTTGTAAACCAAACAGTAGTTGGATTGCTTTGTGATTTTAATCTTCAAACAATAACTACATACTTGTTAAAAGTGCTGAGACTGTTTTGTAAAATACTCTCCTCACTGTTTTTGTGCACCCCACGTTTATCACCGAGGGCACATAGTTACTGATGCCAAATGTTGAGTTGAAACTGGCCTCACTCCTGGCATCTCACCTGCAGTTCGCTGACCCAGGAACAGTGCCAGTATGAAAGGCCAGCCCACTTTACAAAGAATTCCCTCTCTGGGCGCCCCTTGAGCGGGGGCTTGGTCAGTGGATCAATTGGCTTGCCATCAGGGCCTGCGGGTGGCTCAGCTGGCAGCGGCGGTTCTCCCCACATCCAGTGGAGAATCTTCTGCACTTTACCTTTGAGAGGAGGGCACTGAGAGAAAACGGTTTAAATGAAACCCTCAAAAGAAATTCCAAAGTGTACAGTTGCTGTATAAAAAAAAAGAAAAACCTTTTTTGCCCCTCACTGTCTGACATTAAATCATACTGAATGTTCCCTTTCTGGGTTAGTTTGACCAAGATTACTATTGGGCATTGAGTTGCTTTGCTGTAAGAGGCACTGGGGCACTTCATAAAATAGATAGTAAGAGGAAATAATGTGATGTATTGTTTAAATAGAGCACAGACCTAAAGAGAGAGGGTAGAGAAGTACAGGATAATCTGGAAGACAGGCAGGGTCCGTTTCGGTAACCTCCTAAAGACATCTTCATGAAGTTAAAGCTTGGGTTCAAGTTATTCTCCCAAATGAACGATTACTCCAAGCAAAGGCTTATAAAGTGGGTTAAGGACAACAAAGTCAAGGTTTTGAATTGGCAATCACAGCACCCTGATGTCACTACCATGGGACGTTTGTGTGCGAAGTTAAAAAGGTGCATGGAAGCAACGCAATCTGATTTAGTTATTCAGATTCTAGCAGAACAAATAGATCAAAATTTCAAGAAACCATTGTGACAATCTTGTGGAAGGGAATCCTAAAAGTCTGACAATTTATCTAGTTCAAAATGTAATTCAACCAAACACTAAAGAAATGTAGAATTAAATATGATGATGTTCACTATTCTGGCATGTAGTAAATATAAATCAATCTGGTAATACTAAACAGACATCAGAAAACATTTAATTTGATCTACTGTCAAAAAGCAATGAAAGAAAAAAATCTGCATTTGTTTTACAATGGATTTGCACATCTGTTTTCAACTGCATCTGCACTAATTTGTCAAAAAGAAATTACAATATAATAAACAAAAAAAAATACAGAAACATTTTTTTTAAAAAACAAACCAAAGTTAAAATATAACAGTAAATACAAAAACCGGAGAAGTGCATGCATTCTGCTTTGATAAAATCAAACAACAGAAAAAGTCCACACTAAATGTGCATTTGGAAAAGTTTAAGATAAATTGGCATAACTTTAAATAGTTTATTGTTATGTAATTTGCTCCAAGTGATAATTTATGGCGAACTCACCATGCAACGAGGACACAACCACTCCCCGTTTGGGATCTCAGGTAGAGGTGGATTGAGGCAATGGATGTGGTAGGACGATGGACAGGTGTCACAACACAGAAGTTCCCCTCCATCCTTGCAAACTCTGCAGAACTCCATATGGTCATCCTCTTCCTCACCTGCTGGCTCCTCCTCCTCCTCTTCGTCTTTGGCCTCCCATTGGATTCCCTCCTTCTCCTGACCGTCACGAAAGTCAATAGCTTATTTAAATATAACTTTAAAAAATTATGAAAGGCACAATCTGTAGGAATTTATATATTATTAAGAGCACAGCAGAAAAGTAGTTTGAGCATTAAACTTTCTCTGAAAGAGTAGTTTTACTCCAAACTATCTCCCATTTATTTAGCAAAAATCAAAAAGTAGAGCAGCAGCAGTCTCGGGTAAAAACCTGCAGCCCCCTCCATGCTTTTCAGCATGCCTGGTAAAATGTGTAAAACCAGTTTTCAGACTGCATAATTGCATGCATTACAAAGAAAAGGATCAGGCCCACAGCATCACTTACAAAGGAGACAATGATGAAACTTTTAGTTATATTTTTGGCTTCATAAGTCAAAATTATGATTTGAATCTCATAAACATAACTAATGATTTCAGAAATATGAGTTTTAGAGTGGAAATAATTATCTTTAATCTCATAATCCTGAACTACATTATAATTTTGACATTGTGTCTCATAGGTATGACTTTGAATATGAAAATTCTGAGTGTCTATAGGCAACAGAAAGGTGAAATCTTCTTCTTCAGAAGACGACACTACAAGTATTTTGCTATACATGGAGTTTTAATCTTGATTTAGCACTACTGCATAATATATCTATCAAATTGTTAAGCAGAAATGCTTGATTAATTATCATGTTCCTACTGAAATATTGTGTTAATTTGAAATAATGGCTCCACTTACACAGTGTGGACAGCTCCATTTTCCCTCAGGCGCCTTTTCCAGCTCGGGGTCCAGACAGACAAGGTGGTAGGCTCTTGGACAAGTGTCACAGAGGATAATTTCTCCTCCCTGCTGGCAAACCTCACAGTAGTCCTGGTGGTCAGTCTCATAGCCATCGCCATCCTCCTCTGCCATATTTAAAGGAATAATTGAAACAATATGACTGGGTCTAACATATAGAGAGTCATAGTGTCCTGATTCTCTACCACAGGAAAACAAATCATTTAATCTTGAACAGCTACAGTAAATGGAGAAACTCCATATGTATAGAAGAATTGACGGCTGGATAAAAGCCTAATACGTTTTCCCACAATAAATAAAGCTTTAAAAGAAAAAAGTACATTTTAATTACCTCATTACAGAAAATCAAACAGTCTGGTTCGGTAGGGATTTCAGTCAAATTTTGGAGGGGAAAATAAACCACAGTGCTCCGAAAGAATAAACTGTAAACATACTTTTCCTTTTTTTCCGCCCACGTCGGGCCTTTTTCTTGGTGGCCCCAGAGGTATCAGAAAGCACAGAGGCACTGTGGATACTGATGTCATCAAAGTCTGACTCCTCCAGAAAGTCCTCCTCGCTCTGGAAAATCAAGCGCACCAAAATACACAAGCTAAAGAGCTTGGAGCAACACAAAGTCTGCTCACTTTTATTTAAAGGAAAAATGTTGGGTGAAGAAGCTGGAAAGGTGAACACAAGGTAAAATAACACGTACAGAGGACGCTTTCTTCTTCTTCCCACTTTGACCAGTTTTTGATTTGGTCTTCTTCGGCTTGGGTTTCTTCTTCACTTCTTTTATGGTCTTGCTTTTCTTTCTAACTCCTGGCCCTAAGGCAGACAAACATACAGTATAGTGCCATGAAAATGTATGCATTCATTCTGCTTTAGCTTCTTTTAATATACTTGAATGTCATTTTAATATCAAAGATAAAATAAGTCAATATAAAGTAGAATGATTTGAAAACTCAATTATTACAATTTCTTGAGGAAATTGCCTGCCTTTAAGCTTATTTAAATTATGTTTTATGTACTTTACTGTTTAGAGCCCTGTGTTCCAGCCAGATGATTATTTGTGTTGCACAACGATCTCACTTTCACCTACGAGTTGTTGACTGCTAAGTATCAACAACTCAGTAGGACAATAAGCATAACATAGTGAAAAATAGGGCAGAAATTGATATCCAATATTAATACTGGTCTTATGGCAACATTTACCAGTATTTTATTTTACCAAAATTGTTATTTGACTGCTCCTGATTAATTATCAGGAAAAATTGATAGAATACTCGGTTACTAAAATAATTGCTTACAACAACCCTAATATAAAATATGGTTTTGAAAAGATGGTTTTATTTGTAAGGTAAAAAGTCCATGTAAAATAGGACCTGTCCCTAAATCAATATCTGGTTGTCGTTAAGGATTTTTTTTTTTACATTGCTCTGGAGATTAAAATGTATTCCAGCATAAACAACCTGTTTAAGTTTACTCCACAGTTTCTGAGTCAGGTTTCAGTAAGGAATAGCAGAAAATATTTATTTACCACAATATTTCATGATAAGCGTCACACTTTCAGAGGGTCTTACCTTTTCCTTCTTTGGTTTTGGCTTTTTTTAACATGCCCTGCAGAGAGCTCAGCTGGCTGCTGCTGACAGATGTTGGCTGAGCTACAGTAACCGTCTCCACCGCGGCGGCCACCGCGGCGGCCACAGCGGTGGCAGATGCCCCTTTGAACGGGTTGTTGGCACTGAACTCACGCCACTTGGCTCCCAACACTGTCATCATCTTTGACATGGGAATCTTCGGATTCTTCTTGGCAATGAGGGGCCTGGGCGTAACCACAGGGACAGGAGACGACAACAACAGCTTTATTATGTCACATTTCATTTCAGCTGGTGTAATTTCCTTCTCTCTCAGCCACTGGAGGGAACTGGGTCCTGATTTACTGACACCCCATTGCCCTTTAAGTTTTATTTTCTATTCCTTGGTTTGAGTGTGTCATGTGTTAGATTTGTCGGGCAACAGCTTGAGTTTTGGCAGGCTGGCCTGTAAAAGATAGTGGGTCAGAGCACTGAGTCCCAAAGCCTTCCGGCTGTCACAGGCATCCAACGAGCAGCTGACTACACACAGGGGGCACCGCAGGAGCTCATGCTCCACTTTGTCAGAGCAGAGGCTTAGTCGAGCCAGACAGCCCCAGGTGAGACAGACTCTTTATAACAACAGCCGAGCTTTCCAGCTCAAACAAAAAGAGCAGTGTTAGCTTGTCACGCTGCTCTCTGGTCTAACTGAGGAGTGCTGTGGAAGGCTCTAAGCTGGGAACTCTGTCAAACAACTGGAATTGAAAGAAAACAAAGCAGTTTAACAAAGACAAAAAGTAATACAAAGGAATGTAGATGCTTGCCTGAGGAACTGGCTGAAAGCCTTGTAATTGGTGATTGTTTTGTAGTCGTCCTCCGTGAACCCATACTGAACATCCTCAAGACCCCATTCTTGCATCAGCTGGCTGGAGGATTTGGGTTCCTAGTGGAGCAAAGGCAAGAGGCACAATGCGTTTATTACTAAACAACAACAAAATTATTTTATTTGAAGTCTATACTTTCATGGAGATGATCAATGTGATCTGATTTCAACCATTCTGCTAGACAATAGAATGGTTTGGAGAACCGTAGAGCCAATAAGATATTTTACTTTAAGTATTTGAAAAACATGATGTGCAGAATGGTTGGAAATGCAAAGGGATCTTATAAGATGAAGAACAAATTGCAAGAAAAATATTTAGACAAAATGTAATGTCAATTTAGACAATAGTGAAATATCCCAGTAACTTAAATATGCAATAACAAAGATGGGAATAGTTTTTAAAATCTTCCGTAAAATGGAAAAATTGTCATTCTCTCCTAAAATAGCTAAAATTACACAAAGCCACATCATACTCGGTGCTTTTTGAAGGATGGAGTTTTGAGTGCTGTTGAAAAGAGAGTTAATTTGTTCATAAAGAAGATTACAGGTTATGGGTATGGACAGGGATCTTAAAGAGGTCTCAAAATAATTTTAACTCAACCTTTTTATCGTCTGTAAAATTGTCCAGAGTTCTGGAAACCCAAGCAAGTGTCCTAATCTTTCAGATAACTGTAGCTTTATTAAAAGTTTACTTTTACTGTCACTGGAATATGATGTGTCTCTTTGTTTAGGGTTGCCTTGTTTCACTGAACAAAATCAACTAAGTCAGTAGAGGGAGTTCCCACAGGAGGTTCCGTTTATTCTGAAGTATGCCATGCTCTGTCAGCCTTATTTGTACAAAATACAATGCAATCTACTTGCACATTAGGCTTACTTTCATGTTACCATCATCATCGTCATCCTCATCGTCATCTTCATCTCTCTTCTTCTTCCTGGGCTTCCTTTCTTTTTTCTCCCTGGGTTTTTTCTTTTTTTTTTTGGTGGGGCCATATGCGCTGCTTTCGCTCTCAGAGCCAATTTCTGGCCGTTCGCGTTCCTCCTCTACCTCTGAAATCTCCTCGAGGTCACTGTCAAGTCTTGGCTGTATTCCTCCCTGGGGTATAGTCAAAGACACAGAATATGTTTAAATACACACACTTCACAGGTTCATTACATCTAATTCTACAGATAACAACAATGTAAATGACCATGATTTTTCCAAAGTCATTTTTCCCCAAATAAAAATGCATATTTATTATTGTATTTTTATAATTACAATCAAGCTTTTTTCTTTTTTTTTCCTTTTTAATCTTGCCTTAGTTGTATGAGGAAATGGTTATAATGCAATGCAGCCATCACAAGGTGGCAGAAACACATCAAATTATTTACAAATCCCCATGAAGAAAAGAAAAACAGTTGTACAATCAGACATGGATAAGCTCAATAGCTGAGAGGTACCAATAGATTTTTTGTGAACTTTGAACTCTCATCCCAATTCTTAATACTGTCATCACACCTATCTAGCATAGTTTATACACACACACACACACACACACACACACACACACACACATATATATATATATATATATATATATATATATATATATATATATATATGTTACAGAATTGCTTCTTTGCTTATCAGACTCCAGTATGCTTAATGTGATATCTGAAAACAGTTATTTGCATCAAAAAAATAAAAATAAAAATAATAACTAAGCCGTTTTGTACATTGGTACAAACCAGTGATACAGACACAAAGACACTCACTGTTCTGCTGAGGAATATTCCATCTCAAAATGTTTACAGATCCAGTGTCAGTATGCAAGCCACAATAATTTCGGCATGATTATTGCTCAATCAGTCAAAAGAGGCACATGTCACTACAGAATGCAATAAATTAATTGGTTATCTATGGGTGCTACAGTCAAATTCAAATAATTAAGCTTAAATACAATAAGAACTCATTTATCTTAGCTTAGTCTAGACTGATCCCAGTCTAGATTGTTTTAAGTTGTTATTTCGTGATGACAAGCTTAGATGTAAATGCTTTGCGGAATGAACTCGTTACTTCAGAGAGAACATCCTCTCTGTACACCACCACCACTTCTGAACAGGTTTATCACTTTATATGTTAATGCCACTGTTTTTTTTTTTTATTCTACTGATGCTTGAATGACGTTACTTGTTGAAGGTGACTTTGGAGAAATATTATGTCTATCTTAAAAAGAAGAAGTGCAGCGTTCCATAGTGCATTTCATAACATAGCAGCTCTACTGCATGTGAATCCACGTTAACAATTAAAACAGAGTTCATAAGTTATGCTTGCATGCATTTTGCATCCTCTTAAAGAGCTGACTATTAACTGAAACCAAGAAACAGAACACCTTTTGCTGTGCTGCTAATCAAAAACTCAGCTGCGCCCTGCCTGTTTAATTTGGGACATCTGGAAGGCTATATGGGTTTAACAGTTAACAGGTGTTGTTTGTGTGATCAAGAGAGTGGGAAATTCACTGGAGGTTCCTTAAGCTGTGCGCATGTGAAAAAGTGAGTGCTGTTTCTCTCCCTGTTTGTGTCAAACCCTATTAATTATTTTTATTTTATGGGCTGCAGATGTGTCCAAAATTTACAATCAGTTTGGAGACGTGTCATTTTAATATTCCCTTTTACAATGTTTTGCAGTTGCATGGAATGTATGGCAAAACAACATGCCTTACTGAACACGTGTGTCCACCAGAAGTGGAGTAAAACGAGTGCACAGAGGCTTTGTGCAGTTCGCTGCCTGTTGCTCTGCAGGCCTGCCTGGCTCCATGGAGAGACTTGCAGGCGTTTTGCTCTGTAGCGCAGTGGTAAGGCTCACGTTGCTGCAGCGCCCGCCAACCCTACCAGCAGCCTGGCTGTGTTGCCATGGTGACCGAATCTGAGCAGTGTCTGGCTCTCTCTCTTTCTTTCTAGATTTTGCCCCCCTCTTCCCCCCACTACTTCTCTTCATCTTCTTCCCACTTTCTCTTCTTCACATCTTATAGTTCTCCTCCCTCACCCCATCCACTCCTTTAAATTCTCTCTCAGTCTATATCCTAACTTCTCTCTGGTTCTTTTTCCTCCCTCACTCTTCTTTTTTTCTATCACACAACTCATCCACCTCCCCCCACCCCACCAAGCACACACAAACTCACAAACACACACTCCATCACAGTGGCAGCCAATGGAACGGCGCCATCCAATCAGACACGTTTGCATAACGAGCTTGTTATGCAGAGGCCTGTGGTTGCGAAGCCCGTGCTTCAGCACCCGTCTAGACAAATCTCATTTATGCATAAGAAGATGGAGAGAGAGAGAGGGAGAGAGAGAGAGAGCGAGTGAGAGAAGAAAGAGCAAATTGAAGATTGTGGATGGGGGATGGGGGTGGAGATGGAGGTGGAGGAGGAAAAAGCAAAGAAGCAGAACTGCCACTGTGAGCAACCACAAGGACAAGCTGGAGCTGGAACTGCAACAACCTGGTGGTGGCCCAGAGTTCAATGTTAAACACATATCATAGATGAAGAGATGATTCTCCGGCGCAGCAGTAAAGTGGCTGCCTCTACTTTCAAAGGGTGAGAAAATCAGATAAGTGCTGATAAGCTAATCAAATTAGCGGCTTTCCCTTAATGCTGCTGCCCCGGGGGGACTGGAGCGGATGCTGTGGTAAATATCAAATAAATGAAGATGTAGATTTTTTTTTTTTTAATAAAATCTAGCTCAATAAGAATGTGTGACAATATCACTGCTGTGAGGGGTTTTTAGGGTTGTAAAACAATGGCCACCTCTTTTCTTCCTTGAAATCAGAGCAGCTCTTTGTTGACTCACAATCCGAGGGAAAAAAGTAAAACCAGAAACCCTAATTTCCTTTTATCTGTTTTTTTTTCCTTGCAGATGAGAAAAGGGGAAGCAAATATACTGCGGCTCTCTCGAGCTTTTATTCCTCCCACCAGCAGCCCTAACCTCAGACTGGGATGTGCCACTGACAGTTTCTGACCCCAATTGACTTTTAGACCCTGTCTGACACCAACCTTTGGGGAGCGATTGGAAGAGAATTACAGTGGCAGCAACCGCTCAGCGAGACGACAGGAGACAAAGAGAGAGAGAGAGACAAAAAAGGAAACAAAGACAGAAAGAAAAAGGAACAAAGAAAGAGAGAAAGATATTTGTGAAAAGAGGAGAATACCAGAGTGTGTTCCACGGAGGTTACAACAGAGAGAGTCAGAGGGAGTCTCCCCTCCTCATTAGCCCAGTGAGACCCAGCGGAGCTCAGAGTTTGCCATAAAGAGCCAAAGGGCCGGGTGGCAGCCTGGCCAGTCAAGCTCCTCGCAGCGCTGCTGGCAGCTCCAGCTCAACACTGGGGAACATCCTGGCCATGACACTGGTGCTGTGAATGCCACTGCCAATGCAGGGGCAGAAAACACTGAGATTGCACTGAATTACTGTAATTACTGAGGTTTTGTGTTTAGAAAACCAAGGAGGCGCAAGACAACTTGTTTAGATCCTGACTTGTGCACAATGCATAATTTAGGTATTTAATTATTAGTCTTTGTAATGTTGAACATTTCACCAGTCTTTTGGGGGGGTTGGCATGTTTATTGGTAAAGCCATGCGCATTTTAGGTGGTGTGCTGTGAGAAAATGACAGCAGTTTTCCTAACTGAGTTAGCCAGGGTGGAAGACTGCTGCACAAAAACTCCTATGGGGCGTTCACAGTATAGTGTTAGCTACCTTCCTCTGGAGGACGTACAGAACAGAGGTACAGCTAGACACTGCTACCAGGGTGATGCTGCAAATATATATTTAAAGGTAAAGTTACACTTTTGAGCTATTAGAAACTAGAAATCACAGGAAAAGAGATAATGATGAATGTGTAAAGAGAGGAATTATCAAGATGAAGATCTGGAACAAGAGGATAACACTACACCATGTCCGCTTTGGCTCCTATTATTTCATATCTGATTAGTCTTTGTTACTGTTGCTGTCATAGTGACTGACAGAAGAGTAGCTTAATTGTATTTCGTCATCAGGCCTTGCCTTGATTTACATTGAGGTCTAAGAGTACTGATAATACTTTTACATACATGACTTTCAAAACTTAAAGTGGTTGAAAACAATGTCTCCACCTATGCACACCAGTCAGCAAAAAGGACAACTTTAAGGTACATGTTGAGTTTAGGTCACAGATTAGCTGTAGGTTTTTAAATTAAGTGATTGTGGCATTTTTAATCAGTTAAAGAAAAGAAGAAAAAGACTTACCTTGCCATTACACGACTACAGTCATGTTTTCCTTTGTCTAGCCCACTGATCCACATCTTTCCTAACTAGAGATAAAATGTTTGAGCACTTTACTGAAGGAAAGAGCACTCCTAATTTGGACCACGTGTGCTATTTGCCATCTGGTATGAGTCAAGTCAGTTGGTTAAATTGTCAGTTTGCTCTAGACACCACACTATCTAAAGTTTCTAAAGTTAAAAAAATAACTGTTTTTGGTACTTTCTCCAATATTCCTCAATGTGACACCACTGTTACACTCAATGTTTGTCTTCCAAGACCGACTGTGAGCAGGATTTGTGATGTAATTGTTGCAAATTTGTTTCTGGAGCATCCGATACTCCTAATGAGTTGCTGTTACATTCAGGAGAATGTGTCCACTGCTTTACCATGCTGCTTTAAACTTTAATCTCCTGATCTGATTGTTGTTTCCTTCTCCATCCTAAGTATCACGCATCCAGAAAAATGCGATATTATGATAAACACTATAGGAAATTGACATGAAAACCTCATCCTTCATCCTTATTCTGTAAATAGATAATGTCTCCAGATATTCTGTGTTATCCGTCTACTTTTTAGATCAATGTTCTCTCTGTCTTGTTATCATTAAGAAGGCTGCTGGCTTATGCAGCATTTTCATTGTTGAATAAGTTATTCTAAGGGCAAGTTAATGCTGTTAAAATTTTATATAATTCTGATAAGCCTTGATGTCAAATCACCTCTGTCAAAGCTCTGTGACTACAGTTGCTATATTGGCTGAAACTCTGCCCCTTTGACCCCAAACCCCCAGCCTTAAGCACCAGCACCACAGGCACAAATCCACACTCTAAACTGGCACTTGGCGCCCACAGCTTACACTGGCAGTAACAGTGACTCTGCTGCCAACCTCCCCTAGGCCCGAAACAGTCCACTGCCTCTCATTTCGATTACAGAGGCAGTCCAGCAGCCAAAGCAGAACTCTGATCCAATTGCAAAAGCATCAAAACTGTGATAGCGTGAGAATCAAAGAATGAGGCCGCACAGCTTGAGCCAGAATTTCTGGCAAACCTTTGTGTTTGAGGTGATGACAGACGGGGCTGTGTGTGAACAAGATCTTACCTCTTTTTTCCTCTTCTTAACTTTAGGTATTTTCCCCTCTTTTATCTTTTTGGGCTTTTTCTTCTTCTGCTTTTTGAGGGAGTCATCATCAGAGAAGAAGCTGGCGAGGGCCGTGAGGGGAACAGTGTTGCGCTCAGTTTCGTCATCTTCATCTGGACACAGAGAAAAACGTGTTCATGTTCATACTTAAGAAAATATGCCATATAAACTGAAACAGTTCTTGTTAAAAGTTATTTTTAATTTTCCTCAAAAAAAGACATGAAAGAGAGACTAAAAAGAAATATATCTGTGGAAGTAAGGACTGAAAGAAATGAAATACAAACAACTTAAAGATTCACTGTGAGGTTTCCATACATTTATCACAAACATTAATGTTACATTAATGCTGGTCTTTAAAAATATCTCGACTATTGTATTTCAGGGTGGAAAATATGTTCAAGAAAAATTTGGTATTTTTGAAAACAGAAACGGGTTCATAAGTTTGAATTTTTCATATATTATCTCTATTTAGCACAGGGTCGAATTTATAGGCTTAAAAAATCTACACAGAGACTCACATAATTCACATGTTTCTTAGTAAGTTAAATATTTTTTGTTGTAAAAAAAAAAAAAAAACTCAAAACCTTAAGGTGATAAGTTTCTGCTTGTCACCGTCAAAGTCAGTGGCTATGTAAAATGTTTTTCACTGTGGACAGTAACACTTCTGTTGCAGCAAGTTCAAATTCATTGAGGCGACATGTTTTGGTACTCCCTTAGCCTGGCCACTGCCTTCCTACACAGCTCAGCTTGATTCTCATCTCCCTTCAGTGCTCTGTCTGGGATTTCTACCATTAAGCTTGATTTATCCAGTTGTGGTTCAACCAGGCCAATCAGAAAGCAGAAGGAGTTGTGAAAAATTACGAACCGTAAATTTTCTGTGTGGTTTTAGAATTTCCAGTTATATTTAAGCTGGAGGTTTAACTATGGTTTAGTGACATTGGTGTGGTCGAGGTGTAACTTGCTAAAGGAATTTTAAAAATGATTAATTTAGACCCATTATGGATTCATGGAAATCCCCAAATTAAACAATTTCACCCACTTAGTGCTCTTAAAAACAGAAAGAAGTTACATATCGATCGGAGATTTAACTCAATTTGTATTTGATAGCAGCACATATAAAAAAAAAGTGTTTGAAAGCCGAGAAGATTTTGTAGCAGTTCTCAATGTTAATTGTTTTCTCCTTCTAGCTTGATGTTAACAAATATGACAGCCAATTTGTGTGATTTATCATCTTGTGCCACAGCCATTTCTGTGGTGGCAAATTATAGCTACTTTGTATGCATATATGTAAATATAAACAGTCGCATACAAATTTTCTGCACCATCCTAAAGATACTGATTACAAAACTGTTTGAAAAGTGTAAGACTGCTGGATATCTGTCAAATTGTCTGAAAGAAATTTAGATGAGGACCTAAGATTATTCTGACTGATGCAATTAATAAAATACCTGACCCTAAGATTGAGTTACAAAGTAAATGTAGCTACATAAGCTAAGTATGCATCTTTTCTTTTGAAACACCAACTGTTTTTAAAAACTGTGATGTTCAAAATAGGTACACATTTCACAAACTGAAAACCAGGTTGTTGTTTTTTTTTTTTTGTTTGTTTGTTTTTTGCAATTTTTTGGAGAGTTTCAAAGTTAAAGTTAGAAAGACTAAAAGAAAAGAAAATACTTGTCCTCATGCCACTGATACAAGCTGTTTGACAAGTTCTCCTTTAAATCCACTCCATACTGCAAGGTATTGATTACTCTCTCTCAGGACAAGACGTTCTAGGACAAAGTGTTGCTGAGACTTAAATGACCAGCACCATTCATGACACTAAGTCTTTTGCAAGCAGCACCATGCACTGTGAGGAGTAACTGTGGATAACATATCTGCAAGTTGCCATTGATACATACATTGTGCAAAGGCAAGCTATGCATTTTGATTTTTAAACAAAAGGGAACAGAAGACTTCAAAATGTAAAAAGTACTGGTACACTATTTCATAACTATAGATTATGCCTAAAAAATCTACCATAACCAGTTATCTTTGAAAGTTACTAATCAAGACAACTTGTGAGGAATTTAATCCCAAGACTAATGATGTTTGGATTTAAAACAACAAATGAGCTTGACTGATTGATTGATCTATTGACTGACTGACTAATTGAGTGATTGACATTGCATCATTCCATCATTGAAAATAGAAAAATGTATAATACATCAGATCTGCCATTGCATGACAATCTGCCACACTGAAAGGTCTGGCAGGGAGAGTATTAATTAGAGAAAGCTAAGAGGCCCTGGATAGTCTGAAGGAGCTGCAGAGATCCACAGCTCATTTTAGAGAATCTGTTGAAAACATAACAATTAGTCATCCATAACCTTGGCCTGTCAATGGCCATATAATCCTGGTTGGCAAAAATTAGAAGTCTCATTTGTTAAAATGTTTGCTGCAAGTCAGCAAAGGTATTCAGGACAACATCTCTAGACACACAGCCAGAGCTACAACAAAATAGCTTAGATCAAAACAAAATGTGTAATGGGCTTGACACACAGGGAGCGATGAACGACAGTGAAAGGCAAAGGTTTTCTGCCATTGGAGTGAACTCAACATAGAGATGTGAGTGTGACAGCAGCGACAGCAACAAAAGGTGAATATTTCTTGTGTTGCACCGTAAGACCATGTGAGCACATCTACGTGCACCAGCTCGAAATGTTACACACACAAATTTCGCTGGTTGCTTTGCTGGAGTAAGGCAAGTGACAGTCACCTTCTCACGCAAATTCCATATGTAAGGAGAGAGAGAGTGACGTTGCCTTCTGTGTCGAGTCTTTAAGAATTGCAAAGTCATTGTCCTTACTTCAACTGGGAATTTGTAAAAAGACATAGACTTATAAAGCTTTGTTTGCAATGTCACAAAGTGTGTAAAATTCTGAATCAGGCTACAGTTAAATTCAACAACATAATCTTTGAAAGAGATCCTAACCCTGCTGGCAATTTGATAATTTGTTGTTTCAAATAAAATTGTAAGGTTTTTTTTTTCCCCCTTTGGTCAAATTGTGTTGAAATAAAGTAGCTTTCTTAAGAGGTGCAACACATATAAATGAGTTTCAAAGAAAGAATCATGTTTGTTTTAACTAGGCGAAACATTCTTTCAAATCAGTAACGGTTTTCATTTCTGACATCTTCAATTTCAAAACCTGAATCTTTTAATGAGCTTGCCTTCTTTCAAGGTTTCATTATTCTATCTAGTGTTAAACCAAATAGAACAATTTTTTTTTCTATTATTGTTATTATTATTTTTTTTTTTTACATTGGAAAACACATTTCATTAAAATATACAATTAGTTTGTTTTGAAATAAACATGATAAATCAAAATCAGACCAGCAGGGCATTTGGCACAATAAGTCTCATATTCACACATCACTGAGTGTGGATCAACTTTAATCATCAAAACACAAATAAATGGAGTGCTCGCCTGCCGGTAAATGGTAACTCCCAGGAGGACCACTGAGGTACACAGTGCATGTCTTCTGCTTGCTGGGACTAAAGCGACTGGCTGCGGGTTGTCAGCTGTACAGTCTAACAGCTGCTGTGAACAAACGTGCTGACTGCTGAGCGCAGCAGACTTCAGTGATGCCAGAGCGGGTTACAGAGGAGTAAGTAAGGGAGACAGACAACCCCAAACAACACATCAGATTCACATGGGATGTAACTGCCCTGTGGAGTTTGAGCAGATCTAATTCCTATTCTCAGCCTTTTCCTGTCTGTTTCTTTTGGTCCATCTATCTGCATGTCTTCCTTCTTTCTATGTCTTACGCTGACAGACCGGAAGGCATCAAGTATGCAGCACATGTATCTAAGTCAATCAGCCAACACTAGCCCTGCAGTCTACCACTCCCCTGGGTAGCAGGAGTGCAAGACTGGGGAGGAGGGATTCCTGTGTAGTAGGCACACAAACCTCAACAACCACTTATCTGCTACTTAGCAAAGCTAGCAGGAGGTACTCTATAAGTGCAGTACTTTGATTTTAAAGCTTTAATCAGAGGCAATGTCAAGCCCATTGTGCTATCTTGGGCTGGTCAGATTAAATTTGTCTCCAAAACTCTACTGTTAACTTATGTGATCAGTGTCTCCAGACAACATTTAAAGGTGAAACGTTAACCGAAATGGATATAGGTGTCTACAACTCTCCTGTATACCTCTGCTAGACACACATGTTTCTTTCTTCTTAATATTTCTCTCATTCAAAGGAAAACCCGCAGTGCACGTATTCAGTATCTCAAACAGGGAGCTCTTTTATGTCTCAGATGCGTGCTCGGTGCCTGCCAGGCAAGACATGATGGAAACACAGCAAGCCTTACATCTCTCTTAGATGCACAGTAGATGACATGGCTCAGACGTTGTAAAGGTGACAGCTTTGGATTACATTGATCACAAAGTGTACAAATCTAGAAACTTTTTTAACTGTATTTGCAACGACAGAACAATGAATGAATGACTGACCACAGATCACTGATTCAGTATGCCAATATGTGTCTTCCCTGTAATCTATCCAGCACAATAAGTGGCTTAAACTGACCAGTAGTGACAGTAATATTGACAAAGTTGCAAAGATGTATTGAGAAGTCTGGAAAAATATAGAACTTGATTTTAGTATTTCCCAGATCTGGAAAACAAAACACATGGATTAAGTTTTATATTTTAATATAATGGTCACAATGTAACCTCTTCGTTAAGTTGTTGGTAATATCTGCTAATCAGTCAATCACATGGGAACAACTCAGTTCATTTAGGCATATTGGTGATTAATAAGACTCACTGCCGTTCAAGTCAAGAATCAGAATAAAAAAGAAAGGAGATTTAAGTGACTTAAGTGAGGCATAGTTGTTGGTACAAGGTATGCCGACATGTGTGTTTCAGAAACTATCGATGCAGAATTTTCACATACAGGCATCGGTTAGGTTTGCAGAGAAAGCACAGAAAAAGAGAATGTATCCAATGAGTAGCAGTTGTATAAATGAAGGTGTCTTGTTGATCACATCACTCCTGGATCACTTCAGTGTGCTAAAAATAGGAAACTTGGACAACAATCAACAAAGAATCTGAAAAAAGGGCTGTAAC